AGAATGGGAACCTAAACAAAATCTACGTAATGCTCGTGAAGCAATGGGTGCTGCTGAACAATGGTTAGATGTTCCACAATTAATACGTCCAGAAGAGATGACTAATCCTAGAGTTGATGAAAAAGCTATGATGACATATTTAAGTCAATTTCCTAGTGCTAAATTAAAAGATGGTGCACCTTTAAGACCAAAATCAAATCCTGGCCTTGTTCGAGCTTATGGTCCTGGTAAGTAGATACACTTATCTAGATATAATTGGTAAATAATTATTTTAACCATTAAAGTTACATTTATCGAATTATATCCTGCTTTCTCATGCTTATTTTCTTTTTTTTTCTTTCAAAACACTCAGTACAGACTAATGGGGTCGACTGACTCAAAATTCAGGAACAGATTTTGAGCCAGATATTCTGATAACTACCCTAATAAAATTTTAAATATAATGATAAAGTTTAGTATAAGGTTGTGGAGATTGTTGAATTTCATCTAAGTTATGAACAAATCTATGTTAGACCACCATTGAAAACCTGGAAGCACTGGACAGCCATTTTGTCTTAGTGTCAAACAACACAACTACTTATTGACAATTAACTTGTGTTTGCTATTGACTAGCTTCAAGGGTAATTGCCGGAGTCCTAGTGAGAAGCTGTGACCAGTGGGGTTCGACTGTGTCGGGTATGAGCCCGTTACCCATCGAATACAATGGAAGATGTTCACGCAATATCATAATTTGGTTGAAATTGGACATTAACACTGTAGGATGCCGGCTCACTGGTTTAGAGTTTGAACGTTCGCTCGAGAAAGAAGATCCTGGGTTCGGGTTCCACGTGGAGGATCGTAGATGCGTACTGTTGATAAGTTCCATACTAGAACGAAACGACCGTCTATTGCTTCCAATTTTTCAACAGTGCAAACAAGTGCTATTGAGCACTTATTTCTTTCTATTAAGAACAAATAAAATTAATACCAAGCAAAACATACATTTGTATAGTTACTAAAAACAGCTTTTTCTTAAAGTGGTAAAAAAATTCAGGGTTTGTATTTCTAAGGAAAATGGACCCTTTCTTCGTTTTAAACATTCAGGTGAACAAACAAAGTTGAGTAAAGAAGTATTATCTCTTCATATTGCTTTTTTATAATGACTAAAAACTTGTGTTCAAAGGTTCTAAAATTATTTAATTGATCTGTGACCTCAGTGATCTTAAGATCACTCAGTTGTTGTTGGTCCTGAATGTATTTATCTTGACTCCATCCGGGATTCCAGGTTACGACTGTGGACGATTATCATACTATGACCAAATAGCTGTGAATCCTTCTTAGTTCATGATGATTTTCAAGTTAAAATCTATCCCTAATTTTTTTTGGTGCAAACACTACTAGGGTACAACTAGAAAATAAGCAGTAGTAGTAGTCTTTTGCACAAATTAACACCCATGGCTAACTACATGATGATAATGATACAGACAACAATTTACCGATTGTTGAAAGGCTTTCTGTTTAACAAACAAATAAACTATCTCAGTCTACATATTATTAATTTTAATATACTTTTTCAATAAGCCCATTTTATTGACAGATTCTGAATAAGTATGGAGTCAGTATCTTTAAATGGGGATGATAGGTTAAGAAAAGAAGGGAGACAAAAGAAAACTCTTCTTTAGTAGTTTACAGGAGCTCAGAAATATATTAACCAAAATTAATGAAATAGAAGTCAATTTTCACAATTGATTGATCACTGGGTGGTGACCAATGTCATGTGTGTCAAGTCCTTATCAGTGCAGATCGAATGCTATCGATCATGATGCAAAGTCAATTTTGCCTTACTTAATCCTCAATAAACTATCTATCACTTTGAAATAAGATCATTCAACAGTTACTAGCATGGTGTTGTACTCTTTATTTCATGTTAAATAATGTAACGAAACTATTGTCATTGTATAACAATGGTCTGAATCTATAATTACGAACTATTCTATAGGTTTTTGTAGGCAATGATGGATAGTGGCTAGCAGTGGAACCCAGGACGCGCGTTTCGTCCTATTTAGGACTCGTCAGCTGGATGCACCTGCATCTGAGTTGATGTTCACTCTGGGACTCGAACCCAGTACCATTCGCTTCAAACGCCATCGCGTTATCCACCTAGCTACTGAGCCCTGTTAGCCACTTGCTTGTGCAATGGGGTGAATTTCAATTCACTTGGTATTATTTGGCTTGTATCTCCCCATTGAGGTTTAAGACTGCAACTGATCAGTCTGTTATCGGCATATGTTTGTTTTAATAAACATGAAGTATAATTTTACGACCGCTTAACCATTGTAATTATTCCTGCATTAAATATAATCATATAAATACTGACTAGTGGACAATCTGTGTTTTTTTTTAACTGAAAAGGAATTATTACTTCATTACTTTGTGCATTTCCTAACGACATATATTGATGAATAACAATGTATAGATGTCTAAGTGATTGATAAAATCTACCATTGTCACATATAACAATAAATGAGATGAATTCTTAGGTGGTTTTATACAACTTCGTCACTATCCAACAAAGGAACAAGATTAGTCGTACACAAATTCATGTATATTAAATATAATACATTCGTTTTGTCTATCTATCATATAAAAACATAGAAATAAAAAATCATATTAGCCCAATCTGTAAAGATGACGTAAACAAACAATTTGAATGATTAAGATTACTTCTCTTTATTTCATCATTTCCCAATATATGTGATGTTCTTACATATTTATAAGATTCATTAATGGTTTTTGTCATGGGTTAATATCATTTAACGTACTACTGAAATTCAGAGTTCACTGGATAGATGTTTCATCATAGTTCATAAGTCTTCAGGATTGTACGTCTAAAACTCTACTAATGACCAGACTCTATAAAACGCGTCAACAATACTATAATAATGTAGTCATTATTGATTGATTTTAAGATAATTTAACAATTTAATCACCAACACAAATGAATGATCGTCACTTTTTATCACAAAGTGATTGGAGCTGAAATGTGTTCCATTTTGGATTCTAACTCATTAGTTTAAAGGTTGAACACTCACCACGAGAAATTGATGTCCTGGATTTTTATCTGCCCTAGCTTTGCGGTTTGTCACTGCTGAGGAATCTCATACTATTAGAGAACTATCAGTTCAGTACTCCTCAGTTTTCACTAATGCACTAACTAATATCAATCTGTGATGTAATCCACTTACATATTAAACTGGTCTGCATAAACCCTATCAAATTCATTTGGTATTATTTGTATGCATCCTCCCATTGTTGTTTAGGACTGCGATTGATTAGTCTTTTGTTGGTTTATGTGCATTTTGTGTACACTGCCTCGATGTATTCTTAAATCACAAGCTTTATGAGCAAAGATGGATGGTAGGTAGCAGTGGAATTCAGCACGCACATCTCGTTTTATTTAGAACTCGTCAGTTGAATGTACCTGCATCACAGAGTTGATGTTCACTCCGGGAGATGACCACAGTACCGTTCGCTTTAGGACTCAGTAGCTCAGTGGATAACGCGATAGAGTTTACAAGCGAACTGTCCCAGAGTGAACATCAACTCAGTGATGCAGGTACATCCAGCTGACGAGTCCTAAATAGGACAAAACGCGCGTCCTGAACTCCACTGCTAGCCACCATCTATCTTTGCTTATAAATCTCATCAAGTTACACGACTTGTTAAAAATGGGGAAGTTTTTTTGAAGCTATAATTAACATAAATCTAAACATGCATTCAAAAATAAACATTTAAAAGTCTAAAAATTTCTAATGATGTTACCAATGGTCATTTATTTGTCTGTATTTAACCAAAGCTAAATATTAATAAAAGATTAAGTGTACACTTATACATGGGTAACCTAATATTTAATGTAAATTTCTTTACATTTTCCAAATTAATGTTCAATAACTACTTCAAATCACTTCATGTTTACAATAAAACTAAAACAAAATTCAATTCATAAATTAGTTGGTTAGTATATAATTTATAAATTTGGCAATGATAGATTATAGTTGAATTCATGAGTCAATTTGAAGCTAGAACACCATAGAAAGCCTGGAAGCACTGGAAAGTGACTCAATTTCGTGGATTGGCTGAAGGTAGACATTAACAGCGTTGGATGCCGGTCAACTCAGTGGTCTAGAGGTTATGCGTTCGCGCACGAGACTGACAGGTCCTGGATCCGAATCTCGCAGGGCGGGATCCTGCAACACAATTCTGAGAAGTCTCACACTATGATAAAACAACCGTCCAATACTTTCAGGCTTTCCATGGTGATCTAGCTTCAATTGATTCACGAATTCAACTATAAAATTATTAAACTTTCCAAAAAACCTCTTTCTGATAACAACAGATTATGAGAAGGGTTTTAGTGGATATTCTAGTGATTTCAATCGTTGGGATCATGAGTCAATTGAAGCTATACCACCATGGAAAACCTGAAGGTACTGGACGGCCATTTCATCTTATTGTGGGACTCCTAAGCAGTGCACATCCACGATCCCGCCTCGCGAGATTCGTACCCAGGACGTATCAGTCTCGAGCGTGTGCGCTTAACCACTGAACCACTGGGCCGGCATCTTTTCTGATATGAATTAGCATTTTCTCACTAGTGACTGGCTTCAAGAGCTATTTCCTAGAGTTCTAGTGAGAAATAGTGACCGTTGGAGTCGAACCAGGTTTGTTGTGAGATAGTAACTCACCAAAGACAATGCTGAATGTTCCGTTTATTCATAGATTAGTTAAAATAATCTATCCACTTCATTGCCTCAACATGTTTATTAACATTTATATCCCTTCTAAATTCTAACTATTAATCATTTATAATAATGAACAAATAAATATAAATAAAATTGACTTAGGAAAAACCCCTTTTGATTTTAACAATATTAAATCACTGTATGACCTTGAAATTAGTCTGATATCATGGTACCATTTCCTTATTCAAGAATAATAATCATAATCTATCTATTTGTTCTAATGAAAATCTAACATTGAATTTAAACATACCAAAAAAATTATTACAGAAAAATTAAAACAAAAACAACAACAACCAAGGGACCAATTAAAATTTGAGTAGAATTGAATTAACCAATTAGAAAAAAAGGGGAAAAAAATGGTTAAAATTAGTTTAGAAACAGCATAAAAATACAGTAGTACATTTATATTTATATAGTTGATATATTTAAAAAGGCATTTATTTAAGCAATATATATATATTGAATAATATGGATATATCTATTATACCAAGTATGAAATGATCTATTCGCTAATACAAATACTAAATTATATCATTTAATCATAATAATAAAAAGAAGAACAACAACAACAAAAGAAAAAAGGGAGAAAAAGAAGAAAAAAGAAAAAAAGGGAGAAAAAAGAAGAGGAACAATAAATCAATTATTTAATAAATTGAAATAAGAATTAATTAATATCAAATTACAAATGTTATGTAAGATATTATAGATGAATCTTATCTGATGGCTACAGGATTTCAATATTTAATTGAAGTAGATGTAGATCATGAATTATTAACTACTACTACTGTATTACCGTCTTCAGTGAAATTCATTAATAATCATAATCATAATAATGATATTGATCATCGTCATGGATTAGGTGTAATTTATGCCATAAATCGTCAATCATTTTCATGTTATTTATTTTTTTTGGTACAAAAATGAAAAAACAAATTACACCATCATCAAGACAAAGTTTAAAAATATCTCATCATGAAAAAATTAATACAAATGTAAAAGGTACTTATTGTTTTGAATGGTTTCATTGATGTAAATATGTAAATAGTTTGTATAGGTGAATGATATGATTATTAATTATTCAAATATTGAAGTCATGAATTGATCTAAACTAGATTATCATTGAAAACTTCGATATATTGGAGCGCTGTTTCGTCTTAGTATGGGACTCCTTCAGTCAGTCAGTCAGTCCGCTACAACGTAGGACCAGAAGAACAGAATTTATGGGTCAGATAATAGTCTGATTCCATATAACTATATATACTAATATACAGCTTAAGTAAATGATTTCGTCGAAAAGAAAATTTTCTTCGCTGAATTCTCTTTTTCTTATTCAATAAACTCTAGATTAAGTAATTTAAACCTATGGTGTTCTTTGTATCCAAGCTAGTTTATTGCATATAATTATTAGATTATTATGAATGTCAATTTTGAACTGGTTGATATTCATTAACATAATATATCTATAAACTTTCGAAAATCGAATCTTGTTTCACTGTTTAAAATATGGTAGTCTATCTACCCACGATTGAAAGTTTGATCAACCCAAATGGGTTGGTGTCTGATGAAATCTCAGCACGGATTCGAAAAGCTCATTTGGCCTATGCCAACTGACATCAACTATGGTGAAAGGCGAGATATCCGTCTATCACTCAAGGGACGACTATACTGCGCCGCAGTTCGTTCTGTTCTACATTCCGGCTGCAAACGTGACCATTAAGAGTAGAAGATACTCGTAAGTTACTAGTATTTGATCACAGATGTCTCAGAAATATTCCTAGCATCTGCTGGGATCATCGGGTAAGTAATAGTGAGGTTTGACACAGGGTATTAAGGAATGATGGTAAATCAGTTGATGAGGTTGTGAATCTTCATCGACTGAGATTGGCGAGCCACGTGTTACGTACGCTTGAACACCGCTTACCACGACGTGCAATACTGACTAGTGTTGGGGATAGTTGGAAGAAAGTTAGGGGTGACCAAACAAAAACGTGGCATCAGTCATTGAAGTCACTAACTTCTAATCTGAGCCATGTTGGTAGATGCAAACTACTTGGTTGGGGTCCATGTGACTATCGTAATCAATGGTTGGAGACTTGGTGTGAAATGGCTTAGAATCGATCACAATGGAGTAGATGTATACACTCTTTGTCTTCCCTTAAACTAAGAGATTAAAATCACGTTATATCTTTCTTTCCACCAACTAATTCTTTCTTCCTGTACTATTATCTTTATATGGAATCTTTCTTTTATATATTACCACCATTGAATTAACCACTTCTATGAATTCGGTGTTCATCTTATTGTGCTAATGAGGTATGTCAACTTGAACCGATGTATATATGTGCCTAGTCCTACTTTGTAGCTAAATAACTGACTGACTACCCATGATATCCGGTATCTTAGGTCTTAGATTCCTAATGAATAACATTTTAAAGCTGTTTAAGTAAAAACTAAAGTGGTATTACAGAATATCCTTATAAATTTACATTTTATTCTTAATGTCAATCAATACAATGTTTTAGGAAATTGTTCAATGTTAATGTTCATAAACTTGTTACTTATAACTAATCTATAAATTCACGACATAAATAGTCAGGTTTCGCGTCTGAAAATTGTGTTTAATAGTTATCGCTCAATTTCAAACAGGGCAATATTGATGACATTGAACACTGGATAGCGGTTCCCTTTTAGTATGAAATTGTTTTACAGTATGTACTTACTTACAACTCTGTGGAGGATTGTACACAAGATATTCAATGATTGTGATAAATTCCTAATCTTCAGACAAGAGATTAAGAATTTAATAACCCATGTATACAAATTTAATCAGTTTTTAATCCAATATATCATGTATTTCAACGTTACACCGTGTTTACTGTAACACTTATTACTTTAAATAATAATTCTAGCTTCGTAGTATTTTTTTTCAAAGATCAAAAAACTATGTGAAATTAAGATTGTGAACTTCACATTAATAATATTAGGAAAAGGTAATTGGTTAGTCTCTTTTGGGATATGTACCTCCTCAGAGGATTGTCTCAATACTGATATATAGTCATAAGATTTTAGTGAAGTTGAATAAATACTAACAGTGGAGCCTAAAACCCATTTCTCGTCTTATTTGGGACGGATACATTCTCTTTGCACAATATATTATTTGTTTAATTCCAACCGTTTAATAAATAACACATTGAACTTTGAAAATGAAAGGTATTAGATTCAAGTTTCACTAGGAACATTAACACATTCGGTTGACGTGACTTAAATAGGACGAAACGCATGCCACTATCCAACTTTATTAAATAATTAAATTCTAACGATAAATTTTTTGTGCTGTAATATTAGTTTTGGCACTCAGTTGGTTAAATGCTCATCAGCAAAGTTGATCATTTTTACTCATTCTAGAAGAATAAAATACTATCAAGCTATAGGGATTTTTGGTATCAGTTTGATAAAATATTGAAATTCGACTAGCGAACCATTCATAGTCATATATTTATTAATCAAAATGAATCTCATCAAAGTTATTTACTTATTTACGCCTGTTACCCCTCGTGGGGGAGTTGAGGCCTCCCACCAGCACTCTCAATCCAACCCTGTCATCACATCAAAGTGACTGACTTTAAATATCAATTATTATTATCTCATTAGTTTTTATTCGGTAACGGATATTTTTATAAAAGGTTATGTATTGTGAAGAGTTTCTATGCTATTTCATTCCATGACACAGAACTATGTACTTTTAGATTTAAAAGTATTCAATATAAAAATGTTATGCTGATAAACATTCACCAACAGAAAACTGGAGAGTATACTTTAGAGATGTGTCAATCAGTTTCGAGAACGTGACTTATAGGATTCTTCAAGAAATTCAATTATCATATAGAATGATCAATAGAAATAACTTTCTAAGCTACCTAAAATACTTAAAATGATAGGAAAATATTATTTTTCTACTGTTACCCAATAAAATAGATGGTTTTCATAAATACTGACTCTAAACCCTTAATCCTGAAACAAACCTTCACCTATGGGGCACTGCTTATAATGAATGAACTAATCAAATAGCGCCTTTTATTATTTTTAAGCGACATTCATTTATCCATATGGATACAGAGAACTTTTAAATTATATCTGATGTTATTCCGTGATTAAAACTACAATCATAAATCATTAACACGTTCTAATCCTAACTAGAATCTGTTAGGATATTCGGAAAAATATACCGATAATTATCATGTTAAGTCTAATGGTGGCCTTGGACTTTAAATGTACACTCCCTATTGGTCAGTATTTATTTCACTTGTTAAATATTATACAAATGTTGTTTTCCATTTTATGGTACGATGTGGTCTGTTTGGTTGGTATATAAACAGGGTATGTCTGAAATATGGTGATTCATATCTCAGAGGCTGAGACTTGCGTTCTGGACTCAACTGGCTGGGCTAGACAGCGAAGCAGGGCCGATCGGGACTCTAGGTTGTTCGTGCGTGTTTTACATGTCGTTGATCCGATCGATGAATACGCTGAGCATCTAATCTGCAGTCCACACGTTACAACAGAAACAATATAGAAGCTCTTAAAAATCCTATTTACATTCTTTGAAATGTTCGAGAAGACAAGCAGTCTATATCCATTTGGAAAAGCTTAATTGTCATGTTTCTTTTTGCAAGTAGATCAACCTATAGAAAACACTAATGAATTTATCATTTGTATGAAACCTACTTACATTTTGCAGTATTATCATTTTCCTTTTATATAAATTTTCAATTTACAAAGACTGTTTTATGATTGAGTAGAAACTAGCTGGGAATTCTTTGAGGATCTTTTAAACTCACCCTTATTGTATACTATCACCGGTAAAAAAAATCGTATCAAAGTGTTCATTTCACACAACTTTAGTCTTTTATATCAAAGTACTAATAACTTCGATGCATATTGATAAGGAATAGATTAAGCAAGAATGGTTAGCATTGAATTCTTCAAACAATGAAAGGTTTTACTTGTCAAGAATCTGTAACGTGGCGTCGAATCGCTGTTGACTATGATTACCACTACAAGAAAACTACGTGCCAGTTAACCGATAAGATCCCCGTAAGCCAAATATCAGAAGGCAGTTGATGGCTGTAGTCGAGATGTATTTGTTGGCGATCTCGTGGTATCGAAACAATACCAAATCGTGCCAAAGGAGTACAAGTGTGGTTACTGAGCGTAACCGAATCCGTGCAAGATCACAATCAACGGAAGAAAGTATGTCTTTAGTACAGTTAACCAAACAAGTACAGTAAAACAATCACTAATACAATTGGTTATAATAATAATTGTTTCCATTACATCAATTGCGTTCTCTTGATAAAAGTAGGTCACTACAAATCTTTACCTCTTCTTTATACATTTTAGTATTGTTTTGTAAATTCTTCGATTACATTTGAAAGAAACTCATTAGACTTTATAAAGCAAATACAATTAACAGTTCATTAAACATTATAGTTCATAGACAATGTAGTGTTAAGTATTTTGTAAAGTAACTGTCTTAAAAGTATAAATATAGTGAACATAACTATTTCTCTTATAAAAAAACTAACATAAAATTGCTTTTTATTACCAGAATATAATGGGTAGCGACATTCATTATCAATAACTCCATTAACAATGATAACTTGTATGCCATAAAAACTGTTTATATCATTGATATTTGTGACTCATCCTTTACATAGGACTCTTTTACTATTTTGTTGAAGCGCATGGATTAGTAAAATCTATGGTTGGTAATTAAATATGTTAGTTGAACACTAAATTTGTCTCGTCAGTCAGTCAGCTACAACGTAGGACCAGGCACATATATGCATAGGTTCAAGTTGACATACCTCATTAACACAATAAGATGAACACCGGATTCATAGAAGTGGTTAATTCAGTGGTAGTAATATATAAAAGAAAGATTGCATATAAGGACATAATACCGGAAGAAAGAATTAATTTCTAGAATGAAAGATATGAAGCGATTTTAATCTCTTAGTTTAAAGGAAGACAGAGAGTGTATACATCTACGTCATTGTGATCGATTCTGACCCATGTCACCAAGAGTTTCCAAACATTGATCACGATAGTCACGTGGACCGCAACCAAGTAGTCTACATCTACCAACATGGCTCAGATTAGAAGTTAGTGACTTCAATGACTGATGCCACGTTTTGGTTTGGCTGCACTTAACTTTATTCCAACTGTCTCCAACACTAGTCAGCATTTCGCGCAGTGGTAAGCGTTGTTCAAGCATACGTAACACGTGGCTCATCAATCTCAGTCGATGAACATTCACAACAGCAACTGACTTACCATCATTCCTTAATACCCTGCGTCTAACTTCACCATTACTTAACCGATGATCTGTTTAATAATAATAGAATTTTGACATCAGACTTGAAATGTATGACAATGGTAGTGTTTTGGTCTTACCATTTTTGTTTATATCAATGAGTTACTCTTACCAACAGTTAAAAATCAACAAATTTACAGGGAGTTGTGAACATCGTGAAAGCGAAATTATGATTGAATACTTCAGTGAGACTATAACTTATGGACAACCTTTGTGTGACGCCAGACTGACCTTTTAATTGTCCACCTTATAACCAGGACCAAATGTGGGTGTTATAAACCAGTGTGAGGAATTAGAATTATGATTTACAGTTGATAGTTAAGCTTAAAAATTACATTTAGGTTTTTCATCACGAACTGACATAAGCTATAATACAAAAAACTCTATTTATCCGAATGAACGAGTGAATTTCGCACCAAAATCCGAGATGTTATCTTATACCTGATTGATTCGTCCATAAATTATGTTCTAGCCAATACTACCACCTGAAAGTTTCAGATTAATTCTAACTAATAAATCACATCTCTGTGGATTTGAATAATTTTTGATTTGTATTGCTTTATGATGATTATAAGACCAAAACATCAACCATTCAACAAAAATACGTTTTTTTTTATTATTAACATCGCAAAATGATCTTGGTTAAACAGTCGCTGAAAACTTGAGATCACTGTACAACTGTTTCGTCATATTAAGTAACACATTTACATTGCACATACACGAATCTGGGATTAAGTATCGAATCCATGAATTTTGATCTTAATTGTTAATGTTTACTCTCTAGACCATTGAATGGATACATGACAGTTTACATTATTTGATTTCAATCAATACATAATGCTGCATAACCATCTTCCGATTCACTTGGCAAGTAACTGCCTTAAATTCAGCATGGTGATGTGTGGACGAGAATGATAATGATTGGTTATCTGCTTAGTCAAACATGTAGATAGTCTGACAGGTGTCAGATGAGTTATATATATTCCCTTATCCTTATTATTATTCACTTATTATCGATTGTTCATTGTTGTTGGATTGTGTCGGGTTTTGGTGTGGAAATATATTTACGTTGCGGTCAGACTAATCACGTGTTCCTGATTTGAGTTGTGTTGACTTCCTGTAGAATAGACACTGGGAGGGAATCTAGTGTAGATATTCGTCTAAGGTAAATTAACGTCCCATATGTGTAAACATGGAAACTCAATTGTTATAACATTAGATGAAGTAAAATCGAGCGTTATAAAACATGGTCAAATTACACTGTCATGTTTTAGTAAAACAATAAGATGTTAATAACCATTCAAATGAAATGATGATTTAGACACTCTAGTGAGATATTAAATAAATACATGCATGTTTTAACTCTATCCTGATAGTAAACGTTGACTGAGTTATTACAAATTTAAATATCGTCTAAATTAATTCTAATATCTTCAATAAAACACCTTGGTTGTTCGAACCAATGTTAGAATTATATGAACAATTTCGATCATTAGGCTCATGATACTTTGAGATATTACTGGTTTGAACGATTTCTATGAATATGTGATGCTCAGTACTTTTGATCTAACTGATGGACATAAGTAATCAGATTAAGAAAATTCTGAAAGTAACCCTAAGAAAGAAATAACTTTCATGAATGATAAACTATGAGTTTACTGGTAACTGACTTCAAAAATTGTTTTCAAAGACATAATAAAAAGCTAATGACTGATTGAGTTAATTCACATTAACAGTGAAACATTACTAATGTTATCAAAATTTGGTAAAATAATACCAGAAATAAACTAATGTTAAAAATGTAGATCGTGTGGAGCTTTAACAGTATAGGGCTTGGTTTAAATCTCTAATGTTCTAAGCTTAATCTATGTCTACTCTCAAACTCTATTGCTTTCTTGATCAACAGTGGACTCCTAATTAGCATTACTCCGTCATTTAAACTAATCTTAATTCTGTAACTGATTTAAAACGTAAAAACTATAATTAGATATCCAGTCAACGAATGTCACAAAGTTTTCTCAACATTAAATTCACTTAGTATTGTTTATTTGAATCATCCTGTTGATGATTAGGACTGCAGTTGATCAGTCTCGTATTGGTATATGTTCATACTGTGCGTATTACCTCGGTATTGCGTTAATTCGCAAGCATTATAAGCAAAGAAGAATAGTGGTTAGCAGTGGATGAGACGCGCGTCTTAGATTCCACTACTAGGCACTATCCATCTTTGAATTTTCTCAACATTGTTTCTACTATTAAGTAAGTTAATATAAACAAATATGGTTAACAATGATGGTAGTTTGAGGAAAGAGATAATGAAGTTAAGAGAAGTTAGGAGAAACATATCTTAATTAGTACATCATATTAAATTCAAACTCTCACCAAACATTCGTCTATTTCGATCAGTAACTCAATGAGATGTTAATAGTTCGTTATATAATGTAAATACTTTCGTATACTTATTCGCAGCACATACTTACTTACTTACGCCTGTTACCCCTCGTCGAGGAGTATAGGTTAAACACCAGCGTTCCCCATCCAACCCTGTATTAGACAATCGTTTCCAGTTCTTTTCACTTGCTATTCATCCTTTTCATATCTGCTTCTATTTCCCAACGTAATGTGTTCTTTGGACTTCCTCTTTTCCGCATCCCTTCAAGATTCCAAGTTAGCACTTGTTTCGTGATGCAGTTTAGTGATTCCGTAATGTATGTCCTATAGATTTCCATCGTCTTTTCCTAAATTCGATGGACAACTTTGAATTAATTTATCATAATTATTCCACAATCCATTTACTTGTTTTCTACACTCGATTATTAAGCAATACATCAAATATATTGACATATATCTGATAGCTTTCCCTGATTTACATCCCATAAATTCATTTTCATTTTGCTATTATTATCAAAAACTGCATATTAGTTTTTAGATTTTCAAGTATCATACTATAAGAAATCAAACGATTGATGTAGAGACATAACCATTTGATTTGTTCAGATCATAAGTTTAATTCATAATAACAACTGCTAGTCAAACAAAATATCTATTTACTAGCTACATCGTAGTGATTGTGCTTCGTTAACCAATCACCCTCGTAACCGTTATTATATAAACCTCAACGGTGTTTGAAATCAGAAGGCAAAGAGAAGCAATTATAACTGTTTTATTAGCAGATAGCTCAGACCACAAAGCAGAATGGCGAATGATTGAGTCAGTGAGTCGAGTGTATAGTATTAAATGTACATATATATAAGGAAATGAATGAATAATCGAATCAATTAAATAGCTAATAGTAAAGCTAGCAGAATGAATATATACGTAGATAGTAAGTAAGCAACACTCAAGCATACATAATCATACATTCGTAACAGTACTAAAGATACAATGCTATAGGTAAGTTGTTGTTGTTGTTGTTGTACGGATGACTCAGTCCGTTAAATAAGTTAACAAAATGACATAACCGAATTAAATGTGAACAAACTCAATTGCACATGAGTTGCTGTAACTTGATTAGATCTTTTCTTTTTGAAATCACTGAAGCTTTAATTATATCGTTTTGAGAATGCGGTCATTGATTGAAAATAGGTAAGATTTGTTCAATATAAACATTAAAACTAAATTGAACTTTGAATCAACTGTAACTAAGCCAAAAATGCTTTTATCTGGTCAGAATAAAGTTATGGGGGTTGTTGAATGTTGTTAAAATCTATATTAGATAACCATAGAAAACGTGGAAGAATTGAACAGCTGTTTCATCCTCGTATGCAACTCTTCTGCAAGGTGAATCTATCGGTTCGTTACATCAATGATGCAGTAGCTTGAGAATCTACATTAAAAGGATAACATGTTTAATTGTGCTAAAATTCTAGAAGAAACCAGTTTAAGCTGGTTCTAAGATAGAATATTTTTAAAGTATTATTTCATTTAGTTCACTTTTTATGTTAATAAAATTTAAGGTCTCGAACCACATGGAAATACTGTTGGTAATCCTGCACGATTTACTATTGATACATTCAGTGCTGGTCGGGGTGCTGTTGAAGTGATTGTGCTGAATCCTAAAGGACAAAGAGAACCAGTAAGTTTATAGTAAATTATTTTAATCATAATAATATTCTTGATTCCATGTACTGTCATTGGATCGTCCCTCTCTCACATGTCTCATGGAGGTAAATTTTACCAAACATCAACTGGAAATAAACCTGCTCTGCATTCCTTCCAATTATTTCATATTTCATTATATTGTTTTGATTATCTTAAGGATACAACAGACATACCATATACACCCTGAGACTTATTCTCTAACTTCAATATATAGTTTCTAATGAAAGAAATCCAATGATGTAATTAAGATGATTCATTCTGAGCCTAACCAATCTAAACACCGCATAAAGTAATAATTTATCTAATTTTTAGTAAACTTTTGTGAAGAACAACGAGCCATTAGTTGTTAAACTGTGAATTCTTCCAATAGAAAGACTAACAATTAATCAAACTGAATAACCTGTAGTGTATCCAGAAAAACATAAGTTTAATTCCCTCTATCAACTAGTTCAACACCTGGTTTGATAACATCATTATCATCTGCTTTATAAATTGCTGAATTAATATGTTAAGCGTTCGCGCGTGAGACCGATAGGTCACGGGTTCAAATCTCGTGAAGCGGGATTGTGGATGAGCACTATCGACGAGTCCCAGACTAGGATGAAACGACCTTCCAGTGCTTCCAGGTTTTCCATGATGGTCTAGTTTCAAATGACCCACGAACTCAACTACTAAATTACTGTAATATCCACAAAAACCCCTTTCTGATAATCAATAAGTGTCTGATATCAATACTCTGTTAACATATATATGTATTCACAATTTAAATCATTTGCGAGATTATAGATTTGTACCAGAAGAAAGATATTCATTTGAATTGTTAGCACTTGTTGAATAATGATGCAGTAAAATCAGCTCATTTTCTTCTGACAGTATATGTGGTTCTTGTACTGTTGAAGGATACATGATGAAGAAAAGTTGTAACTCAGGTGGATGATTTTGACCGAGTTTTGTTCTCCGTGCTGGATGGTTTGGTCGTGCAGCTTTCATCGTTCTTCTGAACGACATCATTAGCATAAACCTTAGGTAGAACTGAAGTGTTCGAATTTTTCCACCTATGGTTAGCAGCTTGGCCTGTAGACCTCGATGTTGATTGGTTCTTGATGACTTGAAATCTAGACTTGTGATGATGATGTCATTCAGAGGAACGATGAAAGCTCCACAACCAAACCATCTAGCTCAGAGAACAAAACTCCATAAATATCAATACATTTTTAAAAAGAACTCTAAGTCATGTCCCAGTTGGGATTAACTGTTTAAAAGTTTATCATTTCAATGCAAACATATTTGGGTAATATTTCAAGAATAAAGCAAAACTTATGTTATCAACTGTATTTGGAGGGCCCTAATTACTAAAAATTTATGCAACTTCTTGCTATAATGTTACATAACACACACATGTAAACTAGTAGATACGGTTATAGCATATGGTTGTAACGTAAGTAATGAGTTTGTCTAAATTTGGCTGTCATAAGAATGAATCGGTCTGTACAAACAGACCATAATGGTTTCTGGATGTGTTCTTATAAGTATGGTGTTTAATCTAGTAATCAGTTTTTAAGCTATTTATATATCTTCGAAGTTAATTCTTAATAACAGAATTTTCAAGATAGATGTTGGAAGTAGTCAATGGAAAACCACAGACCTAGGTTTCCTACCATCTGCACTCATCAGCACGATGCACCTGTAATCTTGAGGAAGTCAATGTTCTATGGTCGATTCGAAAAATGTTTACTCAGACTCGCAATCTAAAATGTTACCACTGAGCTATTTGAACTTTTATTAGTATCCCATAGAACTGCAGTACTTACGATTAACTGAATAAATTAAAATTCCCCAGGTGACATCAGTTCCCTCAAAATTACAGATAAACCTTGATAAAGAATGCCAAATGGCATGAAACACTGGTACAAGGTTTCCTGTTAACCACTTACAACCACCAACTTACAGTGCAAGTGATTCAAAGTCACTTAGACTATTGGCTAGATTGCTTGATCGATAGAATTCTATCAACGTTAGAAGGACATTTAAATACGTAACATCAACCACTAATCATTTTTCCTCAACCTTACCATATTCCATTTAATTCTTTATGACCTTTCCATACTTGGTTATGAGTTTTTCAGGATAGCCATTATTTAGGTGGAGTTTTGTTTTCTGAAGTGGTTAGTTTGGTCATGGAGCTTTCATTGTTCTTCTGAACAAAATCATCAGCACAAATTTCAGGTAGAAGTGAACTGTCCGAATTTCTTCACATATAATTCACAGCTTTTCCTTTAGACCTCGATCTTGATTGACTATTGTTGAGGACAAAACTCCACTCATATCATTCACCTGAGCTACAAATTTTCTCCACCATCTCGATAGCCGTTATCATGTAAATAACGTTGAAATCCAATAAATCGCTGTTCGATTTCATCCTCTAGAAATTTTATGAATATTTTCTTTTCTTTCTGTTATTTAGTGTGATGTACTCAGTAATAATGATAAACAACAAACTTATTCTTGTGCTTATGTTCCAACACAAGAAGGTGAATACAGAGTTATCATTAAATTTGCCACTAAAGAAATTTTAAATTCACCATTTAAAGTTATGGTAGAAGGTGCACAAGGTGATGGAAGTAAAGCAACTGCATCTGGTCCAGGAATTGAACCAACTGGGAATCAAGTTGGTCGACGTACATTCTTCAATATATTCACTGCCGGTAACTATATATCATTTTTTCGAGTATATTATCATTTCAACAACTAGATCGTAATTTTATTGATTAACGATTTTTGGATTTGTCAACCTGTAAACGTTGATCTCAGACTGTGCGTTTTTATTTTGTCTGTGTTTTAATTTCTTTATAACAGCTAACCGTCAGAGCATCCATCCATGATGAAAAATTAAGTTATCAAATGTATTAATTGAATGGATAGATTTGGATCATGTATTTTAGATATGTCCAATACGTGACACTTAAAACTGAGTTTCGATTGATATCATGAATGAATGAATGAATGTTAGGCCACTATCGAAAACCTGAAAGCACTGGACGGTCGTTTCGTCCTTGTAGAACTGACTTTATAATCAATCATTATTCTTTAATAATCCCTTACACTTGAACTACGAATGCAAAAAGTCTGGAAGTATGGAAAATGTTTTATTTTTAAAGTTTGTTCCGGGATCAAATAAACTGGGGTATTAATAGTTTTGTGGGTGACTTTATTATTTTAAAAGTCTTGAAAAATATGTTAAAATGAATTATAGAATTGATATTCATCCAATTATGGTATTAAGTACAATCTATCGTTTATCTAGAACCCTCTGAAGAATTTCCACAGGACATTAAGTGGACGAAAAATGTTGTTCAACCTCTTTTCAGATTTTCTGAACTTTTTCAAGGAAATTTCAAGAGCTCCCAATAATTTTCCAGATATAGTTAAATTTTAGTGTAATATGAATAACAATTTGAATGGTCAACAATGAATACATTGTGGATTCCTTTGAGAGATACTTTTCCAACATTTAAACTAAACCCATTACACTGAAGTGCTCACGAAAAACATTACATTACTTTCATAACATTTCACGTTACAGTTCGTCATCCTATATGTACTAGTCAAAAGAAGTATAAAGACAATCTAGGACTACATTTATTGAATATGTTCAACAACGATTAAATATCGGATAATTTGAAAATCACAAGATTTCTATTATGAAGAAGTAGATCAAAACGGTGAATATATTCAAATTCTTATTTTCTTCAGATTGCTTACCAGACAAAATAGCTTGAATAATATTAAAACTGTCCAAGACAAAATTACTAAGCACATTAGCAATCAGTCATCAGTTGTCTTTAAAACCATAGTAACGCAAATGTATTAAATTTTCTCCTTATTTCTGTCTGATCAAAACATATAACTTCATCGGATGGATTGTTTCAGTTCTAGCAGTTTTAACAACATTTATGTGTAGAATAGCTTTCTCTATCTACAACTCTTATTCGTCTTACAGTCAATTAATTTATCTACTACATTAATTATGTAAACATAGTAATTAAAAGCTAATTAGATACAATTATCCTTTCTTCAAATATAATGCTGTAATGTGCAGTGCCCAAAATCCGTGCTATGCGCTACCCCTTCCCAGCTGACTACTTCAACAAGAACATAAGAGTATGCGAGAAAGTGTATTGGGCTACCGAATGAAATGCACAAATACTCATTCATATATATACCACTCTATCCTTAGGAAATTGATCTATTAACCTTTAGGTCACTTTTGATTGACCTGTTGCTACTTCTGATTATCAGTTTAGTTGATGTGGAGATTGTTAAGTTTTTGATTGAAATCATGAGTCAATTGAAGCTCAGTGGTCTAGTTGGTTAAATGCCTGGCGCGAGACTGATAGGTCCAGGGTTCGAATCTCGTGGGTGCGAGATGATGGATGCGCACTGCTGAGGAGTCCCAAAGTAGGACGAAACGGCCGTCCAGTGCTTCCAGGTTTCTCATGATGGTCTAGCTTCAACTGATTCATGATTTCAATCAAAATACTTCTGATTAACTTTCCATACCACATAGGCAACAAGTTATGCATTAAATTATTTTTTTAGTGACTATTATAATTTCATACTTTACTTCACTCATATACAACTCACTTTACATTTTAATATCATATAAGTAATAATATTGCTTAATTATTTTAAAAAGTTGGTCTTAATCATGATTGTAAGTTCAAATAAATGTTGTACAAAATCATATTATGTTTTCATTAATGTCCTATAGTTGTAAGAATAATCGTAAAAGTATTATGTTGTATGATCTACACAACATACTAAATTGCACTTGATGTATGATATTATGACACTTTAATGTATACTGATATCATGTAAGGTCGACCATACTCTTTGTTTTTCGTTTTGAATAATTATGAAGTATCTTGCATTTATGAACATTCTTCTTTCATTTTGTGGATGAATTCTGCTGATAAGACTATGATATTCAATAGCGAATTCGTTTTATTGATCTAAAACTATCTATAAGTATCTTTTATAAACACGCCACTGTAGTACATCCCAATTTTTTTGACGGCCCTGGTACGGCTGAAAGTGGGGAGTGTCAGCTCACCCTCTCCAAATGCTCTGATTCAAAACCAGTGGTGCACATAGACTTCAGAATCCTGATGGAACAAATGGCGTATGAACCAGTCGTTAGTCACTGGCTACCATGGGACTGCATTTCCAGACGTTGCTCTACTGGCTTGTGGATAAGAACTTTAGATCAGTCAGCTACAACGTAGGACCAGATACATCATCGGCGGCCTGCTTGAGCATCTGGGCTACCTGTTCCTGCCATCTAGATATTTCAACAAGTTATCTATCTTTGTTTGTTTTAATATATCATTATGTCTATTAATCGCACAACCTATACTGCTGCGTTTCTGAAAAATGTACAACCTTTCGTTATTAAAGTTACAAAAAGCTCAAAAAGAGAGAATATGGTTGCTGGCAATGTACAACGAAAAGAATGTACATCATTCCCATGTTCATTTACTGGACTGATAACATCTAGCTGGCGACCACTCATTATTTATCGGGAGGACCGGCAAAGAAGAAAAAAACGAAAATTTGTTAAAATATTTTGTGCTGAGATTTCTATTTTGTACCAATAATATAATATTGAAAAAAGTTATTAATAATAATAATTAATAATAATAATATATGCATCGGTCCAAGTTGCAATACCGCATTAGCACAGCAAGATGAACACCGGATTCATAGGAGTAGTTAAGTCAATGTTGGTAATATATAAAGGAAAGATTCCATATAAGAATATAATACCGGAAGAAAGAATTAGTTCGTAGAATGAAAAATATGTAGCGACTTTAATCCCATAGTTTAAGGGAAAACAGACAGTGTATACACCAACGCCATCATGATCGATTCTGAGACATGTCACTAAGTCTCCAACCATTGATTACGACACTCACGTGGACCTCAACGAAATAGTCTACTTCTGCTAACATGGCTCAGACCAGAAGTTAGTGATATTATAAACTGATACCACGTTTTTGTTTGGCCGCCACTAACTTCCTTCCAACTATCCCCAACACTAGTCTGCATTGCGCGTCGTGGTAAGCGATGTTCAAGCGTACGCAACACGTGTCCCAACCACCTTAGTCGATGAAGATTTACACCCCTATCAACTGTTTTAACATCATTCACTGTTACCCTACATCTAACCTCATTATTACTTACCCGGTGATCCCAGCAAAATCTGGGAATATTTCTGAGACATCTGTGATCAAGTACTAGTAACTTACGAGTATCTTCTACTCTTGATGGCCACGTTTCGCAGCCGTAAAGTAGAACGGAATAAACTGCCGCATAGTATACTCGTCCCTTAATTGATAGATGGATATCTCGCCTTTCGCCATAGTTGATGTCAGTTGGCAAAAGCCAAATGAGCTTTCTGAATGCGTGCTGAGATGTCATCAGACACCAACCCATTAGGGCTGATCAGACTTCCAAGATAAGTGAAGTTGTCAACTCGTTCGACTACTTCACTCTTTATCCTTAGTTCAGGTGTTCACGCAGACCAGTCCTGAATCAACAACTTGGATTTAGAGGGAGAGAAGCTCATTCCAAACATTCTGGTATTGTTGCTTAGTGCTACCAAAAGACTCTGCATTTTGTCAGCGTCTTCACCAAACAGGACTATGTCATCTGCATATTCTAAGTCGATAAATGGACCTCCTGGAAGGAGATCAATACCCGAGAATTCAGTCGACGGGGATGTTATTTCCATCAATAGGTCTATGATGAAGTTTAAAAAACGGAGAAAGTGGACAGGCTTGACGGACACCACTTGGAGTTGCAAAGGCAGATGACAGTTCACCATAAGCCCTGACTCGACTAGTAGTGTTCGAGTAAAGAGCCTTCACAAGGTTTATGTTCATCTGAGGTACGCCTTTCAATGACAGATACTGCCACAGAATCTCGCGGTCTACTGAGTCAAGTGCTGCTTTTAAGTCAAGAAAGACCACTATTGTCGGAAACCGATAAGTATGCCTGTGTTCTAGAACCTGACGAATGGTGATATATGTGGTCGATGCAGCCACGACCAGGTCTGAAGCCAGCTTGATTCTCTCGTGTTTGCAGTTCACGAGTTTTAGTTAAACGACCGACAATTATTGAGGCTAGTATTTTAGATGGTATATTAGTCAAACTAATCCCTCTATGGTTGTCAAAGGATGATTTTGACCCTAAAAGTACTAAACGGTCGTTTTGTCCTAGTATGGGACTCCTCAACTCTGTACATCCACGACCCCGTACATGGGATTTGAACCCATGACATCCGGTCTGTCGCGCGAAAGTCTTATCTCCAGACCACTGAGCCGGTATCTAACGGTATTAACGTTTAACTTTAATCAATTCATGATCTTGCGTAACTTTTCACCCATTGTCTGACGTAGATGATTGTTTTTATGAACATGTTCATTACTTCACTTTGAATGAATTGCTAAAGATTTTATCAAAACAACTTTTACTTAAGTTTATTCAAATCTTTTTTCTTCAGACCTAAAGGTTATATTCTATTATTTAAATAATTCGTTGTTTATAGAAAGATCCACATAGATTTTCTTTAGAAATTCAATTATAACGTATTAAATCTAGTGAAGTCAATTAACTAAACTGTGTTACAACTTACTGTAATGTTTGTCTCTTTTAACTTTCCGTCCCCCCCCCCGTAATCATAAGTAAAGCACATATTAATCAATTGTTGTATTTTGTTTACATGTACTTTTTTTTCTGCTTATGAAATATTTCATTTCTGTTGTCTGGATTCATAATCTTATTCAGTAATCGGATAAAGAATTATCATTTATTTTGTTTCATCTTATAGGTCTTTCAATATAATGATTCAGTCATACCTTTACAACATATACTTACTTACGCACTTACGCTTGTTAACTATCATGGAGTAGCATAGGCCGCTCACAAGCATTCTTTATCAAACTCTGTCCTAAGTAATCCTTTCTAGTTGTTTACAGTTGCTATTCATCCTTTTCATGTCTGCTTCTGATTCCCAACGCAATGTGTTCCTTGGTCTTCCTCTTTTCCTTTTCCCTTCAGGAATCCAAGTTAAGGCTTGTCTAGTGATTCAGTTTGATGGTTTTCACAATGTATATCTTATCCACTTCCATAGTTTTTTCCTAACTTCCTATTCAGCTAGAAGTTGGTTTGTTCTCTCCCACAAAAGGCTGTTGCCGATGGTAACTGGACAATGGACATTAAGTATCTTGTGTAAACAACTGCTTATAAATACATGTACCTTTTTGATGACAATTATAGTTCTTCAAGTTTCAATTCCGTACAGTAGAACTTTCTTGACGTTTGCGTTGGAGATTCTGACTGTGATATTGGTTGACATTCACACATACGAGGTTATTTAATTATAGTGTATTAATTTTAAATAGTTTTGTATGATGTTACGACATGTCAATAGGTTTTACAGATTTAACTCTTACTTCATTTCAAGTAGTTTAAGTTTTGTGGGTGTTCTTGTGTAAATATTGTGTATATTTTAAATGAGATCTCTGAAAGATGCAACCAGTTGCAGACCAGCTGGAAACCAAAATGTACTGAATATTCATATTTTTTTCCTGTTTCAAGACTTTACTGTTGTATATGCGGAAATAATTAACAAACTTGTTACTTGGTAAACTGCAAATCGGACGATGCACGTAAGGAATACTATGACGATAGATAAGGATTGATTTAACCCCTAAATTAAATCAAAATGAAACATGAATACATTACCTTTTAGATGATTTATTTGTATTCAGATAAGCAGTTAGATTTGTATAAATTGAATTGAGTAGTATTTAATATCAATTAATTAACATCTTACTGTATGAACGCTTATTTACTACACCATACAAATGAACATCTATAACTATAATGGATATAACAAATCAGTCGCATAGTTACTCGTTCTCATGGCGTGATGTCGATCAGAAGAAAGTCTATATGTCATTCATTACTGATTAGCATAACATTTACAGCAATATGTAGTCGTTGCTTGTGTCTGTTTTTGCGATGATTTTTGCATACTTATTATATAAAGCTGTTATATGAGCCTTTTAATGGAAAATTGTCAGTACCAAAAAATGATTGAAAATATGAAACATTATTTTAGAACTTAATGTGCTAACAAGAACCTGCTATGAGAAGAAACAAAGTTTCACGGCTTTTTTATTCAATATTGATTTGCCTGGTATATTTTGATCGAATCATGATTATCTAACTTACACCATTTCCTAACAAAATTAGGGTATGTGAACATGTACTTAAATGGTTGGAGAAACAAATGGAATCAAGTGAACCAATAAGAGTAGAGGATAAACATCCATCATCCTCTATTGCCAAACACAATTGAAATGGGTCATATCACTTACTTACTTACTTACGTCTGTTACTCCCAATGGAGTATAGGCCGCCGACCAGCATTCTCCAAACCGCTCTGTCCTCGGCCTTCTTTTCTAGTTCCATCCAATTCCTATTCTTTTTTCTCATGTCTATCTCCATTTCCCGGCGTAATGTGTTCTTTGGTCTTCCTCTTTTCCTTTGGCTTTGAGGATTCAATGTGAGGGCTTGTCTTGTGACGCAGTTGGGTGCTTTCCTCAGTGTGTGTCCTATCAACTTCCAAAATGGGTCATATGATTGATCTTAACTCAGCTTTCGTGGTGTTGTACAAAAGTGTAAAAGGGTATTCAAAAACAGATTGTTCTCACCTTAAACCTACCCTGGTAGTACTGACTTATTATCTAGAATGATGAGGTTTCAAATAGTTTTCACATAATTATTTTCTTTATTATCCTTTTCTCCTCTTCCTCTGCCTTGCTAGTCTAGTTGACCTTTTATTTTTATATATAAATGTTCTCAACAAGTATGTGTGTGATCAGATTGTTCGAAATGTATTGCGCTAATATATCATTACATAATTCTGACAATCTTTGTCTTCTTATTACATTATCGAAAATAATATTCATTTAATTATTCTTAGCTGCTGGACCTGGAAATGCAGACTGTGTAATTCTAGATCCTCATGGCCGACGTGATGCTATTAAACCTTTGATAACTCGTCAAGGTGAAGATAATTATCTTGTAGAATATACACCAAAAGATGAAGGACTTCATTCAGTTAATGTATTTTATGCTGGTCAACAAATATCAAATTCACCATTTGGTGTGATGGTTGGTCCACGTAAGTTTTGTTTCAAGTATATATATGTATATATTATCCAATTAAACATCTTTGTATTGATGATAAAGTTTTAAGATTATATATAATACTAAATTTCATTTGTGTATAACAATTCTGTAGATGTACATAAGGCTTGCTTTGAACACTTGTTACACTACATTTTTTATGTAAATTTATCCATACCACACTACTAAAGTACATTATGAACGCATCTATGATTTTCGCTTCTGAATGATTAAATCTTATTGATGATCATTGGATTATTCTGAAGAAAACTCCTCATTCTGAACACTTCTTGTTAATTTTAAGTCCTGTTATGAATATGCCCACAATATACAACAGTTTACCTTAGCTGATAAGATTGCATCTATAAACCCAACCGTTGCTGTTACCTTGACGTGTTGATCGCGCTTGCCTATCGTGATGAACCAATCGAGCTATACTGGTTGGAACAATCGTTCCTCAAGGTCCTACCATGCCAGACAGGTCGGTTGAAGAATGGTAAGACTAAAAGCAGCAGGTCGTCTGAGGGCGAAGTCGTGCTGCTGACTGTATGACTGTGTGACCGCAGTAAGGTGTTTCCTTCAGAAAACCAACATAACAGCGATGCTGCCTTCCCAGAGGGAGGCATGGAATTAGAAAAGGTCGACCCTAAAAATGGTCACCTCGCCTCAAACCACGGATATCCGTCACCGGCGGTAAGGTCTCAACAAGTACGGAGCTAACACGGAAATTACTCACAAAAAGGGCATATGTGACCAACCTCAAGCAGTTGTCCTTTGGGCACTGCCGTTATGCTCTCCGGTCACTAAGACCACCACTAATCCGATTTCCCTCTCAGGTACCTCCAGACTTGTATTTATAAAAAGCTTCGTTACTAACCAATAAAAGAGTATACTTTTATATTTCCAATCATATTTCTAAAAGCTTGAAATTTAAAGCTAATACAATAATAAACTGTTTCATACTTTGACATCTCATCAATAGCGACCGTAGTATCGAAGTTCTTTAATCTTTCCAAATAACTAACATTCAAAATATCATAACTTCATCATATTTCTCAAAAGCAGTAGCTATTTTTACAAAACTCAAATCAAATTTATATCTTTAGAGGGGAACATCAGATAATTTATCATTACCAAGGTAAAAAGACAGTTTTGATTAGTTTCTCTCATGTGATTATTATTACTTGTGTTACTGTATATAACCTTTGCTTAGATGATTATTATTTCATTCAATTTAAAAACTGTATTTTCACTGACCCTTGACATTTCATCATTTAATTCTTGAGATTTATGTAAGCTCTTCAATTATCATATGATTATCTGTATGAGGTTGTAGAGATTGTTGAGCTTTTGATTGAGATCATGAGTAGATCAATGTTGAACCACTATTAAAAACCTGGAAGCACTGGACGGTCGCTTCGTCCTAGTATGAAACTCTCCAACAATGCGCATCCACGATACTGCACGTGGATTCGATCTCAGAACCTTCAGTCTCGCCCGCGAACACTTAACCAATAGACCACTTAACCGAATGCTTAATTTCCAGTGCTTCCAGATTTTCAATGATGGTCTAACATTGATCGATTCATGATCTCAATCAAATATATTTTATGATTGTTATGCAGTCTGTCCTAATTATTTTCAAATTGTCTCAGTGTTCTTATATTCCCTAAACCTTTCTCCAAATTACTTTATACATCCATTTAAACACATTGATAGTTGCTAAAATGTTAGCGGTGAAGAGGATGATCCATTTTTCATTGTTATACAGTGTTCACATTCGATCCACATAAACAAATAAACAACACAAGACGAAACAAATCACTTTCATTAATACATAAGCTTGTTTATTTTAAATAGGACATTTGTTTTTCTGCTTATATGTACATTATTTTAATGAATATATATGAGTTTATCACACTACTGCCCAACCCTCTCCCTTTATCCGGGCTTTGGACCGACAGATGCCCCAAAGGGGCTCCAGGCGGAGCTTTATTGTCAGTATTGATGATAATAATCTCTCATATAAGTGTATATATGAAGACCTGAAAATGGAACTATGAAATGTATTTTTCTTTAGTAAATAACAACACTAGCATACGATGTAAGTAACATAAATGTGAACTTGAATAAAAATTCTTTCAGCTATCTCGTAGATTAAGCCCTCTTGTGAGGAATAATAAAATTAGAACTTGGTTTTTTAATAACATCATTTATCTAACATTATTACCATCAATGGTGCGACTGTCATTTATGGACGACCTATGAATGACGCTAAACTGACCTTGAGAATCTTCACCTAATAACTAGGACAAAATGAGGGTTATAAACCAGTGTGAAGAATTAGAATTATGATTTACAGTTGGTGGTCAGAGTTAGGAATTACATTTAGGGTTTTCATCACGAATCGATATCAGCTGTAACGCCAAAACTCTATTTAGCCAAATGGATGAGTAAATTTCGTGCCAAAATCCGAGACGTTATCTTATACCTGATTGATTCGTCCATAAATTATAGTCTCGCCCTATTAATATTCTCGTGATTACTTCAGCAACAATTTTAAGAACCCATTACCTCTCGTAAAAGAATTTACAAATTTATCTTGTGAATGAGTACATCATGAAATAACTTGCATATTTAGTCTCTGCGACGTATTTGTGGTTACTTATATCATTAAGTTTAAAAAAATAATTTATATAGACGAAATAATTAATAAATTCACTTGATATTGTTTGCTTGAATTTTCCCATTGATGCTTAGGACTGCAATTGATCAGTCTCTTATTGGCATATGGTCATACTGTGTGTATTGCCTCGATATTGCCTTAGTTCACATGCATTATAATCAAAGATGGATAGTGGCTGGCAATGGAATCCATGACTCACGTTTCGTTCTCAGAGTTGATTTTCACTTCACGATGCAGGTACACCCAGACTTGTATTCGTCCCAGACTTCCATTATACTTGAAGTCTTCAAACATCTGACTAAATTACCTAATCTACATGTCAAGAGCTTTTCAGTTTGACCGTTCAACAAGTAAAAACTTTCGCGAGAGTTCTTTTCTTCTCGAAGTATTGTTTGATGTTGATTCATGGTTCCATCTGTCCATAAATCTATATCACTATCAAGAAGGATATACTTTAAAAAGTCTTGTTCGATTTTTGTGTTCTTTTCTATCTCTAAAGTATAAATTTATATGATAAGTGCAAAATGAAAGCAAGGAAAACAAAGCGCAAATACTGAGCAGTAATGTATTGGTTAATTATAGTAAGGTTTATTGTGGATGTTAGGCATAAATATAACAAATCACACAAAGCGGATGGCCTCTTCATCTTCACATTCGACTGGAAAAATGTTGAGATATTGAATAGACGCAATTTTAAAAACACCAGAGAATTTTTAGAAGCTTGACACCCAGGTCAATCAACAAACACATTGATATCGATCTGATTTATCAACCAATCAGAAAAAGTTATGGACAAATATAAGACCAAAAATCAAATCAATGGGAGATACAGCCAAAATAAAGAAGTAAACAATAGAAGGTTAAAGGTTAACAATGACCAATCAACATCGAGGTCTACAGGACAAGCCGTGAGCCATATGTGGAGCAATTTGAACGCTTCACTTCTACCTGAAGTTTATGCTGATGATGACGTCCAGAATAACGATGAAAGCTCCACGACCAAACCATCTAGCTCAGAGAACAAAACTCCATCAGTTTCTATTATTTATCAGCTACATAAATATGAGGGTTTCCGGCTAAGATTAAATTAAGTTATGGTGTCGAGTTCAGTAGACTGTGATTGATCATTTTTAAAAATTAGATCCGTAACTAATAACGTTAGTAGTTAAGTTCATATATTTTTATCAGACCGATCATGTACTTTAAATACTTCCTTACTTACTTACTTACGCCTGTTACTCCTCGTGGAAGAGCATAGGTCGCCCACCAGCACTTTCCATCCAACCCTGTCCTGGGCAATCCTTTCCAGTTCTTTCCAGTTGTTATCCATCTTATTCATGTCTCCTTCTAATTCTCTGCGTAATGTGTTCTTCGGCCTTCCTCTTTTCCTTTCAAGATTTCAAGTTAGGGCTTACCTCGTGATGAAGTTTTGTTGTGTACTAGGTTAAAAGATAATGGTATGCTATATGCATGCGAATCCGCCCCGTTACGATGCAAGTTTAACACCTGAGAGGAACTTTAATATACACATTATACTTTGAAGGGACACTGATTTCATTTGAAGTAGATATGATTCATTATTTTACTTGGGTAAATAGTCAAGATAAGTTGTTGAATAATTTAAAATTGAATTAGGAATTTAAAAAATGTACTGCATTTAAATTGTTTGATGAATATATACAAGGAAATCTTCATCGACTGTGATGGTTGGGTCATGTGTTACGTATGCCGGAACACCGATTACCACGACGTGCAATACTTACTAGTGTTTGAGACGATGGGAAGAAAGTTAGGGGCGGCCAAACTAAAACGTGGCATCAGTCATTGAAGTCACTAACTTCTAGTCTTAGCCATGTTGGTAGATGAAGACTACCTGATTGACGTCTGTGTGACTAACGTAATCAAGGGTTGGAGACTCAGTGTGACATGGCTCAGGATCGATCACAATGGCGTTGATGTATACATTCTTTGTCTTCCCTTTAACCAATTGACTGACTGATTTTAATTTCATGATCATTATATTCAGTTAATTATTGTTACTACGAGCAAATATATTAAAGATGCACATCATAAAAATAATATATATTCATTTCTTGTACTGCTATGAGAATAAGATCATTCAACAAAGATCAAATAGTTTCCGAACCACTATGAACCACCGATGCATATATGTACCTGTTCCTACATTCTAGCTGACTGAATGACATCTAAATATTAATTATTTTATTACTAATGAAACTAACATACTTTGAAATTGTATTATTCACAGAGCACATTATCTGAGGCATGAAAAAGAGTGTGCAAATTATCTTGATAGTACCTCTGATTACATGTGTTTGATAAAGTTGTATCTGTTCAGGATAAATAAATACCATTATAAACTTGTTAGCTGTGGTCAATAATATCTACAATAGAAAAGACCTGAACTCTTACATAAAACCACAAGTTGTGTATTATTCTTAATATGAAATTTGAAATAGGAAATGTGTATACAAATAGGATTCCATTGCTAACCACTATCCATCTTTACTTACAAAATGTGTATACAGCCTAAAATAAATATTCATGGATTTTGTAACTGTTTATACATAGTTCGATTTTACAAAAAAGTATCATGTGTATAAAGATAAGCAATTTATTAAAGATGGATTACATGGTTCAGGGTAATCACTTGTGAAAAGTACAAATGATAACCATGTTCATGAAAATGATTGAAGGAATTTATTTTATAAACAAGTTTTGAGTTTCTCAGTAGGTGATAACTATTTCAGTGATACACTGAAAATGTTATACTTATGATATCCTTCCATTTGCTGTTTAGATGTCTCTCATTCATTTTCATATATAAGTGCCTTGACAAGTGTATATGTGACTGGATTGTTTAAAATGTATGACTGAAATGTATTTCATTTCTTAAATTTACTAATGTTGGGTTGATCCAGAAAACTTTTCGCAACAGACAAGAAAGGCTCAGGAAACACTAAGAAGCATTTTATCCGATCAGCGTTCACTAGAAATTTAGCCGGAAATATCAAGAAAGTGAAAAGTCACATGTAGAGTTTCTGATTGGCTGGTTATTATACTGCTACTATGTTTAGTAGCATTCCAGAACCTTTGGGAAACCCAAGGACATCTAAAATACTATAAAAACTCAACATTTGGAGTAAAATGCTTCTCGCATATTTTGCGCTTTTCTCTCATGTTCAGGTCGCTGTGTAGTTTTAGCTTGAGGGTTACGAGAATAGCTTAGGAACCGAATATAGCGTTCAATTAGCAAGACTTATCAACTAATCACCAAGATGCTTATAGATATCGGAAGTGAATATCACTTTATTTTCAATGAAAGTGAACCTTAATTACTTGTCCTGTGTCCCTACTTAGTGATACAAGATAGACAAGATTTCAATGAGTTAGTTTACGAATAAATCACAAACATCCATCTCTCTTTAAAATACCTTCAACTTAATGACAAAATTGAAGCAATCCACACAGAATGTTATATGCCACAACAAATTGATCAATTACAGTTCTAAACATTAGATGAGAAAATCTTAACAACCAATATATATTATAATGTTAAGTGAGAATTATATAACTAGGTATACACCTTAATCCTTTAATTTCAAAGTAATTATCTTTTAAATACAATATTTTATTATAAACTCATAACTTTATTCTTTCATATAGGACCACCACCAGTAGTACAATCTCCTGCACCTATAGTTAACCAAGAAGGTGTGCATCAGTTCTTTTTGTTTGTTTGAATGAATGAATGAATAATGTTGTTACTAAGCTTTATATCTTCGTTATTTATTATTATCATTATTAAGTTACAACATAAATCAGCATGACAATAATCAATCTATTAAAAGTACAATTATATGATGTTTCATCAAATAATCATCATTATTAATGATCAGAAATCTGGGAAAAGATATTCATGGTGCATGTACCCAAAATATTTCATGATTTCATTTTGGCCGAGGAAATGTTGTTGCTTTGAATTGACTGAAAAATAATATTCACCTTTTATTATTTTGGTTTGATTTTATTGTTTATTTTCATGTGAGTTTGGTTGGACTACAATTGATGCTGCTTATTTCTTACAGCGAATATATTAAAAAGGGGAATTCTTAGAGTTCTAGTGAAAAGCCGTGACCAGTGGAGCTAATCTGTGTCAGGTAGAGATAGGTATCTACCTCAGTACAATGGAAGGTGGTCACACAATTTCGTGGATTGTTTGAAGTTAGACATTAATACCGTTGGATGCCGACTCAGTGGTCTTGAGCTTAATCCTCCTCTCGCGAGACTGAAGGCCCTGGGTTCGAATCCCGTGGGTGGGATCGTGGATGCTCACTGCTGAGGAGTCCTGTACTAGGACGAAAAGATCGTCCAATAATTCCAGGTTTTCAATGGTGGTCTAACATCAGTCGGTTCATGATCTTAATCAAAAACTTAATAACCTCCACAACCCTATATTGATATTAAAAAAGTGGTGTTTTCCAACAAACATTTAACAGATTTATTTCGATCTAGATATTTCAAGTAATAGTTTAATGTTTCAAACCTGTTCTAGTAGAGTTTATTTCATTAAAATAGTTCTTACTTATATCATGCATCTTTTAGTATATATATCCTTAGTATAAAGATTATGTACACAATTGATTCTTGAATATCATTAGGAAAATGAAGCTCATTATACCTCTAATTAGAGAAATCACTGAATGAGGTTATCCATCACTATAATGATGAAGATCAAATGGTCAGAATATAATCTAAGAAAGCGATTAATGTGATTGCAAGGATAATGTAGACCACAGTAAAAGTTATCAGTGTGAAAAAATCTAATACTTGTTAAGTGCTCTTTAAATGAGTCTCACTTCTCTATGAAGTAGGTGTTGACTGTTTTTAAGAAAAAACGCAATAGAAAGTTATACAATTAAAGCATCTGGCTCACAGAGTACAGTACCACCAAAACATTATGACGTACACATATCTCTTGGTGACAATAAACGTTTGATCAGTTTCTAACAAATGAAGTAATATCAAAGAAAATTTGTTCTATTTACTTACGTGACACTATTAGCGGAAGGTTCCTATTGAATCTGAATGATAATAAGATCATGTTGAAGGTACAGTATTTTTTATTGTCTAACTTAAATATCCCTTGATATAAATCCTTGAGCATTTTATTTTCATGGAGGATTTCTGAAGATTGTAGAATTCCGTAAGTCTAAATCACAACCTGATCTTAGTTAAACCACCAGTGTAAAACTGGAAGCACTAAACAACAATTTCATCCTAGTGCAGGACTTCTCAACAATGAGCACCCACAACCCATTTAGGGTAATCAAACTGAGAACCTTTGGTCTTGAGTGTGAACGTTATACCTGTAGACCATTGAGCCAGTATCCAAAGGTGTTAATATCTAATTTCAATCAATTCCCGATATTGTACAACACTTATCCATTACCTGCTGTTGACAACTTTCTCACACCCAACATGTTCAAACTCCACTGATCACAGCTTCTCACTAGAACTCTAAGGATTACATCTCGAGGCTAGACACTAGTATGCACATGATTATTACTAGTATAAGGGATATGTAACGATTGTGAACTAAGCTTCGCTATTATTATCTAAAGTGTTTGTAAACTCTTTTCTTTTAAACTTCTACGCATGATTTATTGCCAAACAAATTTGGTGCCAATAAAATAATGAAGTCAATAATAATAATAATCAAAGCATGAGCTAAAACGCTTGTCCAATTTTTTTATTTACTCTTTTTAATCTGAATTGGACTAATGCACATGAATGTCTCGAAAGCATGATTATTAACTGTGAACTTTACAGTATCTAATTTAAGAACACTTGTGTATATTTACCTAATCCTACTTTAATTACAGCTCCATTGCAAGCAACACAGTCACCTAGAAAAATGTCTCAACCACAAAGACCAGGTCAGAATTGTCTAAATATACATTAAATTTTGATTACTCCATAATATTGACAAGATTCTATTTCTTATATTCTTATACGGTTACGTATCATTTGAAACCATTGTTATTTGATTAGTCGAAATAAACAAGTAAATTCTATGTTAAATCTTTTAAATGATCCATGTTAAGTTTATAATTCTATTACACTCCATACTGTTATGTAAGTAAAAGTATTAAGTAGGATAAGAGCTCATTATTCTGGAATACATTCATCTTGCATATTAATCTGTAAATAAGTAATTCATATAAATATCTTGTTTCATTTAGCCTGTGATCCAAAACAAGCTTATGCCACAGGTCGAGGAATTCAACCTCAAGGTATACGAGTCAAAGATTTGGCTGATTTTAAAGTACATACAGAAGATGCTGGTGAAGGTCCACTAGAAGTGTCTGTAATTGCTCCAGGTAAAAAAAAATGGTAGATAATTTTTTTCTTTCACAGAAGTTTACATATTATTTGTTTATGCTAATTCCGACTAATAAAAATCCGTATATATTAAGTGTCTGTCACCTGAATCAATACACATTTCTATCGAGTTATATCAATAAATTGAACGATATTATGCATATTTCCAGGTGGTTACATCAATTAACTATGTAGTATTTTTAAAATATGTTTTTCACTTTCAAGGTATTTTGTTCTTTGTTTTATACTGACGAGAATAATGACTGTTAACTGTTGGGATCTATTTCTGGATTAATACTATACATATATTTTTATTGTATAATTGTTAAGTAACTAGCCTACATATATTCATATTCCTCTTATTATAAGCTTTATTTTGACACATAGACTATTACTATACGACTTACCGTTCTTAAGTTATGCCCAGTTTATTAATTAAAGTCGCCCACAATCACAGCCACATTTGGCTAAATCTTGTGCAAATGTTACTTTCTATTTTATGGTACGATGTGGTCTGTTTGGATTGTATATAAATCCAGAATGTTTGAAATAGATGATTCATGTCTCAGAGGCTTAGATTGGTGTTCTGGACTTAACAGGGAGGACTAGGGAAGCAGGACCGATAAAAACTCTAGACTGCTCGTACGATTTTGATGTGTTATTAGTCCGGTAGATAAGTCACTGTTCTCTAATGAACTGTATCATTACGTCATATATTGATAGGGTACAAGACTACAAGTTATAACCTTCTTGATTTAGTCCATTGCGCCAAAATGAAATCAATATTTATTTAAAAATTAGACAAAAATCATACATCCCAACATCATAGTTTGATTTTACGAAACTAAAATAATTCCATTGCATCATAAAATAGCTACAGTTAGATTCTAACTCAGTAGGTCAACATTACGTTGCTTAACAAGTAACTTAAATGTACTGCGCGTAATCACGTCTAGAGCCGTATATTACTTACTAATTTTCAACTAGAACGAAACAGCTATCTTTTTTCCTTTATATCTCTAGAAAGTTTCTCAGTTAATATTAATCAGTAATGAAAACTGGTTTGAAATACCAAAAAAAATTTTTTTCTATTTTTAACAGAGCAGCACCAAGTGACCATTCGAAAGATTTTACTCATTGTTAGTATTGCTTTATATCTTTCTATCAACTAATTCTTTCTTTCTGTACTATATCCTTATACTTCTATGAATCCGGTGTTCATCTTGTGATGCTAATGAGGTGACTATCGTAACCAATGATTGGAGACTGTTTGACATGGCTAAGTATCGATCACAACGGCGTAGCTATATACACTCCTTGTCTTCCCTTGAACTGTGAGATTAAAATTACTATGTCTTTCCTTCCACGAACTAATTCTTTCTCCTTGTCTCATATCCTTATATACAATCTTTATTTGTGTATATTGCTACTATTGAAGTAACTGCTGCTATGAATCTGGTGTTTAATGTGTTGTGATAATGAGGTATGTCAACTTGAACCGATGCATATATCTGCCTGTTCCTAAGTTGTAGCTGACTGATTGTCAGTATTAATGATAATTGTTATGACCTTGATCTGTCTACTCTAGATTAAGACCTTGACTCAATAGGCTGGCCGGTTTAACCTTGGGGCTAGTACGCGTGAGTTCAAGGTGGGGTAGAGAGAAGAAAACTATCCTAGCACCTGATTGGCTGGCAAGCACGCGAATGAGAGAAGACAAGACAGTTGGAACACTATCGGTTCTACTGCGATATCCTGATTTCCTGTGAAATCTCTGAATTCAGATTAGTGCAGAAAAGTACATGAATAAATAAGTGAATATCCTGACCACAACGTACAATAATTTGGAAAAATACAATTATGTCCAAAACTGGGAATTAGAGTAGAAAATAAGGTGCAAAATATTATGTTTAAATTACAATGGCTTCGGAACAAAAAGGGGTATGGCAATGAATGATACATCGAACGAAAGCTCATGTTCTGTAGAATAAAATAGTGACAAAAATAAATGTCAGCGTTTTACAAGCTTTGAATAAAATGAAATAACGTCCCGATAAACAGCTTTCGTAGTTTGTCAGGGCTTCTTGTTTCCCTGTTCACAATAATAATAATAATAGCAATAGCCTGATAAACCTGCAACTCTATCCTAAATATTATCATTATCCATTTTAATTTTTATTAGATTCATACATAACTTAATTAGAATAGTTATGTTTGCCTTAATTTTATCTCGTCATCAATGTCACCAAAATGAAAGATTATAGATTTCTCTAGTAGATAAAGGAATGATTTCATTTACTTTTCCTTTCAAAAAAAAAAACAAAAAACAAACAAGCAACATCTTTTCAGTATCCAGGAAAAGTGAGAAAGTGTAACTACGTAATTAGAAAGTTTTTGTTACCTAGTAAATTTATAATTTATAGAATGAAATAATGATTTAGTACAACTATCGTCATTGAAGATTGAATAAGATTTAGTCTACTGTAATTTTGTTGCTACCAATATGAAACAATTTTTTTGCCTCATTTTTAACATTTTTCTCCTTTTTTTAAAAAAAACGGAAAAAAAAGAGAACAACAGAAATATTGATCAATAGTGGGGTTGTGTTTTTTTTTCTTTTTAAGGAAGTAAAAATATATTGGTGACATAAGTTGCGGTGTAATAAGAAATACTAGTCAAATGATGTAGTTGTAGGTTTTATATGATATAATATATAATTTATATCTACCTTCCATATGGTTATAAAAAAGAAAGAAATCTCATTGAATCAATTCAACATAGTATTCTGAATTCATTCATTAGTTTTATGAGTGATTTTTGCTATGCTGATTAGTGTTGGGGATAGTTGGAAGAAAGTTAGGGATAACCAAACCAAAACATGACATCGGTCCATAATGTCACTACTTGGTTGGGGTCCATGTGACTATCGTAATCAATGGTTGGAGACTTGGTGTGAAATGGCTTAGAATCGATCATAATGGCTTTGGTGTATACACTCTCTGTTTTCCCTTAAACTATGGGATTAAAATCGCTTCGTATCTTTCATTCTACGAACTAATTCTTTCTTCCTGTACTATTTCTTTATATGGAATCTTTCTTTTATATATTACTACCATTGAATTAACCACTTCTATGTATTCGATGTTCATCTTGTTGTGTTAATGAGGTATATCAAATTGAACCGATGCATATATGTGTTTGGTCCTACGTTGTAGCTGACTAACTGATGAGTGATTTAGTTTTTTGTCATGCGTTTATTTATTGAATACTAAGCCTTATGTATGAAAAGTGTACTAGATGGTGTTTGTATGTACTTAAATGTATTGATATATGACTCCTATGAATCTAATTATGATAATCTTTTTGGCTATTAAACTGTAATCATTCGTTTAGTATTCACTATGATTGTGAGATATCCTGGTTACATTTCTCAGATACTTTCTTTTCTGAGAATCCACTTTTTTCTTTATGATTTATATTGTCTATGGTTGATATCTTCTACCACCATTGATACTATTACTAAAATCTTCTATTCTGGTAATAATCCTGATGGTTACATATTGCTGTACTGATATGATGTGGTAACTTTAACTGATACATGTGTGTGTCACTTTTAGTGGACACACTTGATCATAACGTCACTTATTCGTAAACTGAAACAATAACTTGTCAACCATACTGGACAAAGATAATGTTACGTCGATGGCTGAACTATGTTTGTAATTCTTCTGGAATGTCATCAGTAAAGGGTTGTGGAGACTGTTGAGTTCCAATCGAAATCAAGAACTGATCAATGTTAGACCACTACTGAAAACCTAGATGCATTGAAAGGCCGTTTCGTTCTAGTTTGGGACTCCTCAGCAGTACACCGTGACCAATGGAGTTCAACTGTGTCGGGTGTGGACTGATTGAAGTTGGGCGTCAACACTGAAGGACGTCGGCTCAATAGTATAGAGGTTAGCCGTTCGAGTGAGCTCGCGGATACACACTGATGAGAAGCCCTACACTATGATGGGACAGCCGTCCAACGCTCCCAAGTTTCCAATAGTCTAACATTGATCAGTTCATTATCTCTTCTGAAGTGGTTTAAAAATGTACCTTAAGAAGGAATTACTTCGAGATTTCCAATAATACATACATTTATCATTACGAACCATGACATCCTTCCTTTCATGACTAATTAATTCACACTGATAATGAAAGTCTCTCAATTAGCTAATAGAAAGTAGCATTACCAGAACACCTAGTTGAACTGACAGTTCTGATTGTCCTTCATTTTTTTCTTTTTAATATTTAGATGGTAGAGGAATTCCTTGCACAAGTCGAAAAACTGGTGCCTATTTGTTTGACTGTAGTTATACACCTCAACGACCAGGTACACATCAAGTTAATGTTCGATATGGTGGAGATCATATCATGCTAAGTCCATTTACGGTAAGTAATTTTAAAAGATATACTATTCGTTGAATACATTTAATTTAGTATTGAAAAGATATTCATTAAAAACAAAAAAAATAGTTTATATCAAATAGATATGTACAGTTTGTGTTCAGTTATAGATGCATAATCGAGATCGTGATATCATGCCGGCTCAATGGCCTTAGAGGTTAAGGGTTCGTGTGTGAGACCGGTAGGTCCTGAGTTCGAATCTCGCGGGGCGAGATCGAGGATGCAGACTACTGAGGAGTCCCACAGTAGGACGAAACGGCTGTTCATTGATCCCAGGTTTTTCATGGTGGTCTAGCTTCAATTGATTCATGATCTCAACTGTTAAAATTACTATAGTATCCACGAAACCCCTTCTGATACATGCACAATTGTCAAGTAAAAAAATATTATTACTTTATCCTTTGTTTCTCTATAATTTATGTGTCAAAACATAGAAGTGTGTAAAAACTAACATGTACAATATTCTGTCATATTATTGACCAAGTTATAATATAATCAATAAGAACTTTCGTCTAAATTTGATCGAATAGTTTCAAAGTATTTGGGCACCAAGTTGATATGAGACATTAAAGAGGAAGAGTGTATTTGTAATATCTCAGCGAAAGAACACTGTTGTGACTTGGTTGCATCTATTGACTAAATAGACAGATTTATAATGATTAGGTATTAAATACAAATTACGTTTTTTTTTTATCTAAATGAGTAACATGACTTAGAATCCATCACACTTGTGCGAATCCATCCACTCTTTATTTCACCCTAGATCTTGAGCTACAAGATTCCTCAGTAGATCCCTTCTTTTCAGTCTATATCCTCAATGTCTAACCTTTCTCATTATCAATTCTACAATGTGATTTTGATTTCACTATTCATTTTATCAATTCCATTTTGTGCGATCACCTCAGGCTAACGTATATTTATGTAAACCCCTATGTTAATTAAGATTGACTGACCCACTTATTTGAGTCATATATACATGCAGATGACTTCTCACTGATAGTAATATTTATAAATTTCAACATTCTTTTCATACATATAAATAACAGGTGGAAGTTGCTCCTTACAAAGAATCGCGTATAAGAGCATTTGGTCCAGGTCTCGTTGGTGGTGTGGTCAATAAACCAGCTGTTTTTGTTGTGGAAACAAATGGTGAAACTGGCGCTTTAGGTGAGTTACATATCTATTTCTTATCAATTCTCTGTTTTTATTGAAATAACAACAGCGTGCATATAAAATGTTATTCCTCTAAATGTCTGTGGTTCATCCATTATTTTGTATCCCATGATTATGAAACCTAAACAAATAATCGGTAAAGTGATAAAAACAGTAATTAAACCAATGTTTTTATTAGGTACAATAGGTAGACTGTTGGTGAGATTAAATTCTCACAGCTTAGTGGTTTAGTCAAGAAATTAAGATTATCGTATACTTAAAGTAGCTCCTGATCATGTCGAGAATGATAATAATTTAACTTACATCATGGATTGTTCTTGGTTAAACAGATTTTGGAAACCAGGAAGTTAGAAATATTCACCCAACGATCCCAACTTGGTGGTTTAGAGATAAAGCATGTGCACGAGACTAGAGATAATAGGTTAGATCGCCAATGGATCCGGGGATCCCCAGTGTTAGGTGACTACATACTAAGAAGCAACTGTCTAGTGCCTACTCGTTTTTAGTAACTCAAATAAAATCAAACTGTGATGTAAAAATATGAAAACATGAACAATATCCATAAACCTCCAATGCGGATAATAATTTAGTTGAAAGTTCGCTCTGAGTAAAATAAAAAGAATTGAATCTTCTTCCAATTAGCATTATGAATGTAATCTCGATCACGAGAAATCAGCGCTTCATGTGATTTTATTTTCACGCCATACCACCTAAAGTATTTAATGAGACAATGAACTCTTTATTATCAAGCCTAAGAGATTTAAGTATCAGTTCCATCAAGGTAGTAAAGACACCATTCTAAGTATTCGCAAGTAGTACGTTATCAAGGAAAGGGGATTCTTTGGGATGCTGTCTAACTCACTAACATTTAAACACATTATATTCAGTGTCGATTCACTTAAGCTAATGATGACTACATTACAATTTGATCGATAGAATTCGACTAGAAAAATTCCATGCATTTAGTGGCTTTCACAGATATAAGTAAAGCTATAACGATAATAATTTCCAAAGTTGATGAATTTCATATATTTCTTTGCTTTTGATCCAGCTCTATAAAAGAACTTAGATTAGTATATTAGTCTAGAAGAACATGACACTGGTCACTACTTAGTGATCAATCACTATAAAGGTATATTCTTTGAAGGTTTTTACAAGATGAAAAGAAGCTAGACTTTTGAAATCTTTGAAAAAAATATATTAAGTACTTTCTCGTTTCTGATTGTCTCAGCAGTAAAGTGTAGTTTTACTCAGATGAATGAGCAAGCATAATACATCCGCTAAACTTTATAATAAATGAACAGACTTTTATTTGAATTCAACAAGTCCTTTCATTTAGAAGCATAGACGTAATCTCAAAACAGATTATATTGTGGATAACCTAAATAGATATCACTAACAAGTAACAATTTGCGTGCATTAAACAAACATTACTTTTATTAGTTGAAATCATGAGTCAATTAAAGCTAGACCACCATGGAAAACCTGGAAGCACTGGACGGCCGTTTCATCCTATTGTGTGACTCCTCAGTAGTGCACATCCACGATCTTGCCTAGCTAGATTCGAACTCAGCACCTATCAGTCTCGCGTGCGAGTGCTTAATCACTAGACCACTGAGCCGGTTGGCATCCAACGGTGTGAATATCTAACTTCAACTAATCCACGAAATTGAGTGACACATCCACCGTTATCTTCAATGAGTTACTATCTCACAACAGATTTGTTTGAACTCCATTGGTCACTGCTTCTTACTAGAACTCTAAGGAATACCTCTTCAAGCCAGTCATATTACTTTTTATACAAATTTTATTATTCACATGGATATTACTCAAAAGCTATAATATTATAAAATACAATCATTAATGTTAGTTACTTATTTTCAAAATGTTATCATTCTCATTATTAGTAATCATTTACTATAAGTTCTTTCTAATCATAATCCTTTCATTCAACTGTAATCATGCGTATTTAAATATCATCCTACACTCAGTAATGAATCATATAAACTTCTAGCCTAATAGAAATTACACTTACCTATTGAAATACATAAATATACTATAACTCAATACATTCTGTTTTCAATATATTCAGTCTATTTCAACTGTCAATAATCTAAACTCTGTTCTAGGAATTGATAGAAAACCTACATATATTTATGCTTCATTTAAAAATTAACTGAACTATATATACATATACATTAGTATATGTAATGTACACATCAGATAGGGTGTAGCATCAAAATGAAACAGTCTCCCTATTTTTTTTTTGTTTTAGCCTAATACGTCTATTAAAAGTTAATATACTTGAATAAACTTACATACGTATCTGTAATTGTCCTACCCGTTCGTCGAGTATAATGTTTCTATGAGGAACAAAAAAAGAAATATATTTAGGTTAAGTACATGTTTCCTGAGTGATATTAAAATTATGTCAATGAAAATTCACTAAACATATTACACATAAAATTCGTCCATCATAAAAGCTTAATTTGCTTTTTTGTTGTTGTTGTCCTTGTTGTTGCTAAGCTTTCAAATCATCTTGTCTTCTACCGGAAATAACATTTGATGTGAGTTATAAAGACAAACATGGAGAGGGAGAGAGAGGGAGGATATACAGTTAGAATGTAATACATTTTTGAAATTTTTGAAAATTGACGTGTAACTGTACAATTTTGATGAATACTATAAATATTATGTATATCGTAATGTACATTTAAAACTGCTTGAACATCTGAGTTACCTGTTCCTGTCATCTAGATGGTTGAATAAGTTATCTCATTTTAATACTTCAGATCATGAGTCAATTAAAATTAGACCACTATGAAAAACCTGTAAGTACTGGATGGCCTACTGTGGAACTCTTCAGCGGGGTTCGTGGGTGCGCACTGTTGAGGAATCCTACAACAGAACGAAACGGCCGTCCAGTACTTTCAAGTTATCTATTTTGTTTGTTTTAATATATCATTATGTTTATTAATCACATAACCTATTCAGATGTGTTTCTGAAAAATGTACAACCTTTCGTTGTACAAATTACAAAAGGTCTCATCAGAGATATCATAGTTGCTGGTAATATTGGACATAATAATATTCCATTTCATATATATGTACTTTTTAAACTAAATATGATAAAGATCCTCATAATATTGTCTTCTTTTAGAAGAATTTAACTCTTGAAATAGATTAGAAATAAACTATGTTAAGGGATAAAAAATGAATATCAACTATCAACTCCATTCAAAATGTCATGTTAAACTACTTAAAGGACAAGATATACTTACCTGTATTGATTATTAAAATCGCTGTACATACATCATATACTATACAGTAATCTGAGTTACATTATTTATTATTTTCAAATACAATCTTAGTGGAACTAATTTTTTTGTTTTCCATTTCATTTGAAGGTTTTTCAATCGAAGGTCCAAGTGAAGCAAGAATTGATTGTACAGATAATGGAGATGGATCAGCTACTGTAGCTTATTGGCCAACAGCTCCTGGTGAATATGCAGTTCATATTTTGTGTAATGATGAAAATATACCAAAATCTCCTTTCATGGTTCCAATTGAACCAGATATGGGTAAATGTGATCCTGAAAGAGTAAGTCACATATAGAAATATATGATACTTTATTTACTAACTAGTCGATGGAACATAAAATGAATTGTATTAATTTAAATCTTATAATAGGTTAAAGCACATGGACCAGGTATAATGCCAACTGGGAACGTTGCTGGTCAACCAACTGAATTTACAGTAGATATTAGAGATTCTGGTGGTCCTGCCCCATTAACAGTTGAATGCAGAGACAATGAAGGTGAACCAGTTGCATTGAAAGTTCGTGATAATGGTGATGGTACTTATACATGTAGCTATACACCTAAAGTTCCCAAAAAACACACAGTTCTTGTTTCCTACGGTGGAGTCAATATACCTAGAAGTCCTTTCAGGGTAGGTTTTATTGTTGATAAATTTAAACTTGAAGAAACATTCTTTAGTCACCACATATTTACCTCATTCATATTTATATAACTTTTGGCGAAACTATAAATTATGGATAAACCAACCAGGCTTACGATAACAGGTATTGGATTTTGACGAGAAATTCATTCATCCGTTTGCCTAAATACTATTTTGGCATTTTAGCTGATGATATCAGTCAGCCAGTAACAACGTAGAACTTCGTACGTAAGTACATCATTAGCACACTAGCACAGAGATGCAGTTGTCCAAGATAAGTGAGGCGGTCGACACGCTCGACTACTTCACTCCCTATCATTAGTTCGGGTGTCGATGCCACCCCGATCCTGAAGCAACATTTTGCATTTCGAGGCGGAGAATCGCTTCCCGAGATCTAATTCTTAACTCTAACCATCAACTATAAATCCTAATCCTCATTCCTCACACTAATATATAACCCTTATTTGACACTAGTTAGTTAGGTGAACATTCCAAAATCATTTTAGAGTTGCTCAAAGGTCATCCATAAATTATAGTTTTACGTATTTTGTTAACATTTCACTGAAATTTCCGTTACCAATACCTCTTTTATTATAATTTAGCCACTAGTATTTATATTCATTTACTGGAAATCTATATCAGTAGTGCATGTAAACTGTATTCTCTTTTTTGAATGCTTTATCATTCAGTGGCATAGATTTGTTTCAAAAACAAGTTTTTACTTTAAACTAGTTTCAGCTAAATTTATATAAGATTTAATTACGTTTGTCAATTGATAATTAATTATCTAGTATTTTGATGCCAACTTGATTTATTTAAACATATAAACATAGGTAAAAGGAGGCACCCAATAGATATGCGCTACATAAATCATTCGATTCGTGTGAGGGATAGGATTACTGCCCGAGTACCCAAACCGAAACAGGTGGTTTTCTTAGGTGGCCATACTCTGATCCTTTGATTTAGATGTCTAATCCACAAGGTAGTAGAGCAAAGTAAGTAGAGGCAGTCCTATGGTAGCCAGTGACCAACGATTGGTTCATATGCCATTTGTTACTTCTGGATACTGGGGCCCATGTAAACCATTGGTTACGAATCAGAGTTTTTCAACTCCCCTAGGCGAACTCTTTATATACATCAATCCGGTTAAAGCGCCGAACATTCGCTTTTCGTCCTGTCAATTTCGTAAACAACAGCTCCGCTGCGAGAAGGCAGTTAGTAGGACTTCCCTGACAGTGGTTGTATTCATGTGACGACGTCAAAGCATTTGGAGAGAGAGAGCTGACTCTCACCACTCTCGGCCGTACCAGGGCATTTGGGCGCTAACTACTTTTAATTAGTCGAGATTATATACATGATCTGCCAAATGTAATTCACATTAAATTATCAAAAAAGTTAGAAAATATTTAATTTATTTAGTTCAACAATCATTAAGTTTCAAGTAAGAATGATTTCATGTTAAATCTATTAATTAATATATATCTGTTTATTATCATCAGGTTGAAGTAGCTGAACCTAGTAATCCAGGAAAAGTGCGAGTTTTTGGTCCAGGTGTAGAAAATGTTACTAGAGGTCAACCAACCTATTTCACAGTAGACTGTAAACAGGCTGGACATGGTAAGATTCGTTTGGTACACTTTTGTTTTTAACAGTATAATTTGGTTGGAATTCCTGCCACTGTTTACTGCATTCTTATCAGAAGGAGTTTTGTGAAGATCTTAGTAATTTTATAATTGGATTCACAAGTCAATTGAATGCGGACTTAGTGGTCTACAGGTTAATCATTCGCGTGCGAGACCGATAGGTCCTGAGTTCGAATCTCGTGGGGTGGGATCGTGGATGTGCACTGCTGAGGAGTTCCACAATAGAACGAAACGGCCGTCCAGTGCTTCCAGGTTTTTCATGGTGGTCTAGCTTCAACTGACTCGTATGGAATTGCATCCCACCCTGAACTGATCGCCATAAGAAATCTACCAAACCCAGATATATTTGATCAAAAAAATAAAAAGCTCTGTACAATGTTGTACAACGTTGACAAAAATTACAGATCTACTTTGTGAATTTTTATTATTTGTTTGAACATATAAACATTGGTGTGGGGAGACACCAAAATACGCAAAGGTCACATGATAAAAATGAGCTTATGAAGAGATAGTGAAAAGAAGACGCGTATAATAAAAAAAGCATAAAAATGGGTTGGAATTAGTGTATGAGAGTGAAATAATAAAAAAATAATGATAAAGGGAGAAGCAGTTCAGTTAACAAGAATACGACCTGAGAGAATTCTTTCAGTTAAGGAAGTTATACTTACTTTCTCTAAAGTAAAATAAAGTTATAGCAAGATCTCTACTGACTTCTATTCTGAAACATATCTTACAACGTCTACAGCTATTGTGTTGTACCATCTCTAGTACCCCGGGCAGGGAGTTGTGAAGGATCAACAGATACCAGACCTGTACATCTTTCATGCCACAACACCATGTCATACACTGACCACCTCTCCGCTTCTTCCAACCAGTTCCAGTGTCAGCAAATAATGCACGATGTGGAATTCACTGGTACGTCATTCACAGGATATGTTCAGGCCACCGAATTCTGTGTTTCAAGATAGTGATACGGATTTAATTTTTGTGGCTGTGCCCGAACACAAGATGTCAAACCTCTGAATTTCTAAAATAGTGTTGCCATTGTATGTCAGCAATCCGCTGGAGACTGATGATCAAACACAGAATCGCTTAACATCCTAAACTCGAAGAGGTTAGATTTCACAACTATAGAGAAAAAGTGCTCTCACCGATGCGTTGTAGACCCGACCTTTTACAGTCGGACTAATATCACAAAGGCGCCAAAGATGACCGAGATTGACATGAGCCGTTCAGGCTTTTAGTATACGTGAATTGATCTCATCATTCACGCCACCACCTGCACTTATGCAGATGCCCAGTGTACGAACTTCTCGACTACTTCTATCTGCTCACTGCCCAGGATAAGTGCAGGATCAGGGTCCTGACCGTCTTGTAAAATTACTTTGCACTTAGAAGGTGCGAAACACATACCATACCTACGGACACTAATTGACAACTGATTAAGTGCGGATTGCATGGCACAGTAAGACAATATCATTCTCATACTCAAGGTCGAGAAGTCTTTCTCCAGGCAAAAGATCCGCACCACCATTACCTACATCTATCAGGGCTGTTTCCAGAACGTCACCGATAGCAAAGTTGAAGAGGGATGGTGAGATTGACAACACTAACTAGCCGCAATGCTTGAAGGGAACAATGGAGAAAGGTGGTTGTATGCCCTTACTCGTACATAAATCAGAGAAATTCTATTAGGATGATGTATTAATTTCACTCATTACAATGGTATTAATGGTAGTAATAATGAAAATTAGAAACGAATCTCAGGTTAATGTACATGTTTCTAAGTTACGCTTTTATTTAAGCGTATATGCTAAAACTTGGCTTCCCAGATGGGCTCAAGTGAAACCACATTTCAACTCAAAGCCTAGCATTGTCAGTTTACATTAAAGCTGTCTCATCAAATCATGAAATGTTATAATCTTTAATTAACTTTCAGTGATATTCCACTTTGTTTTTAAATAAAGGCAATGTTGGAATTAGTGTCACTGATGAAGCTGGACGTGATGTTGCTATGGATACACAGGATATGAGAGATGGAACATTTAAAGTTGCTTATACAGCTAATACACCGGGGCCTTATTATACTGTACAAGTATTTTTCAATAATCAAGAAGTTCCACGTAGTCCATTTAAAGTACCTGTTAAACCAAATATCGATATGTCGAAAATTCATGTTGAAAATCTTGAACCAAGTAATTTATACTAAAGTTTGTTTTCATTTATAATATCATGAATGGTTTATTACTAAAATACTAAACCCTCTTAATTATAAAGCCATTAAATATATGGAAATATACCAGTTTCTATTTGTATCTGATGATGCATCAATAATATGAGAATATGAATTTCTGTACTTTTTTTCTATGCAAGTCTCCATGACTGAAAGAATTCACTATGAGATCTGAAGATCTTGGATTCTATCCTTGATATAGTTGAAGGTATTCACTGTTGAAGATTTTTAGACTAGCTATCCAGTACTTTCCGGTTTCCAATGTCTCTTCAGCTATTGTATCATACACTACTAATTTACTTAAATCATAAGACATAATACATCGTTAAAACTAAGACTATCAATGAAAACGTGAATGAACTATTATTATTTTATTTATTTATTTGAACACATAAATATGGGTACAAGAGGGCACCAAATATATATGCGCCACACCATATTTGTATGTGTGAGCTGTGATACTGCCCGGGTGCCCAGACCGAAGCAGGTGGTATTCTTAGGGGGCCACACCCGAGCCTTTGACCTAAAGGTCTAACCCACAAGGCAGTGGAGCATCGTGGGGAGATGCAGTCCCATGGTAGCCGGTCACCAACGATTGATTCATACGCCATTTGTTCCTTCAGGAAACTGGAGCCCATGTGTACCATTGGTTTGGGATCCGGTTAAAGCGCCGGACGTTCACTTTTCGTCCTCTCATTTTCGTAAACAACAACCTCGCCACGAGAATGCAGTGAGTAGGACGTTCCTGGCAGAGGCTGTATACGCGCGGCCGTATGAGAGCATTTTGAGGGAGAGAGCGGACTCTCCCCACTCTCGGCCATACCAGGGCATTCGGGGGCTTGAATGAACTAAATAATTCCAAGCTACAAATATAAATACTGATCCTGCCACAAGAAACAATAATACTGTACACATATATGGATCAGTTTATATGAAACTAAATTGTAGTTTTTGATATTAATACAATTTGTTAAAGAGAACTCAATTAAGTAGATTATAGAAACAATGTTACTTAGTCCATCTGTTTTCAATACTTTTATAATCAATAAAAGAATTATTAACTGGTTGTACTTCCACAGTGGAACATCAGCTTTGTGACGTTTGTTGGTGAGATTATAATTTATGGACGACTTTTGATCAACTGCTTATTATTACTTATTTTTTAATTATAACTTTTCATTTAGTAAGAACGCTTGACATTTTGTATATTTTTATTAACTTATCCGATATCTAAAAAACTTTTCTTTAATATACAATCAGACTACATCAAAATCATGAATCGTTCTAAATTAGACAGTCATCGAAAATATATAAACTTTGGATGGCTGCTCCATTCTATCGTGGGATTCTTCGACAGTGCCCATCCATGACCCTGCACTCGGAAACGGAACTCTGGGGCCTCGGTTTCACACACAAACGCTTGATTTTTAGGCCACTGAACCGGGATCCAGTGGTGTATAAGTCTAACTTTAATCGATTCGAGATATTGAGCGAACATTTTGCATTGTTTTTGGTAGGTATCTTCATCACACTCAACACCGTTGGACTCCATTTGTCATAACTTCTCACCAGAACTCCGGAAATTTCCTCTCGGAGCTAGTCACTAGTAAGACCAAAGGTTCCCAGAGTTCAGATTCCAGGATGCTCACTGATATAGAGTCCCTTGATAGGACGAAATACCCATTCAGTTGCTAACAGGTTATCAATAGTTGTCTCAGATTGGTTAGTGATTCCAATAAAATTCAGGAATCTCCACAACCTCGTATTGGATGAACTATGTTATTCCTAAGACTTCATTCACTTTATACACTGTCCAATATTCTTTAGATAACTTTCAACACTGCTGAAATCTTTTCAACATGAGTACATCATTCAAACATTTTCAAGAAAGTAGTGAAAGTACAAACGGGATGGATAAATCCCACAGAATATTGGGAAAATCTTTCATAAAATAAATGAGTTAAAATGTTATTTCTAGTAGGTAAAGGTGGACTTGTAACTAGTGGCTGACGTTTCAAGTAGATAGTATACAGTAAAATGAATATTTTATATTGTTTGTTCAAAATGTTCAGTATTTAGTGATATGCATCTTTATGTAGTATTTATTTTTTTAGACCATCCCATAATCTTCATATTTATCCACAGTTATTCATCGCAGGCGACGGAAGAGGGTTGCTCGGTATTGTGAAGCGACTAAAATTAGGCATGCAAACCATTGGATCCCGTCTCCGTAGCCTAGAAATTAAGTGTAAGACATAAGGTCTTGGGTTCCCTAGTATGGACACTACTAAGGAGCCCCATATTAAACCTAAACACTTGTTAGTGGTTACTGATTTTCTATAATTTTTTAACCAAGATCAGCCCATGATGTTGGTTATAAAATACAACAATCTCCAGAAACTCCTTTTACAAACAATTTCCCATAATTCTTGTCCTATAAATATAAGTTTTGTAAAAAGATAGTATTACTGTTACATGGAATGTGATTATTGACTGAAATATATCATTGAAATATTCAGCAATTACATGGTCAGGTAAGGTAGTTCATTGGTAGTTCATAGTTCACATGATTTTTAAACAGTGAATATATATTACTTCTAGTATAATTTTAATATGGAAAATCACTGATAATATCCATTGAAATAAATCCTGTATGTAAATAAGTTTAATATCTTTATTTTATAAATCAGCTATCACTACTGGTGTACCAACTGAGTTTGATGTGATAACTGCGGGTGCAGGCCCACCAAATAATAGTAAACCGAAACCAACTGTAACAGTGAAATCTCCGAACGGTATGCGTGTACCATGCACTTTAGCTGAAAGCGTTGATGGATATACACCTTCCTTTACACCAACTGTTGTTGGACCTCATACTGTTGCTGTTGAAGTTGGAGGTGTACCAGTCAAAGGTAGTCCATTTCGTACAAACGCCATTCCACCAGCTGCAGTGCAAGAGCCTATCTATCCAAAAGATTTCGGACGTCAGCAGGCTACTTCAGCACCTATTTCTGGACCTGAAGCAGCAGCTTTGGTCCGCGCATATGGTGACGGACTTTATCGTGCAGTAGCTGGAAAGCAGGCGAAATTCACAATCGATAGTCAAGATGCTCCACCTGCTCCACTAAGTGTTACAATTGAAGGACCTGCAGAAGCTAAAATAAATTATAACGATAATGGTGATGGAACATGTGGCGTAGATTATTTACCAACTGAACCAGGACCATATGTTGTAAATGTTTTATACAAAGATACACATATTAAAGGAAGTCCATTCCCTGTAAGAGTAGCTCCACCTGGAAGAGAACATATCGATATATCCCGAGTTCATGCCTACGGTCCTGGATTACAACCAACTGGTAGGCAAAATCAACAGAGAATGCTACAAATTTGTAATTTGCATGATTCCGTTACATAAATCTCTTTAATTAACTTTTCCTATAAAAGATCTAACAATGATGTTGCATGACAAAGAACTTTAATGAAATCAATCAGCATGTATTTGTATTCATAAAGCATGTTTGTCATTCTAAATATGGAAAATATGCTCGTTTTCTGAATATTTAAATGGTGATTAAACAAATTACTACTTTAATGAATATCATCTTTTATTATTATTCCGTTTTAAAGGTGTTTTCAAAGAATCATTTGCTAAATTCACAGTTGATGCTAAAGCGGTTGATCCACAAAGTAGAGGAATAGTTAAAGCTATTGTAGTTAGTCCGAATAAACAAAGAACAGCATGTTTAATACAAAAATAATGGTGATGGAACATATAAATGCAGTTATTCACCAATAGATGATGGTAAGTATATAAAAGAGATTTTGATTAGTCCAATGTATCTTCATTTATTAACATTATCCTATATAATTAATTTTTATGGTTATAACTTTAAAGGATGAATCGATAAATTCTATGTGCTACTTATATATAACGCGAGTCATGAATATAATGTCTGGCAGCAGAAGATTGAGAAGATCGAGAAGGAATGAACGGGAACAGAAAACGATTGATATGGAAATGAAGGAGCAGTGAAGTCTGAGACGAATGATTGATATTTGCAAAGGAACAGTGAAGTTTAAGACAATTGTTTGATATTTTGCAAATGAGGTATCTACTGTATGATTCTGTACAAATATGTGTTCTTGTTCACTACATTATGAACTCTGACTTTTAAGAACTTCATCGAAACATGATTATGAATATTTTCCAGCATATTTATATAGATACCATCCTGTTAACCAAAGGCCTTCTAACTTCCACAAAAGTATGGTTTTGTTTAAAAAGTTACCTGGAAAAGCAAAACTTAAAAGAATGAGTAAATGTTAAATTTAATATCACGGCCTGTTCACAGAAATATTCGCCCATGATTTTCGTTAATTATTTAATAACAAATTAAAACTAATGCATTCCAAATCATTGAAATCTATGCAAAAGTAAACAGTCACTTTTTTTCAATTTAACTTCTTATAGGCTTACATCACGTTGAAGTTACATATGATGGAGCACCGGTACCTGGTAGCCCCTTCCCAGTAAATGTTGCTCCTGGATGTGATCCAACAAGAGTAAGAGCTTACGGTCCAGGTTTAGAAGGAGGCTTCACTCATGAGCCTCAAAGATTTACGGTCGACTTAGATGGTGCGGGTCAAGGTGCCCTTGGGTTAGCTTTAGAAGGGCCAGCTGATGCACAAATACAATGTCAAGATAATAAAGATGGAACATGTACAGTGGACTACTTACCAACACGGGCAGGAACATATGATATCTTTGTTAAATTTAACGATATGAATATTCCAGGCAAGTTGAACTTTTTTCTACAGGGATTTTTATGACACAATTACTTATAAGCGAGTATTTGATTTGGATTAAACGGTGTTTATATTATTTGTGTTTCGCATAGTTGAATGTTTGTTTTCCACACTGATGATACCTTTAAAGTACAGTTGATGCCCAAAACGTATTACCTGACCTTAAGTTTATCTGTGTTTAATAATTAGGTGCATATACAAGTGCAACTAACTCTTCAACATTAATTATTTTCAATCGCATCAATAAGTGATCGTGACATGATATTACTTAAATATACAACTAAATAGAAAGTGGGAGACACAAGATAATGATACATTAAAGATGACTGCTTATACAATTAGTTTTGACTAAAAACAAGCGGTGTTCCGTCAGAAGATCTAGAATACAATCTCTTGTATCTATTCTGAAAAAACTAGTCCCACACTTGTCTAAAATAATTACAGCTGTAACTGTAATTAAGACATGTGCATTAGAATCATCTACTTGGCTCCGTGTTATCAGAATCCCTTGCATGATTATTGTGATCATTAAGCGTATCCTAGACTTCTCCTAGACTTACAATCCATTGGATTGTAGACACCGATATAATTGAGTCTTACTCGTAATGGGTACACTTATGCATGTAATTTTTATGTACAAATTTATCCGTAATCCATTTTAGGATTTCGTTCAATGAGAACTCTGTTAGATTATTACAAATAAATTTCATATTTGGAAGTTACGCCAAGGTATAAACGCTCAACCGTCTACTGATTGGTTCTATAGATGAGTAATAGAAAACTAATAGTTCTTGAATGATCGACGAAATTTGCGACAACCCTTTGATATATCCTTTATTTTCATTGGTACTTACCATTAAAGCTAATCTTTACCAGATTTCTCATTTTCACTGTGTTTCCACTTTAATCGATATATATATATATATATATATATATATATATATATATATATATATATATATATATATATATATATATATAATCAGTAGTCGTTCCTTAATGGACTAGTCAATTAGAGGAGAGTATTTAGCTAAGTTAATGATAAAACAGAAGTTCATAAGATTCTCAGATTATGGCATACATTACTTATCATTGCTCAATCATTTGGTGACTAATAAATAATCTCAGAGGCAACAAATAAGAAATAAAAGTGATCGAACCAATTATTACTTCCATTTAAGGAATCTTCGTTCTTAAAGCCTGATCACTAATTTACTACAAACAGAACTTCATTTATTTTGTTTTCCAACAGGTAGTCCATTTCAAGTTCCCATACGAGATGTGGTTGACCCAACTCGTGTTCGTTGTTATGGTCCAGGTCTAGAGCCTAGAGGAGCACGAGCGCAACAGCCAGCTCACTTTACTGTCGATGCTTCACAGGCAGGAGATGCGCCTATCCAAGTAATTATTTAGAGTTATCTAATAAGTTTCCTTAAAAATCGTAAATAAATTTAGATTTCTGTTGCTTTAATATATTGCTGTGTTAAAATTCATCCACTCTATGGTAGAGTAACCAGTTATAGGTTATAAGAATTTACTTATGAATTACTTTAATAAGATTGATCACGATCCCATATGAATGAAGATGAAACACAACGTAAGAGGGGTAGAGATATACGTAGTTGTTTGGCAGTAAATGTTTGTTATGTATAGTGACAACCTCTGATATATAGAAAAATGAGCAGTTGGTAAGTGATCTAATATGAAAACAAAATAAGCTTCCTTCTTAATCTAATTTTCACTATCTATAAAATTCTAACAAATAAACAGTTTCAATGGTTGAGATCATGAGTCAGTTTAAGCTAGACCACCATGGAAAACCTGAAAGCATTGAACACCCTTTTCATTATATTGTGGGACTCCTTATCGGTGCTAATCCACGGTCCCACGTAGCGGGGTTCGAACTCAGGATATATCGACCTAGCGCGCGAACGCTTAACTTCTAGACCATTGAGCCGACACCCAACGGTGTTAATGTCTAACTTCAACTGAGGAGCCCCACAGTAGGACGAAACGGCCATCCAGTGCTTCGAGGTTTTCAGTGGTGGTCTAGCTACAAGTGGCTCATGATCTCAATCATTGAAATTACTATAATATCCACAAAAACCCCTTCTGATACAAATATACAAATATTTGTTGATCTATAATTTATCACATATATACGATTGTACATCTTTAAAAATAAACCAGGTGAAAAGGATTCCGTTGCTGAATAAATGATTTGATGACTATTTACACTTCGGGTTAAACTACATACAATAGATTCTAATCCTCAACACCCTTTCATATGTGTCTTTGTCCTGTCCTATTCCTATAAAACACTCTTAAATGTACCTCATCTCTTTTGATTCATCTTATATCGGTGTAAGTATTAACGTGATCTTACTCTATCGATTATAACTCATCCGGCTAGAATGACTTTTTCTTAATCTCTTCTTATGTAACCTTCGAATTTTACAAAGGATACATTTTTGCCTTAATGAAATGTGAAATCCGTTATTCTCAATAAATAACCTTAGCTCATTCACTTATAACTTCTGGATTTTTCCTAATCACTATACACCATAATCTAACAGTTATGAATTTATAGTTGTAGAATCTAGAACTATATAAAACTGTTGTTGCTTGAAAAATCCATTGATTATAAAGTCTACATATTTCTATATGTAGAATAGTGAGACCCTAAGTGGATAATGCGTCAGCGTTTGGATCCCAAGCTAATGTGCCCGAACACCGGGATGAATATCAATTATTGTATGTCCAGTTGACGAGTTCTAATAAAGTCAAAACCTGAATTCTGGATTCCACTCTTAATCACATTCTATCCATTGTAATATTGTGACATGATTGCTGTAATAAGACATTCCGCACAGGATGCACATATCCCAAACGAAGACTGGTCAAAATTCAATCAACAACGGGTTACTCCAAATAATAACAAATGACGCAATTCCTTATTATAATATCTTTGGTGCTAGGATTGCTTTTCATAGAGAAACAAGCTATAAGATTTTATACTAATGATACTAGTGATACTTGCCTATGATTATCAGTTACAGAGTACGGCACATTTCAAAATGCATACTAAATATAGTAGTACGGACATTGAATTATCATTCATATTGGGCCTACAAAAAGACAACAACAAAATACCACTTGACATTTTTTCAACCAATGAGAATAAACATTTGGCACAATTTTATGATAGAAAAGAATCCTATTACAGTGTAGGTTGTAATCAATAGGCCATGAATAGAAAGAATACTGCCTACAGTCTTTAAATAAAAGGTCAGGCTCTTTGTGTAGGCGGTAAAAATAAGGCTTGGGAAACGAACAGATTATTGTCCAACATGCTTTCTAATTATGATTTTTTTTCCTATGAAAAGTTTTGCTCATTCATGTATATACTTTGTGGTATAAATAAACCAAAAGACAGAAAGCTGAAATTTTTGGCTTTTTAATAATCGATACTTAACACAATAAGTTTTGAATGAAATTCATGCTATGGTAAACCCTTGAAGTATGAGTTACTCATCCCTTTGTTGATTAGTCCCTACGTACATAAAACCTAGATTCAGGTCATCTTATTGACTGACTTCAAATATATTACATTTGATTTCAGTCTAAGATGGAAGGATAATAATTTACTTCACATAATACTCAAACACATGTTTAGCCTACTGGGTTCAATTTTGGTTAATAATTATAGTCAACATAAAATTTATTTAAGATGGGTCTTATTGAAAATACAAGGCTTCGTTTATATTAGAACAAGACTTAATCCTAGACATAAGCCTATTTATGACAACCTAATTGAAACATGCCTAGAAAATATGACTTTTAACTTACATACATGGAGATAAGTAAATTAAACATTCTCTGTTTAAATTGCCTCTTATAAATATCACTTGGTTCAAAATAAAACTGTTAACTATGGGCTAAGCAAAATCCAATATCTTTTAAGTCATGTGAATCAACGAATTCTGATTCCTACTTATATACGTTAGAATATTCAAAAAATATATATAGTTTTAGGTTATTTCGCACTACAGTTGGATCATTTAGTAATTGAGGCCCAGACAATGGGCATTGAGATGGGGCGGCTAACCCCATGCCCAACCCTCTTCCTTTATCCGGGCTTGGGACTCCCAGTAGCCCCCAGAGGAACTCCAGGCGGAGTTATTGAGACAACGAGTACAAGTCAAATAATAAGGATCAAGACAATAATAAACAAAGTGTAATAATGAAATTAATGGTTCATCCTGTATAAGACCATAATAATTGGTCCTGAAAGATAAAAATTATATTTATGCGCTAAAAGTATTTAGTGAATGCACTTCAGACAAGAGCATAATAACAAAATTGTTCAATAGTGTAAAAATGGATTTATTATCCTTAGTTTATTTATAGGTTTACTACACAACATCCCACGCCTATATTTTCTTCTTTTTAAGCCTACAAATCCTAAAATAATATTTATTCACTTACTAATCAACTTTTCTTCATTTTTCTTATTTATAAAACTTAGGTTGCAACAGTTGATCGTGTTGGAAGAACAACACCAGCACATATTGTTCCACGATCAAATCAACCGGGTGTCTACGATGTGACATATGTTCCAGATACCGATGGTCCGTGTCAAATTGAAGTTAAACAAGCAGGAAATCATGTAACTCGATCACCATTCACTCAACATGTTTTACCAGCTTTTGAACCACAACGTGTGCGTGTAACAGGTGAAGGTGTTCATCCAACTCGTCCATTAGGACTTCCAGCTACTCAACCAACATCTTTTCAAGTAGATACAAGAGATGCAGGTCTTGGAGATCTAGAATTATCAGTTATGGTAAGTCTACATAATATAAGTTACTAGTTCACAAAAGGATCATATAGATTGAAGATTATTTATTAATATTGAGATAGTGACTAAGACATTCATATTTATTGCAAAAAAATATATTCGACTACAACTTTGGCAGTAAACAGTTCACGTTTTTGGAACAACATGATCTAGAAATGAAATCCATTTAATCAATTATTGAACTGAAACCTTGAAAAAAATCTAATCATAGTCTTTTTAGTAAGAAGACGAATAGAGCATATATATATAGTACATAATTTCATGGGCGATTAGACAATTAAAATAACCCAATGAATTGTTTAATAAAGGCAAGGAGAATTCAGCGAAGAAAATCTTCTTTCCGACGAAATTAATTACTTAAGCTGTATATATTCATAGTTATAGTTGTATGGTAAATAAATATGGAAGGATTATTAAAGAAAGTGAGTGAAAGTTCATCTTTTTGCTAGATGTCTGAATGGGAACTTCCATTGGATAAAATACTTTTAATTCATCTTCCTGGGATAATGATATACATGAACGGTCTACTGGACATATATGGGAAACCTGGAAGCACTGGACGGTCGTTTTGTCTTATTGTGGAACTCCTCAGCAGTGCTCATCCACGACCTCGCCTCCTGCGAGATTCGAACCCAGGGGGGTCTTGGGGCGATGTCGTGGATGTGCACTGCTGAGGAGTCCCAAAATAGGACGAAATTACTATAATATCCGTTGAGTCGGCTTCCAGAGAACTTCAACGGAGCCTCCAGAGGCCCAAAAGGAGCCGAAGAGTCCTAGCCAATCAGAGTATGATGGAACGTTCTAGAGTTCCAACGTGGCGTGCTACTATTGGTCGGTAGCATAAAATGTCGTTAACGGATTGGCTGAAATATGGTGTTGATTTAACAGACGCCAACATCTATAAATACCCATGATTTTCTGTACAAGAATGAACCTTGGGATAAAGTATTTTCTCTCATACTTATGTCTCCTCTCTGGTGTTCAAGTCGCTGTGTAGTTCTAGACTGCGGGTTACCAGAATAGCTTAGGAAACGAATATAGCGTTCGATCGACAAGACTTATCAATATCCACAAAACCCATATGATATATGAGAATGTTTATTCAAAAAAAAAGAGAATAAAAAGATAATCATATTGATATTACATTTAGAAATGTTATAGTTAATTGTTAGATTTAATAAGAATCATTCTGGATTTGTTGTTTTTCCTTTTAATTTCAAATTTGAGGAAAAAAACAAATGACAGTTTTTATTAGGTCGTTCACTCTTGAATGGATTCAAGTCCTGAGATTCGAACTATATCAATATGATTCGTTAAGAAAATCTGTATTGGATTTACTTCGTTAATCATTCACTTCGATAACCGTTAGAATATAAAATCTCAACGATGTTTAAAATCAGAAGGCAATGAGAAGCGCCATAAGTAGTATATATATGTAAATTATGGACTTGAGTTAATAAATGACCACAATAGGTAAAGCATTATCCAATCTACTAGTTCAAAAGTATCATGATTGTTATGAAACCTGAAAGTACTCATCTCAATCAATCCCTAGTAGATCATATGTGTGAGCATTGATGTAGAACCTTAAATTTGAATGTTTTGTAGTAGTTTTTTATTCAATCTCATTTTATACTTGAAATTCTATTACAATCTCTATTCATTAAAGAATAGTAACTTTGAATTTAACGGGGTTCTTTTCTTTTAAAATCTATTTTTCATTCAATATGACCTAATGCGTATTTATCAAACGAATGGTAATCATCAATATTGTGTATCCATGTTGTCCTGTCTATTGATTACACAACACATGTATTACGTAACTGTTTTATCCATTATTATTGTTGTTTTGTCATGATCGTTGTTATTATAACTCTTTTTTTAAAGAATGATATTGAACCGATCACAGCAGGTTTAACGATACATAAAATATCTGATAAACATCATCCTCCATTATCATAGAATTAGAACAATTAAAGATAGTATCATCTACTTCATTTGGATTTCATCATTTATCTTTCATATTCACTAGTTGGTTAAATTATTCCTCAATTATTGTGTGTTTCTTCAAATGATTTAGGATATTCGATGTGATAGTTGTGTTTAGATGTGATTACTATCTTGATTTCAAATGGGATTCAAGTATTTTTTATCTATCAAATACATAAAGATGATAGTAATATAGAATAATGACATTGAATAATTTGTAATACTTTCAGCTTGTTTATTACATCACAGTATGTTTGGTACTCTTCTTATGTATGTATGTATGTATGTATGTATGTATGTATCTCTGTTCTGTAGATTTTCTAATAATCTCCATTTGAGATCATGTAATATAGTTGATCTTGCTGAAATAGATGAATAATTTTACTATCCTTGAGTCAACTTTTCAAAAAAAAGTGTACGTTCTTATTATACTTTGTATAGATTATAACATCCGAATAGAAGACTGATATTTCTGCATGTTTAGGACTTGTCAAATGAGTGTATTTCGGCGAGACTCTAATTTATGGACGACCTTTGAACGAATCTTAAGTGACCTTGAGAAATATTAGTTAATCAGCAAACAGTCAGTATCGAGTAAAAATATGTTATACAAAACCAAGGAAATAAAGTGGATACACTTCTTATACGTGGTTCGAAAACTTGTCAAGGTTAGAAAGAGGTTCAGAGGTTCTAAAATCATAATGCATGCAGTAGAGGAAATCATCCATACGGCTACCGAATAGTCAGCCTCTGGAGCCATGATAGTCTCAAAAACTCTTTTAGCCTTGACCACATAGCTTCAATATTATTTATGTGCACTACAGTTGTTGAGTACGCAAAATGATACTTGTGGATAACGACATGATACATATAACCAAACCTATGTAGGAGTCTGTACGCTCTCCAATCATCCGTATATATTGTATTACCTGGCTGTAGCCAGTGTTACTGGTGCTTTTATAATCCAGTTCGTGATAATTGTCGTAATTCACCTTAGTTAGGAATTATGTACGGGGTTTTCATCACGAACTGACATCAGCTATAATGCCAGAAATTTATTTAGCCAAACGGATGGAAGGATTTCGCGTTTAAATCCGAGATCTATTATCTTATACCTGATTGATTCGTCCACAAATTATAGTCCCGCCGTTTTATTTATTATAGCCGCTTAATTATCACATTTTGTACAAAATTCCCAGTGAACCGGATGTACGTTAGCATTAAGCACTGAAGTTGGCGCCGTAACCTTGAAATCTCTGAAACGCTTCTGATTGGCTCGTCCATAAATTAGAGTCCGGTCGATATTTCCACTAAGAATGGAATTTAGTACCGATCCCTCAGAAATCAGATCATTGTTTATAGGGCTACTAAATAACAATAGACACCAATTTGTTTAAATTATACGTGTTTAAAGAGTGTGCATGTGAATATATACTGATCAAACTGGCAATGAATATAGTAGAAATCCTTACAACTAATAATTAGGGTCATTTTAAAGCACGAATTTCACAAAACCAGAGTAGATATACTCGGACGGAGAATATCATCTCAATAAATGTTATATTTGTAGACAATTCACGTGAGTTACTCAAAATAGACTAACAAACATAAAAATAACAAAATTCAGGGTGAACGGGATGATAAATGTGGTGAATATAGTGAAACAATTTCAGGATTTGAAATTATCAACTAACTGGTATCTCGTTTCGCATATGATTTAGTGTACTTGTAGTGTCGGTTGCTATGTTAACCCACATAGTTTATTCTAGCTTCTGGACAAGCCAATCTATTTATCTTTCTTGGGTGACATTTTGACCTTGTTAATTATTCGCTTATCAACCTTGACTGTTTTTATATGAGCGTATGGGTGTGCATCTTACCCATCACATATCTTGCAACTTATATTTGTGTGACTATAAATATCGATTCACACTTGGTTAAATCGAGTTGGCTGACTCGCCTCCTCCATCTCGTGTTGTTTGTTTTACTTCCCTTTTCGATCAATGATTGTATGAAATATAGGTATTTGAAATCCATTCTCATATTTGAATTATTTAATTCCGTTATTCACTAACGTTAGTTAAGTTAATGAATATATACGAGGATTGGTGATACGTCTATTTCGATAGCAATCCTTCATCCGATCTAACTGGAGTCAGATATAGAGCCACTAAATACTCAAGTAGTTTGTTAGTGGAAAGTGATAAATAAGGATACAAATGGCACTTCATTTATTTACAGTTTGCCTACTAATTTCATCTCATAATAAAGACTATTTTCAAAGGTACATCTCCTGTTTAATCTTAGAAGTTGGGGTAAGATGTATATTTTTCATTAACATTCTCGAAAGCTAAAATGTAAGTTGATACAAATAGAAGATCCAAACAAGTGAAACTGAATTATGTTTGAAAAGTTAATGACCACTTGTTAGGTATCGTGTTTTAAATTTCGGAACTATCTTACAGAGAACTATTGTTAATATTTTCATTGCATAACTATTAGACACTTGGTCAATTGTACCCTAACATTATCCTGGCTGTAAGCTTTCGTTTGACGTACACACTACTGTTCTTTCTCTTGCCTCCTCTCAGTTATTGTTATCTAGTTATTGACCTATTACTTAGTTCTCGTTCAGGAATTTATATCGATATTTGGTGTGGTATACAACTCGTTTTCACACTAGTTTGAGTTAAACTGTACGGTAGAAGTCTGTCTGCTGTGTTATTGTTCTATCGTGGCTGTCGAGTCAAAAAGTGTGAGAAACTGCGTTCTAGGTTTATAAATGTTAAATAATGACCTAATTCATAACCTCGCTGTAATTTAGTCATTGGCTGACAATTTAGGTGGACCAATAACAAGTCAGACCAGAAAGATAACATAACTGCTTCTATAGTTATGACCCAACCAGGTAGGCCTCAAAATCAAATATGCATCTTCTGTTGTTTGCATCATGCACCCAACAGTTATTAGACAAGATAAAATGAACGTTTAATGCTTGTTGATTTTCCCTATTTGACTAGTATTGGCATATAAACTGAATGAGGGTTATTTGATATAAAAATAGGATATTACTGACTAATATAAATCAAAGTTACCTTTACTGACTAAAGATTATTAATTGTCAAGCGAATAAATTTCAACAACATAATGGACACTTCATTTAGCTAGAATACAGACATAGAAAGGAAGACAACATAATGAGTATCCATAAACTAGACCTGAAAGGGTAAAATGCTTATTCTTTGGAATCATTTTCATAACTCACACGTGTTATCCACGAGGTGTTTGAGACGAACGGTAACTGTTTCGAGTCCCAGAGTGAATAACAACCAGCTAAAAAGTCCTAGATAGGAGGAAATGCACGTCCTGGATTACACCGTTGGCCACCATCCACCTCTGCTTATCGTTCACACAGTTGGTGTCGATGGTTGTTGTTATTATAGAAAAACTGATGTAAAACAATACAATGCAGTTTCTTTTCAATCAGTGTTGTAAATCGAAACTGTTTAGTACACTTCAATTTTAATGAATAATTTTCTATACGTGTCAAAGCAATCAAGTCACTTTACTTTGTTAAAAATATCGTTTGTGCAGAATTTCATTTGCTCATTTTCATATGTTAATGAAATGAAATGAATTTGTTTAGCTTAAAGACAAGTTGATTACTAAGGTACGAAACATTTAAATAACATAAAGTTCTCAGTAGTCTACATAGTAATTATATAAAGCAATTAATTCAAATCACTTATTGAACAGCACAAACATGATTTCTTGGGACAACAAATTAACTTTCAATATGGAGTTGTAGAGATTTTTGAATTTTATTGACAACACGAACCGATCATTGAAAACCTGGCGGAAATAGACAGCTGCTTCTTCTTTGTATGGGACTCCTTAGCAGTGCGCAATCATGACCCCGCTACCCGAAACCGAACACAGGACATTCAGTTTAAGGTAGCAATGCATAAGCTCTAAACCAATGAGCCGGTATCCAACAGTGTTAGTGTCTAACTCTAATCAACACACAATATTGTGCAACCTTCATCCATTGCTTGTGATTGATAACTATATCATACTCAATATAGTTGAATTCTACAAGTCACAGCTTATTAGTAGGACTCCGGGAATTTTCTCTCGAAGCTTGTCGCTGGTGAGTACATGATAACTATTACCATAGCAGCATATTACAAAACCAGATTGATTATTGGAACTGAAGGTTGATATCTGCATTTCCAGAATAAATGGTGAGATTCATGTGAATGCTACATTCAACATTGAGAATTGACGAACTATAAACCTATGTTTTAAATCCATAACCAATAATTTTTTTTTGGTTCCATATACACACGTATAGATTCTTTTCAACTATTATCACAAATTTTGAAGTAAGTTGAAACTTTCAGAAAAGTGGTTCTCATTTAGACTTATCCTTATTGATGTAGTAGAATAATTGAAATAATGTAATGTACTTCATCCATCATTTTTAAGCACATCATCATAAATAAAAAAGTGTACTGAAAGGCGATAAGTATGATGTGTCGTTGAACTTGATTGACCTAATAGGTATATAGTCTCGATAAAATGTGAATGATAAATTCCCAGAGGTTATTCATCTTGGAACAAATTACAACAAGAAAATGATAGGTAATGAGTTTTCTTTCAAGAATTCTTTAGTTGACGTTAGTCCTTCAGTCTATCTATACTATTAAGCAATTCTCATGTACTAAAAACAACCATCAATTTGATTGTTTTGTTGTAGTACATTCGTTTTTCGTGTTGTCACAGCTAACTTAGTTGTCCTCCTTACTGTTGTGTCAATTTGCAAATCTATTTGCATGAATCCTAAGAACTTATGTATGTATGATCAAGTATTTCTGATAACACGTAATCTAATTTATAATTTCAGGATCCTGATGGTCAACCATTACAATTAGAAGTAGTAGATGTTGGAGATGGAACATATATATGTCATTATAAACCAATGATTGTTGGACGTCATACTGTACGAGTAAAATATGGTGGACAAGAAATTCCTGAAAGTCCATTCCTAGTACCAGTTGCACCATCTGGACGAGCTAATATGTGTCGTATAGAAAGTAAGATAAATAAAGAAAAGAAATTTGTTTTTAATATGATTATGTGCTATTTTTTAGATCAATATTCATGTAATTGCTTACTTTCAAAGATCTAACACAACTGATAATTTTGAACAAAGTATGATAAACACAATTTATAGAGTAAGACAAGTTTATCCTATTTCATGGTTCACTTTAGTTTCAAACAATCAAAAGTTACAAAGAATAGTAGGGCTAAGGACAACTGTTTGATATCCTTTCATTGATGACGATGAGATGAATGTTTGAAGTAGGACTAAAATTATAATAAGTGGTTCTGGTTAGCGTTTTTTTAGCGAGTTAGTTTTCTACAAGATGGGGTCGTTAACCCATGCCCAACCCTCCTCCTTTACCCGGGCTTGGGACTGGCACTAACTCTGGAAGTGCTACAGGCGGAGTTTATAATAACTGGTAGAAGATACTAAAAATTACATCAAAATTAGCAGTGAAGATTGATGCATAGTTGTAAGTGAAGTAAAAACAGTTATACAAACTAGAAGGTTTAAGTTGTACTTAGTAATAATCATACTAAAAGTAAATGATAACCTAGTGTTTTTACTACGACCTCTTGTTTGAGAACTGATAATAAAATAAATTGAGATAAAGGTGTTTAATTTCAATAGGAAGATCACATTATTGATATAATGACGTTAACCAAATAATGATAGCCTTAAAACTAAGCGAAGACTAAAAGAGACATATTTTTCTGGGAAATGTAACTATTTTAGCCTGGGTTATCACTGGTGACCACAGTAATTACTGCAATCTCCACAAATCCCTGTTCTGATAGTGACAAGAAGTGTTCAGATAATCAGACAGTGAAGTTTGCATTTGTAAAAAGGGTGAAGGAAAATAAACGAACAAAGAGTATGGAAAATAATAACAAACAAAATCTTCTGTTAAGGCTAATTCGGCCAAGAAAGAGATAACGGTGCTAAAAATTTCTTGTGAATACAAACACTTGAACTGACAGTTCAAATTCCTATAAATTCTTCTATGTGTAAAGAGACGAGATCGAACCCCATAAGTAAAGCTAGTAGGAATAAGATAAACCACTTCAAATGATCTATTTCTGTATACTACATGACTGATATTTATCAAGTGTGATAGAATAAAGCTTCGTATTGTTTTGAGGGTACCCTTTCCTAACCATGATGGAAGGTGTCAACTAACTTGTTCACTATACGCAAATATTTCTTCAAAAAATCTCAATAATAACCCATTTCAATCCATATATTATAAGCTCTAGTTCCCTGTTCACAATGTCAGCTGAGCATATCTTCCGAGCACTTTTTACAACGCATCTAAGTCTCTCTTGTAATGAATGAGAATAAAACTCAAGAAACGTGTGTATTGGCTTATCGAAGAACTTCTTCTATATACACTTCTACTGGCAAAATCATTTTTTTAACAGCTTAACAAAAGGTCAAGGAATTGTAATTTATTATCAAGTTCCCCCTAACACGTGAATCTGATTACTAAATGCATATTGTTGATTACCCCCAGGGATGTATCTTTTTCAATATTTTGATCAACGATGAATAAATGTGGTCAATTTAACGGCAATAAAATCCAAGCTTATCGAAAACCAACTGCAAGGTTCGTTTTCTAGTTTTGAGGAAAAAGAACCAGCAAGCATAGAACCTAGAGGTGAACCCATAGCTTAACATTTAGCCTTCAAGAGTTGAACATTAATAGATAAGCAACTGTCACCAATTCCATAAGATAATCATCACACTATGTACCTATGTAGTTAAAGTTGGCATTGTACCATTGAACGCCAGATCAATGGTTATAAAGGTCAAACACTATCTGTGTAACTTATTATCTTGAGTTGGATCCCTAATGGAGTCGTTGATCTTCTTTACTGAAGAGTCCCAAACACTGAGACGAAACCGCTGTCCAATCATTTCTAGTTTTCAATAGTATCCCCAAATGAATTCAATCTATAACTAACAGCTACCTGCATATGAAATAAATCTCTTTTTAAACCCTTTAAACAAATTAGATGAATAGATTATAAATTTACAACCTAGTCACAACTTCTCATATTTCACAGTTTTAATCAAATATTATTTTCCTTTGGAATTGTTATTGTTATACTTTTAAAGTTCATTGCACAATACTATTAGATAGAAACGTGGACACAAATACAATTGAAAAGTAGTGATTATTTGTATCCATTATCACCTCACCCACTCAATATGTGTTAATTACCTTATCTTGGTTTTTATACAAAATAGTAGTCGTTTCTAAGTGAAATTTACCTCACATACACACACACACACACTTATCGATTTTTATTTATGCAACATTGTATTCACTTAGCAGTATCTGTATATGTACGTGTGTACATGTATGTAGCTGTGTACATTTATTAGTCAGTAAAAAAATGATTGATTTATAGCCAAAAGGGAAAGCAAGGCTATAATTACAAAATTGATACTTACATGCATACACACAAATTCATGTACACTGATGCATACAACAACAACAACAAATCTATTTATGAAATTTCATATTTCGGTAACTAAAATAAACAATTTTACTATGATGTCAAAATAAATCTGTTCATGATAGAAAAATTCTGTACAAATATATTACAGGATTTGTATTATATAAGTTAGTAAATAACACGTCTCAGTAAACTCTGGCATCAAGTAACCAGTTTGAGGTTTAAGGTCTTTTTTTCCCATTTTTACACAGTATACTTATGATCCTTGTTTCACTGAATCCAAGATGAATAGTTCAAGTCAATTTTCATTACGAAGTCCAATCAGCTGAAGAACTATAGAGTATCAATGGTCACTAGTCTACTAGTATAGGACTCCTGAACTATGAGATTAGATGGAGATAGTCGACAGGAAACCCTGTACCCGGGTTTCGTGCTACTTGGCACTCGTCAGCAAGGTGTACCTGTAATCTTGAGGGAACTGGTGCTTCCTAGTGGATTCGACCCCGTGTCGACTACCTCCAACTACCATCTAATCTCAGTATATAGTGCACGCAGTGTTGAGTCACCTAGACTGGTGGCCACATTGCAACATGGTTGATAGCATTCAATCTGCACTAAATAAGGAATTGACACACATGACATTGACCACCACTCAGTGATCAATCAATTGTGACACCTGAACAATATCTATCCAAGAACCCACCATCGAACTGTACACTAAGTAATCATTTTTTGAGAGGTCACTTCATTATAGCGTTGTGTAACACAAGAGTATTAATTTCGTTAGGACTTGATGCTTGGTATAACTGAGCTGATGATGTGATTATGATTAAAATCTGATTGACTAAATATTTGAGAACATACTCTATGAGTGATACAAACGGATTTCAATTTAACTACACACTAATTGAGAAGCAGAAAAATGCTAGAATATATGAATCAGTCGCTATTGATAACATTATTGACTCCATATAACAGTTCAACCAAAGATAAAAAGATTACAATTAGCGTATCGAAATTAAATATCATTAGTCAATGAAAAGCAACTGAGATCACAATATTATACATCCCGTTGAAAATTTTGCACATAAAAATCACTCACGAACAAGTTTAAGATCTTTCATTATTGATACCACGATCATTCTAAGATTATTGATTTATGTTTACTTGTAATATCGTCTAAAACTTGCTATAACGTGTGACTGCTGATTAATGTGCAGTGACTTATCGATCGGACCGAAGACGCGTAAACACGTGAGGAAAACCTAGAGTCCCGACTGGCCCCGCTTCCCTGTTTAGCCCAGCCAGTTGAGCCCAGAACTCAAGTCTCAGCCTCTGAGATATGAATCGTTATATTTCAAACATACTCTCTTTATATACCAATCAAGCAGACCACATCTTACCATAAAATAGAAAGTAACATAACATTTGTAGTGTTTGGTCAACAGGAAAATGACACGTGAAATAAAAATTGACCAATAGGAAAATGATGCCATCTCAAGTTCAAGGATAGAATTAGACTTAACAGGATAATTTTTGGGATATTTTCCTGAATATCCCAACAAAACTACTTCATGGTTATTAAATAAACTGGAATCGGAGTTGATAACTTTTAAATTATAATCTAAATTTGACCTATCGAGAATATTTTATTCAAGTACATTGATAATTCTCAATTGTGTTTGGATGAATCACCGTATGAAGCTGATAAGTGAACCACTGTGAACTGCTTTCCATTAAATGTCTGCAGAAAGCTGATAGTTTTATTATTGGACATGCTAATTAATTAATTTATTTATAACGTGTGATCTGTCTTTGAAACCGATACGAGGTGACAAATTATTAGAAATTACAAGAGACTGAACAGCTTTTTTGTTCTAGGTTGGGACTCTTAAATGAATCACATCTATGAATTTCAGTTCTTGTGGAAACACAATATCTGCCTCTGTCAGGGAAGTCCTACTCACTGCCTTCTCGTGGCGGAGGTGTTGTTTACGAAACTGAGAGGACGAAAAGCGAATGTCCGGCGCTTTAAACGGATTCCAAACCAATGGTGCACATGGGCTCAGTGTCCTGCGGGAACAAATGGCGTATGAACCAATTTTCGGTCACCGGCTACCATAGGAATGCATCTCCTCACGATGCTCCACTGCCTTGTGGGTTAGACCTTTAGGTCAAAGGCTCGGGGTGTGGCCCCCTAAGAAAACCACCTGCTTCGGTCTGGGCACCCGGGCAGTATCACAGCCCACACACAAATGATGAACTGTCTATAATTATGGAAACTACTTTTCTTGCTTCAACTAACGATCAAATGATTCAAATTATCATTACTATTATTATTATTATTATTATTATTATTATTATTATTTACTACGTCATTTATTCACTGTCTTTTATTCCCACTCTGTGTATCCTTATTTTTCGATTTAGACAGCAGCTCGTCTATGGTGGAAATTCGGCTCTATCTAAACGTTCTCGAGTCACTACCTGGTTGAAAATTGTATGCTACCACCGAATACGAATACTGAAGCAGTTTTTCTGAAACCACGTGCACCATTCAAACTGGCTGTTTGGTCAGTGTATGACATGGCTGGGGTCCTAGAGATGGTGCGACACAGTGGCTAGAGACGTTATCAGATATGGCTCAGAATAGAAGCCAGTGGCGATCCTGCTGTAACATTCTTTTACTTTCTTCATAAAAAGTGGTTGCTTCTTCCTTAACTGAAAGAATTCTTCTGATTGTACCCTTTCGTTTCCTCCATTATTATTATTATTATTATTATTATTATTATTATTATTATTATTACCCTACCTTACATTAATCTGTTCGTTATTGTTTTTTCACGCTCCTTACGTTTTTTTTCTTCCTTCTTCAAATTCTTGTTGTTTTGTGTGGCGCATATATATTTGGTGCCCTCTTGTACCAATATTTATGTGTTCAAACAAACAAACAAAACAATATCTTTGAGCTACCTGTTACGTCCTCGACCTGATTACGGCAAAATACGATTTGCAACTAACGGCACTCGAACGTGTAAAACCACACAGTCACAAATTCGAAGACGGAAGAAGCAGGGCAAGTGGTTATTGTGTAAGAATAAAAAAATGTACGAAAAAATATGGGTATTTATAGTCATTAGTATTAGCTATGACATCATTATAATTCAGCCAATCTGCAAGGAGGCAAGTTATGCTATAGTCAGATAGTAGTATGTCACATTGATATTCTAGAAGGCTGTATCAGGTTCTGATTGAATGGAATTTTTTCGGCTCTTTTAGAGCCTCTTCAGGTTTCATCGTGCCTTTCGAAGCCGTCCCAACACTACCAAGTAGATATTTAATGGGAAACACTTGGAATTTAGGTCAATTTTTTGATAAAGTGTAGTTTTCATCCAGTGTTGTTTCTGGACTATTACTGTTTGCTTGCAATTAGAATGACATGACAACCAATGCCTACCTACTAAAACTTCAGTAAATCCATTTCACAGTAAACGTCATAACAAATTAAATGTATAATACTCCCTAGATTTCAATTGTTTCTTAACCGATATGTTTTAAACTACAAAAATCTCTCAAAGGAATTCAATTTTCGTTGGATAGTTTTACTTTATTTTTGTTAATGGATGATAAATTCAATAAATTGGATATTATTAATAATTTATTATTTTCTCAAAAGATGGAAATGATAGCCGAATACCTGTTGGTCAAGAATGTGTTATCAGTGTGAATACAGCACAAGCTGGTGTTGGACAATTAACTTGTCGTATTGTTACACCGTCTGGAGCAACAGCCGATGTTGAAATTCATGAAGCACCAAATGGTCGAGTTAATATTTACTATACACCACCAATTCGTGGTGATTATTTAGTTGAAATAAGATTTGGCGGTGAACTTATACCAAATGGAAGATTTAATCAAAAAGTAAGTTCTATGTCAAGGGTATTTGAAATGTGTTGATATGTGAAGTTAGTGGAGATCACGAAGTATTTCTTCAATAATCTTGATCATCACTGATGGTTAAATGAAAGTCATACAAGAATGATAAGATTATATGCTTAAATCATTTTTATCACTGACTGATATCTATTCGTCTTAATTTAATAATCTTGTCAACAAAAGAATAGTAAGCAAGGGGTTATACAGATTGTTGAATCTTATCAATATCATGATCTGATCTAAGTTAGATAACCGTTGAAAACCTGGAAGTACTAAACAGTCATCGATTGGTGGTAACACCTAAGTGCAATCAATCCACGATATTACGCGATCATATCCCATCATCTTCGGTGGGTAACTGCCTCACACCCGGCATGGATTAGCATCACTGTCGCTTTTAATGGATCCAGTCATCCAAGTTTTAAAAATTACACTAGAATTCAGAGAAAATTAGTCATAGTATCTTGATTTTCTTCTGATCAGAATAAAATAAATGATAAACATTTTTTGAATATTATTCATTTTTAACTGAAAATTTGTGAATCGTTCCAGAATTTCTAGGTCATTTACTTTGCTTTTTTCTGTCAGTGGTTCATCTTTGAGGTTTCATATGCATTCAGGTGTTATTCTCGTCAGTGCATCTTTGGAAAAGTTACAGATTTAAATGTTATTGTTAGTAAGGTGTTCTGTATATTGTTGGATTTCATTGAAATCATGAATTGATTTAAGCTATACCACCATTGAAAACCTGAAAGCACAGAACGGCAGTTTCTTCATTGTGTAGGACTCTTCGGTAGTGTGCATTCACGAACCCACACGCGGTAATCGAACCCAGAGCTTTTGGTGTCTCACAAGAACGCTTAGTGTCTCGACTGCTGAGTATAACCTTCATACGATTTACTTTCTTACATTCCACTACTTATGATCATTAGGTGATTCAGTTAACAATGAATAATTTATAAACGTTAACTAATATCTTTCTATTTGTATTTTAGGCTGTCAACCCAGAGGAACTAATGAACGATGTAACTGTAAGTGTGAATATTTTTGTTATGAAATCGTGAAATTATTGTTGAAATGAAAATCGTTCTATTACGTTTGAATGAATTAAAGATCACATTAGTTGTTAAGACAATATGGATTAGTTGAAGTAAAGATAATTGGGTAACATTCTGGTTAGGACATTTAAAACATTTATGATTTAATCGTGTCATGAATAAACATTTGGCCTCATGGATAAATTTCGTGCTTGTAGTGTCGGTTACTATGTTAAGCCCATATACTTTATTCTAGCTTCTGAACAGGCACTTTTTGACCTTGTCAATTATTCACTCATCCTTTGACTGCTTTTATATGAGCGTATGTGTGTGTACACTTCTTATTCTGTTCATCCCGTCTGTAGCTTATTTTTGTATGACTATAAATATAAATTGACGCTTGATTAAATCGAGTTGGCTCACATGCCTTTTCCACTATGCATCATTTCGTTGCACTTCGTTCATTTGGTCGTCTACCTGAATCGATGATTGTACAAAATGTACGTATTCAGAAATTCATTCTCATATTAGACTTATTTAATTCCATTATTCCCTAACGCGGATTAAGTCAATAATTGTATACGAGAATAGCCAGGATATATAATTCAACAATCAATCATACGATATTACTGGAGTCAGATCCCGGGCCACTAAATACTTTCTAATATTCAGGGATTAATTAGCATAAGTCAGTTTTAAAATAACTAAATAAAAGCAATTAAGTTCTAGATAATTATACTCTGTAGATAAAACGCTTATTATTTAATTTCATTAATATATTCAACAGAATGTTGGTTGCCAGGTACCAGAACTAAAACCGATTTTATGACTTACTATGAATTGTCTAACATTCGTTAAAGAAATACCTTGTCAGCTAATTTCAAACTTCGTAAATAAACATTTATAAATGTCAGAAAGGCTTTTTGGATATTATACTAATTTTAGTAGTTGAGATCATGAGTCAATTGAAGCTAGACCAAAACCTGGGATCACTGGACGGCCGTTTCGTCCTATTGTGAGAATCCGCAGTAGTACGCATCCACGATCCCGCCTCGCGCGAACGCTTAACCTATAGACCCTTAGCCGCCCGGCATCCAACGGTGTTAATTTCTAACTTTAATTAGTCCACGAAATGGCGCCAAGGTTCACCATTGTCTTCAATGAGTTGCTATATCACGGCCGTCAAGTGATTCCAAGTTTTCCCTGGTGGTCTAGCTTCAATTGACTCATGATCTGAACTATTAAACTTTATAAACGTGTAAATATGAGCATTCTGTGTGTATATATATGTAATCAAATTATACATGATTACCTGTATTACATTTGAATCAGAAAATAAGGTAAGATAATTCAACTCACAATTTCTTATACCATTTGATAATAATACATGCTTTAACACATGTTGTATACATTTGCATGTTCAGTGAAACAAATATTACACTTTAACAAGTGTTTAGTACATAGTTTTCATCCGTTTGGTTTTAATGTAAAATACTGACAGACGGTACCTTTACAAATGTCAACACAAGTTTAATAATCAGTTATAAACATACTCCGACAATATACAGTCCTCCATCTAGTTAGATTAACAGTGTTGTCGTAGAGAAGGTAATATGGAAACTATCCTCATGAAAGTTAAACTGAATACCAATAATTGCTTTCTGAATAATGGGAAGTTTTATTATCTAATCGGTTACACTTATCACAAATTATTGAACAGGTAGAAACCAAAAGTTTAAATATATAATTGGGTTTTTGAATTACATAGGTTTGAATCTCAGGAAAGGTGTAAGTTTCCAGAGATTAATAATATAGTTTTTGGATTGATATAGATGCACATATCTTTTCACTGAATTATCTTTAAACACTAAAGACAATGGTTAAATCAATGTAATTTACTAATGTCATTGAAATGACATATCATTTACTGTACATGTCCTTTCATACCAAAATTTCTAGGATCAAAGAGTACAGCATGTAACTGTACAATCTGTACAGTCTGTTCAGTCTTCAACAATTACAACAGGATATCATCCAGTTGATTTTAAACTACCTGTTGGCCCAACATTTAGTCATGTGGAAGGTAAGAATGTGGTATTGTATTACTCTTTTCGGTACCTAACTATTCCAATATATTGAAATGAGTATATAGTGAAGTATATATACTAACGTATTTATTACATACAGAATTGATATTCAGAGTATCTGGGTAATACTTGTTTAACATTCCCAATTTACGAATCGAACAACCAGAATAAAACTGATTCACAAACTGATTCATTAGGATATGAACTAATGATTATTGATACTATCATGATTTCTGGGACAAATTAGATGGAACGAGTTACAAATGTGTGTTTTAGTCACTAAAAACTGAATGCTCAAGGTAATAAACACTATCACCCACTTTCTGTTAAGATACTTGCAGATGATTAGCCCTATAGAAGTCTGTCAGTTATATGGAACGTAGAACCTGGCACATATGTGCATCATTTCGAGTTACCACACCACATATCAGTACAGCGAGATTAAGCTATCAAGAAAAATCCTAGAGCAGAAGGAGTGACTATATCAGCAGTAGTAGAAAAGATTAAATGTAGAAAGAAAGTAGAGGGCGATTTTTGGACTCATGATCTAAGGTACGACAAACAGTAGGTGCATCTGAGCCGTGTGATTCGACGTCTCCTATCACTAATGATAATAATTGCGTGAACCCTAACCAAGAAGTCTGAACCTGTCTACATGGTTCAGTCCAGTTGTCAGTGATTGCATGAACTGACGTTAATTCTTGGTTTGCTCACCCTTAGATTTCTTCTCCTATGCACATACACCAGTCACCATTACCCTTTCAGGTAAGCGGTACCTGAGCGTGGGAAAAAGTGTCCCAAACACTCCCATTGATGAAGAATAATTAGTTAATCAACCGATTTCCAATCTCTTCTTAGTACTTTACGGCTAACTTCAGGGTTGGTCACTCGGTGATGTTATATGAAAACTTAGCTTAAATGTCTGAGCTTGATCTGAGACGTGCCAAATGATAGAAGGAATGTTTAGGTCATGGAACCAAAATTATTCATCTATCTGCCTCATACTAACAAATGAAAAAAAGTTCAACTAACTAGTACTAGAATAAAAATTTGAAGGCTTTTTAACTGATTGTTGTAAGATCTTTTAATATAGAACAGTTTAAGATAAATCGGTACACAAATTCGTCGTTCTGTCAGTGTGACCTAAAGGTCCTGAGTTTCGTCACGTGTGAGATCGTATCTGATTTTCTGAAGTACTAGATAACGATAAAACAGATATCCATTGCTCACTGGTCTTTAGAGGCTACTTCAGTTGATGTCATTGTCTTGCGAAAATCATTTTAAAATGAATCAATTTCGACTTGATACTTGACTAACTATAAATGACTGATTTCTGCTATCGTAAAAACGTTACTTACGATCAATCCTAATTTTTATATGACCTAGGAATCGCCGGTGACTGATTACTTATCTAATTTAATTCTAGTGAAGAAGCATAGATAACATTGAAACAGTTTTGGTGAACGTTTGTAGCATCCTCACATCATTCCTCCAAAGCATACACTCACTCAAACCTATTCTTGTTTGAACTGTTATAAAGTCCAACGATAAAGATAAAATTAATAGCTGATTTAGCGTTGGGCATTGTACCAGTTTATAAAAGACTACGCCTGCTTGGTTGTACGTTCTAATATGACCCTACTATATATCTTACGTATGAGCACCCAATGATATTATTTATGATTAAAGCACTATCTTATTTAAATAGTAATAGGGATTACATAATCAAAATGTTAATGCATACCAAATAAACTCGACAACTCAAAGAGTGATAGGAAATGTAATATAATGAATATATAGAAACCTGATGGTTTTGTCAAAATAACTAAAAGATAAAAACCATCTTTTTTATCAAAATAACATATCAGGTTTGGTTCGTACTCCAAGTGGTCGAATTTTACATCCAACTTTACTGGATAATGGTGATGGAACAGTGACAGCACAATTTCAACCAAATGAACCTGGGCTGCATGAATTAGAAATAACTTATAATGGTCAACCAATACCAGGTAGTCCTTTCAGATTCTATGTTGAAGCTGTTGGATCTGGAATTGTTACAGCTTATGGGCCAGGATTATCTTGTGGTCGTGCGGGAGAACCAGCAAATTTCACTTTAATTACACGAGATGCTGGAGCAGGTAAATAATGAAATTATTTATTTCAATAATTATTGACTGGGTTGAACTGTGACGGAATTAAGATAGTTTTTGGTACTAGTATGAATAGATTGGTGCTGAATTTATGGGCTGTTGCGTCCAAACTTGATTGTCCAAAAGAAATTTGCTCTCAGGAGAGCACAGATGTTCTGAGTTTATTCAAAGAGAACCATTTTGGCCCACTGCTAAGAAGTACCGAAATAGGAAGAAATATCTATTCAGTGCTGGCTGGTTACAAATGGTTAAATGCCTAATCTCAGTTCGTGATGTATACGACCAATAAAAATAAAACTGTTAATTAATCGTTTCTATGAAAACGTTCATTCTAATTACAATAGATTGCAACGAATATGAAATCATTGGTTCGTTCCCATATGTAACTGAATTTCAATTGGATATATATTTATACCCACCCATTAATGAAGGCGCAACAAATACATCAGATGACAGTTAGTACTGTGTGTAAGCTTGATGATGAATGGTGAATGGTTTATGTTTTTTTTCTTTTAATTGATCACTGAAACAATGCACCATTACTAACCACTTTTCTCTTTGAAGCACAATTTCACGTTTTATTTCTAACGGTTTTATTAAGTCGGATAGTAGCTAACAGTGGGACCCTTTTCACAATCTGGCGTTCATATGAACTCAGTAGGTCAACGAATAAAGCCTTGGCATTTAAAACGAAAAGTACTGGGTTCGAATCCCAATCTGAATATCAGCATTGAATTGAATGTACATCCAGCTGATGAATTCCAAATAAGGTGGAACACACTTCCTGAATTTCACTGCTAACCACTACCCAACTTTATTAAAATCTTGTGACTAAATGGGGATCTCGAGACAATCAACTGACATATGTCAATAGATATTGATCATGTAAAGACCGCAACCCCAACAACGGAAAACACAATCGCTTAAAAATGAAGTTGGTGAGACGTTTTCAGAATAAATGGTTATAAAATTCAGATATCAATACTCTCCGAAAAATTCCCATCATATTAAAACCATAGATACATGAACGAAAAAAAAATTATTTCTAATAAATTCTCTTTAGGTTCTACAGCTGAATCAAGAATCTAAAAGGTGGTCATGTAGAAGATAAATTTAAGACTGTGAAATGAAATGAGGTTGGTAATTTAGTTGAAATCATGAACTAAGAGACAAGCACTGAAAAGTCGTTTCGTCTTAGTATGGGACTCTTTAGCAGTGTACATCCACGATCCTACCACAGGGAATCGAACTGACGACCTTCGGTTTCGCTCATGAACGCTTGATCATACAGAAAGTTATTAGCATTGAAATGACTCATATGAAATATTAACTTAGTGCGTCTTCGATGGTGGTCTAGCTTCAATTAACTCATGATTTCAATCGGTGAAATTTCTAAGATCGCCACAAAATCCTTCTGATTATAATAACGATAGTAATAATATGTGAATAAGATAAATTAAGTTATGAAAATACAAAGAGCAAGGCTGTATATGCATAAGTTAAGTTGTTAACACGATGGATTATTGTAAATGACTGATTCATAATGGGTGTATGACCCTTTTGCACTAAATGAACTGGAATTGAACCGTTAGTAGTTTTACCTATACCTACGCTTAACCACGGTGGGAGAGGTTTACGAGTACGAAAATACAAATCCCTAGAACATCGGTCAATATAACTTGCTACACAAAAACAGCTAAACTGATTGGTACATAAAGAGGTGGCTTGTTTCTAAGTGACCACTGGACAGGTAGTAAACATTCATTGTAGTTTTCCAGCATTAAAAGTACTTTGAATTGCATTACCTAATTTTAGTATTAGCATATCGCTGGTTGTATTACCTCTAACTCCTTGCCCTAAACTGACCAGTTTTCGGATTGTTAACGTGGACATTGAATCGTAGAATCTAAAGGGAATTTATTGCAATGAATACCATTGTTTATAAATATATTTATTTTCTGTATTTCTACAGTCCTTAAATCAACATAATCATTTATTTAGATGGGGTATATTATTATTTATTACTATTATTTAAACACATAAGTATTGGTACAAGGAGGAACCAAATATGTATGCGCCACACAAGTCATTCGATGTGTGCGAGAACTGGAATACTGTCGGAGCGCCCAAACCGAAACAGGTGATTTTCTTGGCGGGCCATTCCCCAAGCCTTTGACCTAGAGGTCTAATCCACAATGCAGTGGAGCAACGTAAGGAGATGCAGTCCCATGGTACATGGTGACCAATAATAGGTGCATACGGCATTTGTTCCATCAGGATCCTGGAACCCATGTGCACCATTGGTTTGGAATCAGGGTTATCCAACTCCCCTAGATGTATCCTCCATATTCACTAACCCGATTAAAGAACCGAATATTCGCTTTTCGTCCTCTCACTTTGGTAAACAACACTTGTGGTGCGAGAAGGAAGTGAGTAGGACTTCCTTGGCATTAACTGTATTGATGTTGCCATGTGAGAGTAGTTCAAGAGGAAGAGCTGACTCTCCCCACCCTCGGCTGTACCAGGTCATTCTGGGGCGAGTATAACTTAATTTCATGTTCTGCAGATGACAATTTCTTACTGAAATTTCATTTTACCCTGATGTCTAAAACTGTTTTCATTGCTATCGATCAAGTCACTTCATTTTCAAATGCCATATTTTTATGAATCAACCATATATGAATGGACAGCAGATGAAGATTATATCATAAACGTAAAGAAATGATAAATAGGCCATAGAGATAATAAGTTTAATAAAGAATTTTACAAGTCCATTATATTCCAAACTATGAAAAAAATATACAATCTTAATGAAAGTGATATTTTAATAACACGGAATATACGTAAAACAAGAATGATACAAAATAGAATGAGACGTTTATGGAGATTTGATTCACTAGTTATTAATTACTTGCTTTTCAATGTGAATGTTCTCATGTTCAAATAGGTAGCATTGATCAGGGGACTTAATCAAGTCATGAATGAAAACAATTACACATCAATGATGGTTATCGATAGAGACGGCTATAACAAGTAACTTATGGAAAAGTTGTTTTCTAGATTACGATACACTAGTTGAATAGTATCTAGTTCTAATACGAAATATCAAGTTCGTTATTTTGATCGCTTAATAATTGTGTACTGTTCCAAACTTACAAAGTACAATAGAGTTACATTCTCTTAGTTCTTAAAATAAAATACACTTTTTCCTATTTTATACGTATAATGACCTTGATCTTGCCAGTAAGCAAAATATTTCTCAGAACTAGTTAACAGTTTTGATAAGTTAATCTACTCAACATAACCTTCAGAAGTCAAATGCGAGAAGTTCATCTATGACCACTTAGACCAGAGAGTAAATGACTATTCTGTTCTCCGAATAGAGATCAGCTACGCGGACGCTGATTGGCTATTAATAGAAGAGAGAAGACAACTGCAATAAAAACCTCTATATTCGAACTCAATCTAACTCAAACAAGTGCACGATCAGATATAAGAGATATTGGACTACAACTCACGATAAATATGAAAATATGATGTGTCAAAATAAGGCAGTCGGAGCACAAGATAGCAAACTCATGATTAAATTACTATGATTTGAGAATAGATTAAGACATGGATACAATTTATAGATCAAAGTGATAAAGGTAATGTATAACCCAACTATGCATAATAACATATTAAGTAAAATGGGATCCTCAGTTTGTCACCTTCCATTATTTTTCTCCTTATAGTTATTAATTTAAAAAAATCTTTAGTGATTTAATGGTATTTAGCTTGATTTTGTTAATAATTCCCCTTGAGAAAGTGTTTAATCAAAACTGTTAAATAAGAATGCATAATAATTAGCTATTTCATCTACTGCACTTGGCAAATAACTGAGTTAATACACAAAACTATATGTCGGCAAGATCATCAGTTTTCAGTTATCCACTAGATACAATAGAAGATAGTTTCTAAATAAATCGAATTGATGGACATCACACAGATAAATCAATGAATTCCTACTCAATGGTCTAAGATTCAAGTTCTCACGAAGTTATCTGTAGTTCCTAAGTTCGATCCTTAGTTGATTCGTGGATAGACACTAACAAGGTATAATCTCACACTAAAAAAGAACAGCTGTCCAGTGCTTTTTGGTTTTGAATGGTTTCAGAACTTAGATCACTTTGTGATAGTAATAACAGTAGCCGTTTTTTAAATATCATTTATTTCTGGGAACTTGGTAACTCCCCTTTGTTTTTTTTGTCAAAAATACCTTCTCGGTAAGTATCAAAAACCGTTTTCATTAAATTTAACTTGATAATATTTTCTGTTTTCAATTTTTTCTGGGGGATTTCAAGGCGGATTATCACTTTCCGTTGAAGGACCATCCAAAGCCGATATTCAGTGTGATGATAATAAAAATGGTACTTGTAGTGTAAGCTATTTACCACTAGTACCTGGTGAGTATACAATATCGATTAAATTCATGGAGAATCATATACCTGGTTCACCATTCACAGCACATATAACCGGTATGTTATAATAATCATAATTTGTGTTTGTATTAAGATATTTATCAAGTTATTCATTTATGCTAATTACTGAAATATCACTTGTTGAAATCATGAGTCAGTTGAAGCTAGACATTAACACCGTTGGATGCCGGCTCAGTGGTCTAGTTGGCTAAGCGCCTAGCGCGAGGCTGGTGGGTCCTGGGCTCGAATCCCGCGGGGTCTGGGATCGTGGATGCGCACTGCTGAGGAGTCCCATATTAGGACGAGATGGCCGTCAATTGTTTCCAGGTTTTCAATGACGGTCTAACATCCGTCCATTTGCTATATCAATCTCAACTCAACAATCTCCACAACCCTACACTGACATTTAAAAAGTGTTGCAAATCTATTAAAATTATGATTATATACGGAAACAAATTAGATATTGTCTTGTGACTTACCTGTGTATCTATGACATAAGGATATGGAACAAGCTCTTTAATTATTCATTATCCTCGTATTGTATTTTCGTTCACACGATTTCATCAATATACCTAATAGTTATATTATCCTTCTTGATTGATATACTTCTATCAGTAATAAGAAAAATATGATAAACTTATAAACCGTTCATAAACAAATACATGAACATACTTTAAGCGTACTTTAAACTTAACTTTGGGTAGAGTTGGTTCAAACCCTAGAAGAAGTATATAGTACTTTTTTTCTGTTTATCATGTACAGTTTTCATCAGTTTCGTCTCTTACAACTACGACATTATGTGAACAAAATTTAATCCAAATAGTGTAATGTTTGTCATTTCAACTAGCAACCTGAATATCAATGAATTTCATCATCAAATGTCACTGGTGAGGTTATACAATTTCATGGATCTAATCTTTTCATAGGCTATTATGACTTACACGAAGAAGCTAATACTAAGCATATATATATAATGAAACATTTGGATTACTCAAATAACGATATTATCAAAGCTCTCTGAGCAAAATGAAGTCGAGCCTAACATTCTTTAGTTTAAAGAGGATCTGTACATTAATACAGTTTGTATATAACATGGTTCTGATTATTCATTCTGTAGCTAGAGGTTTGCTCTATCTCATTATTAGTCGTTTGTGGGACTCAAATAAATCAAAGTGATCGAAAAAAGTATAATTTGGGTTTGAAATGTATTTTTTTAAGGAAATTCAGTACTGTTAGTTCAGGATAAACACAGAATTCTATTTTCTACCTGGAGGTTCTGAGGCCTTTCGAACAACTGTTTGTATCACGTATATCAATGAGATAGAACCTGTATCATGTAAGTGCACCTACAGATTAAATAGTAATTCTGGACTGCAATTCAGTCACCAAGATAAATATATTGCTGCGATTCTGGAATACTTCGGAGGAGACAAGACTGTTTGATCCCATTTTTTTTTCTAAGGGAACTTTAATAACCTAAGTATTGTTTTGAGTCACCAGTATTTTAATCTTACAACTGCTTTGTACCAATGAAAAATAACATAATTTATGATACATACTATATTGAAAAACCTCTCGTTTTTTGCTTTATAGGTGAATCACGCAGATTCAATCAAGTTTGTGTCGGTACTACCAGTGAAATGCCATTGCGTATTACAGAAACAGATATTTATAATCTTGTTGCAACCGTTCGTAGCCCATCTGGACTTGAACAACCATCAACATTAAAAAGACTACCAAACGGACATCTAGGTAAATTGAAACATTATGAATAATGAAAATTCGTATACATAACTGTTATGACTTTATGTCCGGCTTTTTATCACGTGATTTATCTACCAATCAAAATACGACTTATACAATCCCCGCACTGTGCCAAAACCAATGGCGTCTTTATTGGACCTATGTCCGCCTAGCCCGTCCACTTGAGTCCAGAACACCAAATATTTTCGAACTGTGACTGTTACTTACTTAGTTAACTACTAACGCCTGTTACTCTCAATGGAGCATAGGTCGCCCGCCAGCATCCTCCAACACACTCTGTCCTAGGCCTTCCTTTCTAGTTCTATCCTATTTTTGTTCATTGTTCCCATGTCTGGCGTAATGTGTCCTTTGGTCTTCCTGTTTTCCTTTGGCCTTGAAGATTCTATGTGAGGGCTTGCCTTGTGACTCAGTTGGTTACTTTCCTCAATATGTGTTCTATCCACTTGCAGCAACTCTTCCTGATTTTTTCCTCCGCTGGAACTGTGGCTGTAGACTGCCAAAAAATACTTTCCTAATCATAGTGATTTTGTCAATGTTAACATTTAAAATACGGCTGGTTTGTTCAGGGCAAATAACTGAATATTTGTAACTAAATATTCTTAATAAAAGAACACTGATTAAATATTTATCATCTTTTTAGTTACATTACATACCGACTTCGAGGAGGTGAAAAATTCAAAGCCTTGAAATCCTGAACTACTACTGAATTTCATACATTAGTAGCATGCTTATTTTTAATAATAATTCTGGCAGCAATTTAGATAAAACACCTGACCGCCTAAACGATTATCATTTATTTTCAGGTGAATCCCATATATTCTATGAACAATAGCACTATTAACAATGACTTGATTGAAGTTAGACATTAACACCGTTGGATACCAGCTCAATGGTCTAAAGGTTAAGCGTTCGTATGCGAAACCGGTAGATCCTGGGTTCAAACCTCATGAGTAGGATAGTAGATGTACACTGTTGAGGAGCCCCATACTACAACGAAATGGTCATCTAGTGCTTCTAACTATTAAATGAATAAATAATTATAAATAATGTTCAAATGAAATGTCTGACTGTTTAAATAAACCGCAATAATAATTTTACATTCTTAACTACAAAATATAAAACAAGTTTAAATTTCAATTTGAAATGTGTTTTGTAAAAAGTTAATGGAAAATGTAACAAAATTTTATCACTAAGCATATAAATACTCAAAATAGACTTTAGTTTTTCTCAGTTCCCTTTTTTCTTTTTTTTTCTTCTTTTTTTTGGTTTTGCTTTTGTTCTTGTTTTCAAATTGTCGGTTTATTAAATTGTTATGTAACATTTAAAATGACAATACTAATCATTTCTAATATAAGAAACGTTTACTATGTTCATATTAAATGGGTAAATAAGACAGAAATTTAAAAAGAAAAAAAAAACAACAACAACTTTAATTGTTACTATCTTTTTCAGTAAAATAGTTAGTTTCTATTTTCATGTTGGATAATACTATTCCTTTAATTATTTTACTGAAATTGCACTCATGATGTTAACCATTGAAATTACTATAACATTCACATATACTCATTAGTGACTGGCTTCAAGAGGTATTTCCTGGAGTTCTAGTGCGAAGCAATGACTAGTAGAGTTCAACCAGGTCTATTGTGAGATAGTAACCGACTAATGACAATAGTGCATGTATTGCACAATGTCGTGGATTAGTTGAAGTAAGATATTAACACCGTTGGATGCTGACTGGCTCTAGTGATTAGGCGCTCACACGTGAGACTGATAGATCTTGGGTTTGAATCTTGTTAGGTGGGATCGTGAATGCGCACTGCTGAGGAGTTTTACGATAGAACGAAACTGCTGTCCAGTGCTTCCAGGTTTTCCATGGTGGTCTAGCATCAATTGACTCATAATCTCAACCATTGAAATATTTTACCTACAAATTGACTTGTCGATAAAAGCATAATTTTAAATTTTGCGAACTGATAGTGTAAGTAAAACAGGAGTACCAAGTTCATTATAAATAAAAGTAGATATTCTAATGAGTAGAAAAATGAGATTTTCTGATGTTTCGTGACTCAGTGTAAGCCACTTCTTCAACTGAAAAACATAATATTCTTGCATTGTTACTTTGTACTATTTGAACTTGGATTAATTTTGATTTGGTTATTTATTCTCTGAAGAAGTGGCTGACAGTGAGTCAGGAAACATCAGAAAATCTAATTTTTCTACTCATTGGGATATTACAAATATATTATCTTATTTATAACAATCTACCCAATCCTCAATTTATTCGAAATTATCGAGTCAAACCTTGGTAATGATATCTATATATACCCAGTTTATTGTTTCGAAAAACTTATCAAAAGATATCGTTCCTCTTTACCGAAACAAGTTTAAATATAATTACTTACTTTACTACTACTTACGCCTGTTACTCCTCGTGAAGGAGCATAGGCCACTCACCAGCATTCTCCATCCAACCCTGTCCTGGGCAATCCTTTCCAGCTATTTCCAGTTTTTATTCATCCTTTTCATATCTGCTTCTATTTCCTGATGTAATGTGTTCTTTGTCCTTCCGCTTTTCCGCTTCCCTTCAGGATTCCAAGTTAGGGCTTGACTCGTGATGCAGTTTGATGATTTGCGTAATGTATGTCCTATCCATTTCCATCGTCTTTTCCGAATTTCTTCTTCAGCTGGAAGCTGGTTTGTTCTCTCCCAGAGAAAGCTGTTGCTGTTGGTATCTGGCCAACGGATGTTGAGTATCTTGCACAGACAACTATTTATAAATACTTGAACGTTCTTGATGATGGTTGTTGTGGTTCTCCAAGTCTCAGCCCCGTACAGTAGACCTGACTGCCTTGACGTTCGCATTGAAGATTCTGATTTTGATATTGGTTGACAGTTATTTTTAGTTCCATATGTTCTTCAATTGTACGAATGCTGTCCTTGCTTTGCTAATCCTCGCTTTATGCCTGCATTTGAACCTCCTTGTTCATCGATGATGCTTCCCAGATATGTGAAGGATTCTACCTCTTCCAGAGTTTCGCCATCAAGAGTGATTGGATTGCTGTTCTCCGCTTTGAATTTGAGGACCTTGGTTTTCCCTTTGTGTATGTTGAGGCCTACTGATGCAGAGACTGCTGCTACACTGGCTGTCTTCATCTGCATCTGTTCGTGTGTACGTGATAGGAGGGTTAGATCATCTGCGAAGTCCAAATCGTCTAATTGGTTCTGAGATGTCGATTGTATTCCGTGTTTTCCCTCAGACATCGAGTTCTTCATAATCCGGTCGACCACCAGAAGAAAGAGGAAGTGAGAGAGTAGACAGCCTTGTCTGACTCCAGTCCTTACTTGGAATGCATCTGTCAGCTGTCCTCTGTGCACTACTTTGCACTGTAGACCGTCGTATGGGTTCTGGATAATGTTGTATCGTAAAGCTGTTTCATATTTCCTTATCTTGCAGCTTTTTCTGCCGTCGTTGCTAGTTCTTCCACGTATTTCTTCTTGTCGGCTCTAATGCTTTTCTTCACTTGCTTGTTTGCTTCTATGTATTCAGCTTGTGCTTGGACTTTCTCTGCTCGTGTTCGGCTGTTCTTAATTGCTGTCTTCTTGTTCTTCCTTCCTTTGATCCTGTCCAGAGTTTCTATAGAGATTCACTCCTTATGATGATGCTTCTTGAGGCTCAGAACAACCTCTTGACACGTTGAAGTTAATGCTTCTTTGATACCTTTCCAGTTGTCCTCCATAGTAGTTTCTTCTTCCTTCAGTAGATCCTGTAAGGCTTGGAACCTGTTGTTGAGAGCTATCTTGTTGAATTCATTGAGTTTGTCAGTATCTCGAAGGAAGGCTGTATTGAACCTTTGTAGTGCTGTTTGTCCAGTTGTCCAATTCTTCTTTAGCTTCAGTTTTAAATTAGCCAGAACTAGGTGGTGATCTGAAGCTATGTCAACACCTATCCTGGTTCTCACATCTTCCATTGTTGATGCAAATATGATCTATCTGGTTCTCTGTAGTGTGGTCCGGTGAGATCCATGTAGCCTTGTGTGTACGCTTGTATGGAAATATTGTGCCTCCTATGACCAATTTGTTGAATGCACATAGATATGCAAATCTTTCTCCATTTTCGTTTCTTTCTCCCAGTCCATGTCGTCCCATAATATCTCCATATCCAGTGTTGTCTATTCCGACTTTGGCATTTAGATCTCCCATCAGAATAGTTAGGTCGTTTCTCGGGCATTTCTCTATGATTGATTGCAGCCGCTCGTAGAATTGATCTTCAATGTCGTCGTTGCTATCATATATAATAACTATCTTAAATGAGTATATATGAAATTATAATACGATACTAATCTTCAGATTTATCTAAAATGTACTCAAACCACTACTAATTTATTCATCACAAATAAAAGTAAAAGACAAGATGGTTGTTGAAGGTATTCAACAGGAAACCCTAACCCTAGATTTCGTACTACTTGGCACTTGTCAACAAGGTCGATCGTGGCCCGAATAGCCCAGTGGTAACGTCGCTGATTGTGAAACTGGGTGACAGGTGGAGCATCAATTCCTTCAGGATTACAGGCACACCTTGCTGACAAGTGCCAAGTAGCACGAAACTTAGATCTAGCGTTTCCCGTTGACCACTTACAATCACCATCTTATCTAAACATAGTGCACGCAATGTAGAGTCACCTATATTGGTGACCACATTGCAACTTGATCGATAGCATTCGATCTACAATAAGAAGGACGTGATATATATGACATTGATCACCCCCCAGTAATCAATCAATTGTGAAAACTAACAGACAAAAGTCTACAATAATTCAATGATTTCTGGTTTGAAAGATGTTTATTTTCAGTCAATATAAACTTGTCATATGAAAGAACTTCAACAAACCTTAGATTCTCATAATCTTAACTATTTATAAATAACTAATAATTCTTATATCTTAGGTATTTCATTTACACCTCATGAAATTGGTGAACATTTTGTTAATGTATTCCGTAATGGTCGACATATTGCTAATAGTCCATTTAAAATTTATGTTGGTGAAAATGAAATTGGTAATGCATCGAAAGTTCGTATTTATGGTAATGGATTAAGAGAAGGTATGGCAAATCAAAATTGTCAATTCACTGTGGATACAAGAAATGCTGGTAAGTTTACTATTAAAAATGATTCGGTTATTGATAATTTAATAACGTTTTTTTCTCGTTCAAATTTGCTCTCACTTTGTATATGTATACGGGGAGAGTGTGTGTGTGTGTAACAAACGAATATGTCGTTACTTTAGAACTATTTAACATTGAACAACAATTTCAAAAGTGAACTAAACTCGTAGCTTACAAATCTCTTACTAAACATTATATGTTTGAACTAATGAGTCGAGATCCAGTACTTCATCCTTTGATTATATTTTATTAAACAAGGTGCGCTTCAATTTATAGTCAGTTAGTCTATTAGCTACATTACAACTTAATTGACAGGATATTAGTTGAGTTTATTTTTTTAATAATTTGCTATTTAATGACGAATTATAAAATAGTCGACTTAGTGTTTTTTAGCGAGTTAGTTTTCTACAGGATAGGGTTGCTAACCCCATGCCCAACCCTTCGTTTTTTATCCGGTCTTGGGACAGACAGTAGCCCCAGGGGGCTCCAAGCAAAGTTATCAAGCAATTTGGATATTCTAATTCATTTGGTATAAAAATTTACCAAGCTTGATTTGTGTGAAAAGTTACCTACACACACAATTCTATTAGAAATAATGTTGAGTTTATTCATTAGTAACTCCGCCTCTAGATCTTCTAGAGTTACTGCCGATCCCAAGCCCGAGTAAAGGAGGAGGGTTGGGCATGGGGTTAGCGTCCCCATCCCGTAGAAAACTAACTCGCCAAAAAGTCGCTGACCAGTAAAAATAATTCAAAGCTTTTAAACTCTGCCGGTCCTGGGAGTTAGAAGGTCTTCATTTAGAAGAACTATGACGCCTCATGGTGAAAGCCGAGTTCCTTCGAAAGCTACGAGGCCGATGCCCCTTCTAACAATCACAGCAACAATTTTTATAGGTAATTGGAACGTCCGAACAATGTGGAAGACCGGGAAGATCAGTCAAATAGCAACGGAAATGAGGAGATAAAACTGGGTAGTATTAGAAATCAGCGAAGCCCATTGAACCCAAGCTGGACAGTAAAGGCTAAATACGGGAGAGATGCTGCCATACTCCGGCCACGAAGAGGAAAATGCTCCACACACTCAGGGAGTTACTCTGATGTTGTCCAAAGTAGCACGAAATGCACTTGTAGGATGAGAGCCTCACGGATCCAGAATCATCAAAGCATCATTGAAAACAATGAATATTATCCAATGTTATGCACACACCAATGATAGCAACGACGACATTGAAGATCAATTCTACGAGCGGCTGCAATCAATCATAGAGAAATGCCGAAGAAAGGACCTAACTATTCTGATGGGAGATCTAAATGCCAAAGTCGGAATAGACAACACTGGATATGGAGATATTATGGGACGACATGGACTGGGAGAAAGAAACGAAAATGGAGAAAGATTTGCATATCTATGTGCATTCAACAAATTGGTCATAGGAGGCATAATATTTCCATACAAGCGTACACACAAGGCTACATGGATCTCACCGGACCACACTACAGAGAACCAGATAGATCATATTTGCATCAACAATGGAAGATGTGAGAACCAGGATAGGTGTTGACATAGCTTCAGATCACCACCTAGTTCTGGCTAATTTAAAACTGAAGCTAAAGAAGAATTGGACAACTGGACAAACAGCACTACAAAGGTTCAATACAGCCTTCCTTCGAGATACTGACAAACTCAATGAATTCAACAAGATAGCTCTCAACAACAGGTTCCAAGCCTTACAGGATCTACTGAAGGAAGAAGAAACTACTATGGAGGACAACTGGAAAGGTATCAAAGAAGCATTAACTTCAACGTGTCAAGAGGTTGTTCTGAGCCTCAAGAAGCATCATCATAAGGAGTGAATCTCTATAGAAACTCTGGACAGGATCAAAGGAAGGAAGAACAAGAAGACAGCAATTAAGAACAGCCGAACACGAGCAGAGAAAGTCCAAGCACAAGCTGAATACATAGAAGCAAACAAGCAAGTGAAGAAAAGCATTAGAGCCGACAAGAAGAAATACGTGGAAGAACTAGCAACGACGGCAGAAAAAGCTGCAAGATAAGGAAATATGAAACAGCTTTACGATACAACATTATCCAGAACCCATACGACGGTCTACAGTGCAAAGTAGTGCACAGAGGACAGCTGACAGATGCATTCCAAGTAAGGACTGGAGTCAGACAAGGCTGTCTACTCTCTCACTTCCTCTTTCTTCTGGTGGTCGACCGGATTATGAAGAACTCGATGTCTGAGGGAAAACACGGAATACAATCGACATCTCAGAACCAATTAGACGATTTGGACTTCGCAGATGATCTAACCCTCCTATCACGTACACACGAACAGATGCAGATGAAGACAGCCAGTGTAGCAGCAGTCTCTGCATCAGTAGGCCTCAACATACACAAAGGGAAAACCAAGGTCCTCAAATTCAAAGCGGAGAACAGCAATCCAATCACTCTTGATGGCGAAACTCTGGAAGAGGTAGAATCCTTCACATATCTGGGAAGCATCATCGATGAACAAGGAGGTTCAAATGCAGGCATAAAGCGAGGATTAGCAAAGCAAGGACAGCATTCGTACAATTGAAGAACATATGGAACTAAAAATAACTGTCAACCAATATCAAAATCAGAATCTTCAATGCGAACGTCAAGGCAGTCAGGTCTACTGTACGGGGCTGAGACTTGGAGAACCACAACAACCATCATCAAGAACGTTCAAGTATTTATAAATAGTTGTCTGTGCAAGATACTCAACATCCGTTGGCCAGATACCAACAGCAACAGCTTTCTCTGGGAGAGAACAAACCAGCTTCCAGCTGAAGAAGAAATTCGGAAAAGACGATGGAAATGGATAGGACATACATTACGCAAATCATCAAACTGCATCACGAGTCAAGCCCTAACTTGGAATCCTGAAGGGAAGCGGAAAAGCGGAAGGACAAAGAACACATTACATCAGGAAATAGAAGCAGATATGAAAAGGATGAATAAAAACTGGAAATAGCTGGAAAGGATTGCCCAGGACAGGGTTGGATGGAGAATGCTGGTGAGTGGCCTATGCTCCTTCACGAAAAGCAACTGGCGTAATGTAAAAAATGCTAATCATTAGGGGTAAAAGTAGTTCAAAATTGATTTCACTCTTAAAGAGTCTTTGAATAATTTGTTTAGTAGTAAGAAAATCCAGAAATCCTATTAATTTTCGTAGACATGAAACAAAATCCTTAGTAGTAAAATTTCAGGCAGTTTAATTATCCATTCACATGATGTATAATAATTAGTTTAAAAAGCATACATTATCGTTAGTATTTGTTATTAGTTAAACATTATTAACATAACTAGTATCGTATTAGAGAATCTTATGCTCTATGGTTTTTTTTGACAGTTTTACAGCTGACATCAGTTCCTACAGTTAACATACTGATCTTAGCTCTCCCATATTATTATCCTAAGTAGTGAACTAGTTTATCTAAGCCATCATTTGAATAACTTTTAATGGTTATCTTCATTAGATTTTGATTACTCAGTAATCGAACAATAAAATTTATGTTGTAAAGAAATTTAAGATAAAGATGAATAAAACTCCTAACTCAATCTGATGCCATTTTAGTGGTTCTACGAATATATTTGATGTAATGGTCTAGATGAAAATCTTTTTTAACAAACAGTTGTTATTACGTCTCGAAAAGCAGTAAATTTTCCTCCAGCGATATGGCTTCTGAGAATAAAAATTTTAGAAGTCGTGTTCTCTAAGGTTATGGGGCCCGTCATTTAGATCGGACGGTGTTCGTTGAAGGGCTCTCCACTTTAGTGGCCCGATATCTGACTTCAAGTAGATCGTATGAATGTTTGTTATCGCCTATCCTCGTATATAATCATCGACTTTAATCGCGTTAGTCAATAACGGATTTAGATAAGTCAAATAAGGAGAATGGACTTTCGAATACATATATTTTGTATATAAAGCGAATGGAATGGAAAAAAGCAAAACGACGCGCAGTGGAGATGGCGGGCAAGCCAACTCCCCTTTAACCAAGCGTTAATCAATATTTATAGTTACACAAAGGTAAGTTACAGACATATGATGGATAATGGGATAAGAAGTGTACACACACATATGCCCTCATATAGAAACAGTCAAGATTGAGATAAGCGAATAATTAACAAGGTCAAAATGTAACTCAACTGGAATGTATAGATTGACCTATCCGAAAGCCAGAATAAGATATATGGTCTTAGCACAGCAACTGACAGTACAAGGTAGATAATTTAATTTTAAAGTTTCTGTTGTCATCATTGGCCTCTGAGCTATAAATTTTATGCCTCAAACTAATTAAATAGTTTGTTTGACCTTTAAAATTTGAGCTACTGGTTTAAATTGACCTGATCTACTTCTTTCTCTCTGTCCCTTTCTGAGCAACTAAATAGTCCTAGTTCAGAAAAGAACCTAATCATGATCGTTTAAGTACATTTCAATTTTTACCAGTAATACAGGCGGGTCAAGCATATATCCGTATTCCGCCGAAATAACATTTTAAGTATAAACTACTGATATTAAAAAGTGTATGCACAAGAATGAGTAGCATATTAAATTAATTGACATCAAGTTATTATTAAGGAAATTTATGTAATGAATGAATTGATGATGTTAGGTAGAACGAGGAAATTGAATAACAAACGGGCAAATACTTGTGTGTAGATATCAAATGAAGCAATAAATAAACTATAAACCGGGACAAAGTATTGTACTAAACACATTACACACAATTTAACTTTCAAATGAAATGCTTAAATGATGTTGTTTTTACAACTCCAAGGCTACGGCGGCTTGAATCTATCAATTGAAGGACCAAGTAAAGCAGATATTGAATGCCATGATAATCAAGATGGTACATGTTTGGTTACATATCGTCCAACTGAACCTGGAACATATATAATTAATGTTAAATACGCTGAACAACCAGTACCAGGCAGTCCTTTTGTAGTTCATATTGGTGGTGAACCATCACTTAGAATGATGGAAAGAATTACACGACAAAGAGAACTTGCTGATGCAACATATGTAGGCAGTCAATGTGAATTAAATTTAAAAATTCCAGGTAAATAACAATTATCAGTAATGAACTAAATGAATCATTTTATAATACAATGAACCAACAGTGATTTGTTTGTGAATTCTTAACTTATTATTCTATGATCATTTTTATTAATATATAAGTAGATACTTGTGTTATCAACAGCAAAACAAGTTAGACAGAAGAACATAATGTGGCGGAACTATAATTTATGGACGAACCAATCAGGTATAAGACAACAGGTATCGGGTTTTAGCGCAAAATTCATTCATCCATTTGGATAAACAGAGTTTTGGCATTATAGCTGATGTCAGTTCGTGATGAAAATCCGAAATCTAATTCCTAACCTTAATCATCAACTGTAAATCATAATTCTGATTCCTCACACAGGTTTATAATAATCATTTGGTCCTAGTTATTAAGTGGAGACTCTCAAGGTCAGTCTAGCATCACTCAAAGATCGTCCATAAATTATAGTCTCACCGTTAATAAAGAAGTTGGATAAAATGAGGGGTAATAGAGTTAGAAAATTGGTTTAATAATTTGCTTTAGTATGTATAGTTCAAACTGTTTTGACCGTATAACAAAGGCTTCTTTATTAGGTTTTTATTCACCTGATAGATGTTTTTGAATTCTGAATCTATTTTGAATGAATGATCCATGTTTACAAAGTATTCAATTAGGAAGCTTCTCATTGCTATATCGCCAACTTTTTAGATTAAATGGTTTAAAAAGAATAACAAAACCAAATGAGAATAATACTGGTGGAGAATAAGGATAGTTTATTACTGCTTCTACTCCTATATTTTCAATCAGATATCACGAAATTCTCAAAATATATTAAACTAGTGATATGTTATTCTATGGGCTGATGTAATATTGTGCTCTAATCTGTTTTAAGTTTCACTTTTTTTAATCTTATTCACCTAATTTGAATGAAGTTAAACATCGACTGAGAAAATATGATACATACCTAAGTTGCATTCTATGATTTTAGACGTATTAAACACCAGTTGTTGGAATTATAAACCAAAGTCTATACTTAACAATCAAACTATACACTAATGATAATTTAGTCGATCAGACATTTTTTGAAAACAATTTATCTTCTAAAACCACGAATATATTGTTCATCAGGAAGTAATTTAATAATTTAATAGTTGAATTCATGACTTAATTAAAGCTAGATCACCATAGAAAACCCAGAAGCGCTGGAGGGCTGTTTCATCCCAGTATGGGACTCCTCAGTAGCACGCATCCACAATCCCGCCCCCCGCGAGATTCGAACCCAGGACGTATCGGTCTCGCACACAAACGCTTAATCTCTAAACCATTGGGCTGGCCGGCATAAAATGGTGTTAATGTCTAACTTCAATCCATCCATGAAATTGCGCCACCGTCCACCATTGTCTTCAATGAGTTACTGTTTCACAACAACGGTTAAACGCTTGCGCGCGAGTCTGATAAATCCTGGGTTCAAAGCTTGCGAGGTCAGATCGTGGATACGCACTGTTGAGAAGCCCCTGACAGCCCCGTTCAATGCTTCCAGGTTTCCCATGGTGGTCTATCTCCAATTGACTTATGAATTCAACTATTAAAAATAACTATTTATTTATAAAAAGCACAAGGTAGTTTGACTAAAAAATCAGTATTTTCAAAACAAAACAAGAAAAAGATTATTCTTTCTCACGTCAATAACTTCGCTGATGTTTTTCTACTATTTTTTTTACTTAGATTCACGCTAAGCTTTCATATTTACCTCCATTTCCCTCAGCTTGAATTTTCTTTGTTTAAGATTTTAATTATTAAAATCTCTGGTCCCAAACTCAATTAGTTCTCTTGTATATTTTTAAATACTCAAATGAGGGAGAGGGAGAGAGAGAACGTATAACTCTATGCGAAATCATTATTACTAATTATAAAGGCTTAAAACATAGTTAATAAGTAGACTATCTAAAGAGACTGAAAAGTGTGTGTGTGTGTGTGTGTAAGTGTTATTTGTTTACTCTAGGTTACTTCAACTTTGTTACAAAGGAGAAATATTGTCTATTTATGACTACGTTATTGCTTGTTTGAAATAATGTAAGGATGAATAAGTAACAATTGGTCACGACGACCGACCCTAAATCAGAACATATTCAGAAATAAACTGACAGTTTAGTAGTATTGTAATGAACGAGAACACAAATGGGGATGACAAAATGTATTTCATTACAAAATTACAGAGTTCTTTGGCAAAATGTGATTACAAGTTCACCTAGTCTGTGAACGGAACTAAGACTCTATAATGAAAGACCAATAAGCTAGATATTCTGATATGTCACGGCCCCGCTAACTAAAGAGAGTGGTTGAAATTTGGAGCGGGGAAGTATTCAGAAGTACGAGCGATCCCGACCTGTCTATTCGGAAATACACTCATTTATATATTGGTTTGTACACCCATTTTTGATTAATAATCAGAATAAATGATATATATGAAAAACACTCAATACAAGAATGTCGTATATTATACAGAATAAAATGTCATAGGGTAAAACGAAACAAATACTATACTGAGTGATCAATCAAAATTTGACCTTTCATATCATCAAAACAATACTCCATTTGTAAGTATTCCATCAATTGTCTCAACTTTCATTGTTCCTTCATTTTTTATAACGATTACTATCTCTTCCCATTCTCATTGATCCACTCTTTCCAACCTTCTGCCTTCCATTTCTGATTGATGTTATATACTACTTATATCTGTCGACATCAATAGCACATACCACATTTCGTCATACTTATATAAAAAATATAAAGGTGAAGGTAAATCTAATTCGAATTTATTTACAGTATAAACATATTCTAAGACAGTTGAGTAGAAAATTAAACTCAGATAACTGTAAAATTTAAATACATAAATATTTGTTAAGGAGAAGAATAGAGATGAACAGAGTCAGGTGGAAATTCTTTTGGTTTAGGTATATTCGATAACTTCTGATAACGTAGCGGTTTTGCTTCGTTAATCGATCACCTTAATAACCGTTATAATATAAATTTAAACGGTGATTAAAATCAGAATGCAGTGAGAAGCGGCAAATACAATTTGTTAGCAGATAGCATTGATTACAGAGCTATAAGCACGTCAAGCGAATTTGAAGCGGAGGGGCGAATAAATATATGTGAGCACTTACATAGGCAGACTTATAGTCAAATTGCATAAGGGCACAGCAAGGCAAAGCAAAAGCTAATAATAGGATTTAAGTACATATATACATGAGGAGGAGGAGGACAAATCATCGAGTGATATTTAAGTTATCAACATTTTAGCTCGAGTCTGTCATGTGTTCTAGTGATCATAACGGTACAAAGAAATATGCGAATAGTTACTGTTTTAATACTATTCTGTGTTAAGTAATTTAATAATAAAAGGGCTTGACCAAAATTAACCATGATCGAAATTGGTTGTAAGATAGTTGTCATAATAAGAAAGGAGAAGTAAAAGTTGAATTATCAATAATAGCGCACAGCAACGATCACCGATGAGACCATAATTTATAGAAGACTTTTGAGCGACGTCAAGGTAACCTTAAAAGTATCTACCTACTTAATAGGGCTAAATGAAAGTTATAAAGCAGTCTGTAGAATTAAGATAATGAGTTACAGTTGATGTTAACGGTAAGGATTTAGATTTATGGTTTTTATCGCGAACTGACATCAACTAAAATGCCAAAGACGCTATTTGAACGAATGAATGAGTGAATTGCGCGCCAAAATCTGAGACCTGTTATCCTAAATCTGATTGGTTCATCCAACTGACTATATATTGACTAACTGTTATGAAATTCCACTTCAAGCGTAAACCATTTATCACAATTCTATACTATGAATGCTTCGTTTAAGATCTAGTTATTTTGAAACTAACATTTGTTTTTTAAAACATGTTTCATTATTTCTCCATATATCAGGAATAAATATTCGTGATTTGACAGCTAATGTAACTAGTCCATCAGGAGTAAGTCAACGATGTGATGTCTTAGCTATGGATGATGTGAATTACACCATTAAATTTGTACCACAAGAAATGGGTGTACATACTGTTTCAGTACGTCATCGTGGATCTCATATTTCTGGTAAGTAAAAAATCATATATATGTATATTTATTTATAGTCAATTAAAAACTAATAATATTTCTCAATCTACAATATGAATTATTTTTCATTTGTTTTCTAGGAAGTCCATTTCAATTTACTGTTGGTCCTATTACAGAAGGTGGAGCTCATAAAGTACATGCTACTGGTCAAGGATTACAAAATGGTTTAACTTATTCATTAAATGATTTAGTATTTATACTCGTGAAGCTGGTGCAGGTGGTTTATCAATTGCTATTGAAGGACCAAGTAAAGCTGAAATCAATTTCGAAGTTAGTTATGATACAATTTATTATTAATAATAAATGAAAGGTAGTGAATAATTTGACTATATGAGAGAAATACTTATATCAAGGTATTATGATATCAATTGAGCAACGTAAGAAGATGCAGTACCATGGTACACTGTGACCAGCAATAGGTCCATACGTCATTTGTTCCTTCAGGATCCTGGAACCCTTTTGCACCATTGGTTTGAAATCAGAGTTCTTTTACTCCCCAAGATAGCTCCTTCATATCCTTCATCCCGGTTGAAGCACCGGACATTCACTTTTGGTCCTCTCAATTTATTAAAAAATATCCTTACGTCGAGAAGAAAGTGAGCATGACTTCCCTGATAGTGATTGTATTGGTGTGGCTATGTAAGAGTATTTGGAGAGGAAGAAATGATTCTTCCAACCTTCGACTGTACCAGATCACTGAGGGGGGGGCGTTTCACTAAGATACTTTTTAGATAACATTTAAACTAACTACATGTTATGTTGAGAATGCTACGAAGTCTGACTTTTGACCAGGCTTCAGTTCTCATCAGAACGCTGTTGATTTAGAATATTGTTTGAGCTAAAAAACGAACATTTGTTTTCCTAGCCACGTTTTATACCATTTTATTCCTTCAATTTAGGCCGATCATTATGGAGTGAGTTAGCCAATCGATATCGGGTTGTTGACGTGTGAAATTTCAACGGTGGAATCGAAAGACTAAAATGATCCCTGCTTAAATTATACTGTCTTCAAGGCAGACCAGTTATTTCGAACCTATTGATTCTTCTGTATAATGTTTTAGATTTAACTTCGTTAATTATTCCCTTGTAAGCTTTAGTGATTCAATACACGGACTCATTGTAGTACGTACTTGTCTACACACTTACTAGTATTTCGTATATTCTTTGTAAAATGAAAGTCATATGATATTCAAGGCTTCTGTGTGTTGTCAACTACGATAGGCTATCTGTTCACAGCACCTTTTATTGTTTATCTGTCACCTAACATTCAAATGAATGAAATATACATGTTCTAAACATATTTCTTACTTGGCTTATTTTATTCTGTTATTAGTAACACGTTTGATTCACTGCACAACCTCTTATATTTCATTCGTCATTATGCAACTGGAGTTAATTAAGAGCCAAAAACCCTCATCCATACGTGTATATTGATTGTTGGATAAAATAAACTATTATATAAACTTTTTATACATCCATTACTATGACTTCCACCTCATGTATTTCAAGCTATTTCCATGCTTCATCGAATTTAGCTGACTTATTACTAGCTTACATACAGAACATAAACACAAAATAAGCATGGTAAAATATCATCAGCTATTGAAGGGGATTAGTTTATAGGTCAATCATTATCCAATCAGTGAAGACTACATTGTTAGGTCTAATCTTAGGGCATCGTATCAATGGTACAACATGAACAGATTTTAGCTAAACCACCAATGGATAAAAGGAAACCCTGGAGAGTTGTTTCGTCCCAGTATGGGACTCCCAGAAGTGCGGACTCAAGATCCAGTCACAGAGGATCAAATCTGGGACTTTTGATTTTTTTGCCCGAGCTCTTAATCTCTAAACCATTAGGCCTGCATTCAATAGTGTACACTTCTAACGTCAGTCAATTTGAGATATTACACGATCATCTTCCATTGCATCTGATGGATGACTATCCCACACAACTGATATAGTTCAATCATGAGGATTCTATAATCTCCACAAAACCCTAAACTTTCATGAACTTTGTTATTATACATAACAGATTATTCTTTGCAAAAGTTTTTAAATATCGTTTTAAAATATATTCAATAACAATTTTCGTGTATCTTCTAAAGGATAGGAAAGATGGTTCATGTGGAGTTTCTTATCGTGTAACTGAACCAGGTGAATATTTATGCTCTATTCGCTTCAATGATGATCATATACCGAATTCACCATTTCGTGTTATCATAAATGAAGCAATGGAACGAACATTCTATACACCTGAAACTAAATTATTAAATATTACAAGTATTCAAGATCGTGGTCTGTCGGTAAGTAATTCGGAAAAACAATTTTTTCATGCAATTAGTTCCCTTAAAAAAAGCCAGAACAAATATTGATGTAGAATAATATGAATTAATTATATTTCGTGGTTTCTCATCAGCTTGTAGTGTGGGGTCGAGTCGCGGTTGACTATGAACACCACTACAAGGAGGTTGCGTACTAGATATCAGAAGGCGATTAGAGGTTGTAGCATGATATATTTGCTAGTGATCTTGTGGTATCGAAAGAATACCGAAAGGGTACAAGCGAAATCACTGAGCAAACGTAAGTGCGTGCAAGATCACAATCAACGGAAGGAAGAATGCCTTTAGTACAGTTAAACAAACAAGTACAGTAAAACAATCACTGGTACAATTGGTTATAATACTAATTGTTTCCATTAAACCAATCGCGTTCTCTTGATAAAAGTAAGTCACTACAAGCTGCTTACAACCAAAAATGTATCAGAAGGGGTTTTGTGGAGAGTGTGGTAAGTTTAATAGTTGAGATCATCAATCAATTGAAACTAGACCACCATGGAAAACCTGGAAGCACTGGACGGCCGTTTCGTCCTATTGCGGGACTCCTCAGCAACGCGCACCCACGATCCCGCTTCGCGGGATTTGGACCCAGGACCTATTGGTCTCGCGCCAAGCGCTTGACCAACTAGACCACTGAGTCAGCATCCGACGGTGTTAATGTCTAACTTCAACTAATCCACGAAATTGAGCTACACATCCACTATTGTCTTCACTAAAAAAATGACTTTTCGTACGTGGCTTTGAGTTACAATTCGTTTTTTTTAAGTTCGATGGTATTACGGAGTTGACCAAATTGAAATATGTGAAGTGAGTTGAGGATCATTGATCTTAAAGGTTGACAGTTCAGTAATCTAATCACTGGTCTAATATCCAAATTAAAATCAAATATGATATCAGGTGTATAAACTCATATATATGCAGTAATAAAATTCCTGTATCTTAGAATAATGACAATTAGGCTAGTGATTTTAACCTTGGAAATCTTTTATATAGCAACATATTTCTTAATAAATACCCCCTTGTAGTTGTACTCTCCACTTAAAATCAACTATTTGCTAAATATACTAATCTTTTTTAAGACTAAAATTCACTTAAATGTCAAAGTGTCATTATTTCATTACATAAAAAGCAAAATTTCGAAGTGTAACATTTACATTCCAATCATCTTTTTGTGTAAAAAAGCATCTGAATGTTGGTTTATAACGTACAAAACGTATTTATTTGAATGGCTTTGAGATTACAAACCGACCTAAGTTAAGGATCCATCGAGTACCAGAACACAACAGACAGCTATTTTATCTTATTATGGGACTCTAGATAGATGCGAGTCCATTATCCCACTAGAGATCGAACCCAAGACTTTCAGGTCTTACGGATCACCCCTAATGGTTTACATGTATATCTACAATTAATTCGCGCCACTATAGAATCATCTTCCATTGTATTCAGTAGATAACTCTCTTAACCCCTATATTGCTGAACCCAACTGGTCACGGCTTCACACTAGACTTTTAGGAGTTACTACTAATAATTAACAGGTTTATGATCTAATTAACAAACAGCAATCTCGAAAAATCCGCTATACGAGTATCCATCTGATTGTATCTGGGAATTAAATGATGATTAATAACACAATTTTATTGGTTATTTCTGTAATAAAGGTTATACTTATTGTCTGATCAAGCTTGTTAACCATAAAGTAAACTCTTCAAAACAAAATTTTACGTAGTGATGTATAGAACAGAATCCATACAAGTTGTCAAATAAAGTCTTGTGACTTCATTTTCGTAACCATAAAAGCTCTATTTGACAATTTAGTCAAATGAAACGAAATATAATATCTCAAATTAACGTCTACCTTTTAGACTCAATTTACCAAGGCCAAAACTATGGACATATTTTTCTCTCTTTAAAAACAGATTTTTACCGTGATTATCACTTTTTCAGGTTGGTAGTAAACTGGAAAAGTAATTAATCAATGTATCGAAAAGGAGTGTAGTAAACATATTGTAATCACTAAGACGTCAGAAAAGAAATTATTGACAAAATAATAACCTTAACGGTTTGAAAGTCTAAAATATTTTCCGTTTTTACATCTTGAGAACAACCTTGTAGCGGTAAATAAATCCCAATAATAAATAGTTCTATAAATCGTCGACACTGACTCTAACCTAACTGATGACGCTCGATTGGGCATCCTCACTGGGTACACCGTGCCGCGCATCTCAACGCATCAACCATCTTCCATATATATATATATATATATATATATATATATATATATATATATATATATATATGAACCCCTTGATTCCTGACTTCCGGTTTAAATGGCTTTGGGATCCTTGATTACAAAGAAGTTATGGACAACAGTGTTGTCAACTCCTAAATACCAGTGTCACGTTTAACCTTTCTTTTAGTTTCAGTGATTTATATTGGTAAAATTTAGACATTATCAATGAAATCTAAGGACAATCCCTCAAGTTGAAAATTTTCCACTTTTTCATATATATTGTTGTTCCTGTTGTTTTCTGTATAGATTGGGCGTCCAACAGCATTCACAGTTAATTACTCGGGAATGACAGGTAGAATGAGAGCATATGTAGTAGCTCCATCTGGAATACAGTCAGATGCACTTGTACACCAAGTGGATGTTGATCAGCACGCAGTACGATTTACACCTCATGAAAATGGAGCACATTTGGTGCATGTACTAATGGATGAACGTCCAGTACCTGGAAGTCCATTCCGTGTATTAGTTGGGCAAGAAGAAACTGGTCGTGTTACGGCCAGTGGGGAAGGTTTGACTCATGGACGTGTTGGTATGTTGAATATATTAACTTATCAGGAATTAATACTCACTAAGGATACTGTGGTTGAAAACTTATTCTTATTGGACAGATTTTTTTACAACCACTTAATTTGTCTTAGTTTTATTGAAATCAACCGATCTAAGCTAAACATCATATTTTTGACATACATTTTACCTTACTTAAATATAGTGAGTAGTAACACGGTGTTTCATGAAAAATACCTTTCAGGTTCATCAGATTTACAATAATAACAAGAATGAGCCGAATAATTTGAGGCACTTTTGGGGACGATAGATCCCCAAAACTCAAATTTTGTAATTTACTTATCGATTAAATGTGCAGATAGGTCAATTGATGAACTATCGATTAAACGTACAAATAGGTCAATTGATGAACTATCGATTAAATGTTCAAATAGCAGTCAATTGTTGATTAATGTTCAAAAATCTTCCATGACAATATCGATTGTAAATATTTGTATAAATACGCTTGATTTGTGTGCTTGACTTGACTTGTTATCTGCTGTTTGTCTGTAGAATACACTTTCTACACCTTACCCAGACTTTTGATCGAGTTAGCAGAGTTGGGGACAACGGACCAGAATAGACTATCGAGTCTCTGAATCCTTGATCCGATCGATAAGTCACTGTCATATAATCGGCGGCCCTTTGAGGCATAACAATTGGCGACGGGGTAAAAAAAAAAACCCAAAGTCAGCCTTCAGCATCCAGATTTGTCATCAGTGTCCTTCAGCAACATTGGTCATTAATCAAACAGTAATTTTCATTACCGGTGCTGAATAAAAAAAATGACTCTCCCTTCCGATCGAGTACAGCTGCTATTTGAAAGACAGTTGGAGTTTTTAGTCAAATTACGCACGCAGCTGTTAAATCACTCATGCTTTGGAGATGCAACGGAAGTGGATGGATTGATCTCTCAACTGCACACAGAGCTGGAAAATGATTGCAGCCCCAATGAATCCCCGATAAACCGTATTTCAAACGGTACAACAGTCACTCAAGATTCGCCCAGTGGTCCAGTCCTCTCCATTCCAGAAACATGCCCGGTAATGGACTCAAACTCCATTATCCCCAAAACAGCATGTGCAGACGGTGACTTATCCAGCTCACAAACACACTCCCTGGTAAATGCTCATAGAATTGTCGCAATAACCACCCATGAAACAGAAAACAAATCGAGCAGTACACTGAATACAACTGCTTCAAATGGTTCTCATCAGTCTGCGACAGATGTTTTTGACAAATCTTATTATCAAGATTCTCTTTTACCAGAAAATATGTCAGATGCATCAAATGATGATCAAAAACTTAATACAATTTTGATAGATGCTAATTACCTTGATGATTCATTATCTACAAATAAGATTCCAAATAAATTTGGTCACAATATTTCAGAAGAATTAAACTTCGAACACCTCATATCAAGTGTCGTTCAGCCTCAAGACTTAGTCACTTTCAGTCAATTCTCTGTTCAGTGCGATAAATATGTCTTAAATAAATTCAAGTTAATTATAACGTGGGCATATGAGGATCCAACACTGTTTCGTGGGGGAGGATGGACCTGGAAAACTTAAAATCCGGATATCAACTCCGGATCTTCTAAAAAGGGGAGGAGTGTTGGGGACGATAGATCCCCAAAACTCAAATTTTGTAATTTACTTATCGATTAAATGTGCAGAAAAAAAAAAAAAAAAAAAAAAAAAAAAAAAAAAAATAGGTCAATTGATGAACTATCGATTAAATGTTCAAATAGCAGTCAATTGTTGATTAATGTTCAAAAATCTTCCATGACAATATCGATTGTAAATATTTGTATAAATACGCTTGATTTGTGTGCTTGACTTGACTTGTTATCTGCTGTTTGTCTGTAGAATACACTTTCTACACCTTACCCAGACTTTTTGATCGAGTTAGTAGAGTTGGGGACAACGGACCAGAATAGACTATTGAGTCTCTGAATCCTTGATCCGATCGATAAGTCACTGTCATATAATCGGCGCCCCCTTTGAGGCATAACAGGCACTTAATGAAACTGCTTGGTAAATAGCTTCAGATATCCTTACTGCAATAAATATGACTAAATTTCTCACTCTTATATCTTAAATTTAGTTGATTTACTGATTCATAAAACAAACATTTGGTACTAATAAGGCTTCAAGAAATACACTACAGAGAATTTCCATTTTCTTCATTCAGACTGTTATTATTTCTATAAGGAATATAATAAACCATAGGAATCAAGACTGAAGTAGAGATCTGTTGGAAGATTCAGTCCGTTGGTTTATTTCTTTAATAATTTTTTTAGTATGTTCACTATACGTCATCTAGAACGATATAGAAAACAACGTATTTTTTGTCAAACATTTCTTTCATTCCCTTCTATATCTGAAACCAGAAGATATAGTGAAGACCATTCATGTAAATAATAACATGGTCTATGTTTATGGATGTGAATTAAGTTGAAGAGACCCAAGGTTTACTCACTTTCCGTGAACAAAAATGAACTTCATATAACCTTCTCTCTTGTTATAAAAAGACCCAATTATTCATATACCCATCAATTTAATATCATTTGTCGATTTATCTTATTCAGGTGAACGTAATCGATTTTTCGTAAACACTGTTCAGCTGGAAGTGGTGCTTTATCAGTTACTGTAGATGGTCCTAGTAAAGTTCAATTAAATTGTACTGAACGGTCAGATGGATACGATTTCACTTATTTGCCATTATCGCCTGGGGAATATCTGATCAGTATTAAATATGGTGATTCACAACATATTATAGGTTCACCATATAAAGTAAGCTTTTTTAAATTATAAAACATTCATAATTAATTTGGTTCGTACCGGACTCCCTCCCCCGTTGTTTCACTTAACAAGAATAGGTGTCAGGCTTCGATTATCTAAAGGAGCTGAGTAATAAAAGGCATGATCATGAAATTGCATCTAGTAATCAAAGAACAACACTACTTATGTTTTTGTTTTCATAAAACCCCAGAACGTTTATCTACAATTGTGATAACAATATAAGTTCATTCAATAACTCAATTTTCCTGGTCACTCAAACACCCCAATTGTATTAATTTATGGTCATTTGAGTTTACTGTTTTGGCTGATCATAGCAAACTCTTTAAAGTATTCACAGTTCGTCTAAGTATTTAATTAATCTGCTAGAATATTAATCCAATTATCTGACCTTATAGATGACCAACATTAGACCACTAGAAACTTTCCGAGATGAATAATTGATCCTTATGATCCTACGTAACTAGATCACTCGTATAAATTATACTACTATATTGTTTAGGATGCCATTAATCAATTAGTTTAGATACAAAATATCACACTGAAATCCACGAACTTCCGTTAGACTCTTAGAAAAATGTAGCCGTCTCTAGTGTATAGAGATGAGATTATGATGATAAGAGTTAAGAAAGTTTCTCCTGTAAATAGAAAGTACACGATCGAGCGTAATACGAATTGGTAGTAATGTATACTTCAAACAAAAATAGTAAGTCAACTTGGAGCGTTTCTTAGGAAGGTAAAAACTGAATGACCAAAGACGGACCACAGTTAACAAGTCAAAACACTTTTCCAAGTAAGTCATTCGTCGTTTTGATTGATGCTATGAGAACAATTCATTGATCACTGATTAGTGACAAAGATTATTTTTGTCTAGTACCTAAGTACTGATTGAATTCTGTCAATAAAGACGTGGTGTGGATATTAGTCCAAATGACTTGCTATTGTGTGTATTATGATGACATGCAGTTGGAAATCATTGCTTAGTAGTAATGTCGCAGACTTTGAAGCTGAATGACATGGGTTGAAATCCACCAGGGAACATCGGTTACCAAACATTTGTATTTACTACATGCTGATGAATGCCAACTAGCACGAAACTTAGTGGCACAGTTTCCTAAAGACTAAATTCAAACGCCTAACATGGTATAAGAATAGCTGGCTAACTTAAACAGTTGAAACTAATAATCTAGACAAACACTGAAATCTACACCATCCATGACTGCCTTCCACTTTGGTATCAAGTAAATTCTCCGGAGCAAGTTACAATAATAATAAACAATCAAAAATTTTATTATAACAACCGAATACATCAAGCACTATAAACAAAGATGAGAAATCACAGAGGGAAAAAATAGCACTGGTCACTTCACGAGTGTTTTATCCCACTACTGAGACTCAATATATGTATAATGGTAGTGAAACATGGCCTGTAAGAGTAGAGGATATTCGTAGGTTACTAGTATTTGATCATAGGTGTCTTCGAAACATTGCTCGTATATCCTGGGACCATCGAGTAAGTAACGCAGTTGTTAGGAAAAGGGGACTAGATAAGGATGGCAAATCTATTGATGAAGTAGTAAAACTTCATCAGTTGAGATGGCTAGGACACACGTGTTACTTATGCCCAACCACCGACTGCCTCGACGTGCGATGTTCAGTGGTATAGGAGTAGGTTGGAAGAAAGCTAGAGGCGGCCAGACCAAAACATGGAGCAAGTCCATGAAGTCACTGACAAGTGGACTGAGTTGTGTTGGTAGGTGTAGACTACCTGCTTGAGGGCCGCGAGATGATAGCAACTGATGGTTAGAGACCCTGAATAACATGGCTCAAAATCGTTTGCAATGGCGTAGGTGCATACACTCTTTGTGTTCTCCCAAATTCTAATCTCCTGAATCCTCCTTGTCTCTTTTTGCCCTTTCCAAATTTGTTTCACTGGATTATACTCTTTAAATAACATCTCCAAACCCTAATCTTCCCGATTACTGCTTATACTCTTGCTACCTCTACCACTACGGGATTTGAATCGACAACTGCATCTCTGTGCTAATGTGGTGTGGCAACTCGAACTGATTTACGTACGTACGTACTAAGTTCTACGTTATTCCTGACTGAGTGACCGATATATATAATATCTTTAAATTTATCAATAAATATACCTAGTCTCCCAGTACCACATACTGTTTTCTAGTTTTTTATCGAAACAAAGGCTCATACATATGGCGTGAGACTGATAGGTCCTAGATTCGAATCACGAGAGGCGGGGTCGTGGATGAGCACTGCTAAGAAGTCCCATAATAAGACAAAACGGCCGTCCAGTGCTTTTAGGTTTTCCATGGTCTAACTTCAATCGACTCATGATCTCAACTGTTGAAATTACTACAATCGCCACAAAACCCCTTCTAACAAATAGTATATTAAAATAAACCGTTTTCTTCAACATTCAATGATTGAGTTAATGTTGAAAAACAAACATAACCAGTACTACTATTATTAACAGATCATCATTTTAACCTACAATAAACCACGAAGATTAATTTTGACCTTTATCATATTTATCTGTATTCACAACTTCAAAGATAGAATTGTATAAACTTGTAAACGATAATGTTACGTAGTAACAAGAAAAAAATAGTATCATGATATTCGATCAATAACAAAATAGAACAATAATGTTTCATTTAACATATTTCATTAAATAGGCAATTGTTACAGGAGATGCTGTACACGATACAATCACAACTGATACAACACATGTTGTAGTAGAAACAGGAGGACGTTTAATTAATGGACCACATTCTAATCTTGGTCCATCTAGACCAGATCGTGTTACATGCTCTGGACCAGGACTTAAACAAGCATATCTTAATGAAACGAATACATTTACAGTTAATGCATCACAAGCAGGTAATTTTGATGATACATTAAATATGTAATTTTATTTCGTTTAATATATTTTTGGGAACTATTGATTTTTTGTTTTTTTACATCACTAAGTAATTTTAGTTAGATTCTAAGTAAAGACCAAGATGTATTGGAAAGCCGTTTTTACTGTAGTATGGAATCCCTTATTAGTGTGTATCTGTTATTGCTCTAGAGATTAAATTCAGGGCCTTCAAGTTTCAAGGAGAAGGTTTAATGTTGACATCATTGAGTTGATTTTTTAAGTAACTCACCAGTTCCTTTTGGTATGAGCGACACTATAAGGATGAGGTCTGATGGCATTATCCCACTTCCTAAACTAAAGTGGGTGGAGCGCGATTGGGATGTAACGGTTTAAGCAGTTCATAATATTGCGCACCCAACAATACACATATAGGTGGTGGAACTAGGTAGCTTATCGTTATTTCATGAATTCCTTACTGCTTAAATGAAAAAAAATTGTTACTGTGTTGTATGCTATTTCTGAGGATTTTCTTTTACGTCGTATCATTGGTTATAAGACATTCAGGAAAAGTTTCTTTCACTTAAGCTTTTGTTATGGATATATGTTACATTAGGAACTTTGATGAAGATCTACTATAACTCAGTAGATCATTGATAAGTTTTAACTCTTTTTGGCAAAACATTATTCACACCTATATATTATTAAGGCTTAGAAAATAAATGATTAACACCTAATAGCAAGCAATTTAGGTGAATAGATACTACATTATCTAAAGTAGAACACGCTAGTTGCTTTTTTGTTCAGAATAGTATGTTATAATTTCTAATCCATGTACTCATATAATGTAGATTCATTTATGCATTATAAGATTGTATTATTATGTATTCTGGATTTGTAATATTACAATTTAAATAAAAGAACCGATTATAGTTACATAACTCATTACTACTCTGGTGTGGGTTACTTATATCCATATCAGTAGTATATAACGGTGGTCAGGCATAGAATGTATTTCAGCAGAAGATCGATAAGGAAAGAACGGAAATGGGACGCAAGCGGTATGAAAATGCATGAGCAATGAAGCCTGAGACAATAGACTGATATTTGCAAAAGGAACAGTGAAGTTTGAGACGATGGATTGATATTTTGCGAATTAACTATTTAGTGAGATGTTCTGTAATTTTGTGCCCAAATACATTCGTTTCACCTCACTGGTGTTGTTGTTCAGTACACCACTACGTTACATGAAACGTAAATGTATGTGAACAGAGTTTAACTGAGTCACAAAAATTTATAATGAATTGAGTGTCAATGATATTTATTTATCTGAACACAAATATTGGTACAAAAGGGCACCGAATACATATGCACCACACAATTCACTTGATTTGTATGCGGGCTATTAAATTGACTGGGTGTCCAGACCGAATCAGTGAATGATAATTGTTATCAAAATGGTAACGATCAGCAGCTTATCATATTTACTAAGCTTGAATAGAAATCTGATACAATAAATAGTAACCTTATTAAGTTGAGCTAAATTAAAATTTTAATCAAGGTGAATCATCAAACACAAATGAATCTCGATATTTGAGATCATGAGTCAATTGAAGATAGATCACCATGGAAAACCTGGAAGAACTAGACGGCCGTTTCGTCGTATCATGGGACTCCTCAGAAGTGCTCATCCACAAGTCCACCTCTCAGGATTCAAACCCATGACCTAGTGTCTAGCTTCAATTGACTCATGATGTCAGCTATTGAAATTACTACAATCTCCAAAAAACCCCTTCTGATACAAATGAATCTCCATTGATACTGTATTACAATGTCTAAAATCACTGTGCATAAATTAAATTTTCATTACATTTTATTGTCATTTATTTTCTTAAAAACAAAAAAAAATTTCAGGTCATGATGTACTATATGTTGGAGTATCTGGACCAGTTGTAGCCTGTGAAGAAGTCAATATCAAACATATGGGTTATGGTCAATATTCAATTAGTTATACTGTACGTGATCGTGGTCGTCATTTAATTATGATTAAATGGGGTGAACAACATGTACCAGGAAGTCCATTCACTGTTGATGTTATCTAATTCAATCAAATGTTGTTGTTTTTTTTAAAAGTCAACTGTATTACAATTTATCCAACCACCAAATTTAGTATCATTCATGACAACATAACAAATTTGATGATAATTACACGCTTATAATTGTACTTTTAAATGAATAATAATAGATATTTCTTTGCATGAATGTAATCATTACAATAAAGTATTATACACAAATATATATTTACATATATAAGGGGGGGGGGAGGTGAATTGTTCCAAAAAAAACACACCAGTAAAACACCTAATTTACAAATGCCTATTACAAAACAATTTGCATTGCTTTAATCCTTCATAGTTTTATTTTTCTTTTACCCTAGGCTTTTCCGAAATTTCTTTTCGCATGATTTCTTCTCTTTTTTTTTCTTTTTTGACTTTAAAAATGACTAAAATAAACATTCATCATTGGAAAGTATTCACTATACATACAGTATTGTTCTTTGTTTCGTTAGTATTTCGCTTTACTAAAAAAGAAAATCAACTGTTTACTATTATTATTATTATGATGATTATTTATATTGTTAATAGTTGTTAACTGAACAGATTTGCATGTTACACAGATATTGTACACATAAGTGTACTTCTGTATTGACTGATTAATGCTTCTTTCAATCGTTTGTTTGTTTGTTTTCTATTCAAAGAATGAAAGCATATACACTAACATTATTTATAATATTGTATTCTAATTCTACTCCTTTTACTTCTATAAGCAATATTATTCCCATTTATTATTATTATATAATATATGTCGTCAAGTTGTAACAATGATGTTTGAATGGAGCAAACAACTATCAACTATACATTGTGTTTTTCCCATCCTCACCCCCCACCCCCGAACAAATTGAACACCTTAATGCCTTATTACCCTAATAATTATTATGGCTTCTTGTTTCTTAGTAAATTATTATTTAAATTACCTAATTTGACTAAAACTTACCTTTAAATTTAAATTAGTTAATTATTTTTTCTTTGTTTGCTTTTTTGTTGTTGTTCTTTTATTGATCTTGTGAATTTGATGATAATCAACGATAACGGTAAAAAAAAGTACAATTTAATTCTTTATAATTATGAATTTGAAGGAAAATATCTGTCTGATGTCTGAATATAATTTTAATTACCTTATATGGTTTATGTTGTTGTTGTTGATGATGATGATGATGATGGAATGAAAATTTCCACAAAATATTTGATTATTATTCACGTAAACATTGATACAATAAGGCACCAAATAGATAGGCAGTGGAGCAACGTCAGAAGATGCAGTTCTATTAGTCAGTGACCAACAATAGGTCCATACGCCGTTTCCGGAACGTTGTGGCTACCTTGACGTGGTGGTCGGAATTACCTATCGTGACGAAGCAACCGAGCTATACTGGCTGGAACAACCGTTCCTCAAGATCCTACCATGTCAGACAGGTCGGTTGAAGAGCGGTAAGACTAAAAGCAACAAACCTAAGGTCCGAAGGCTAAGTCGTACCGCTGACTCTGTACAGAGGTGTGACAGCAGTAAGGTGTTTCCTCAGACAACCAGCATGACAGCGATGCTGCCTTCTCACAAGGAGGGGTGGGGTTAGAAAAGGTCGACCCTAAAAATGTACACCTCGCCTTATCCCACGGATATCCGTCTCGGCAGTAAGGTCTCAACAAGTACGGAGCTAACACAAAAATTACCCATAAAAAGGTCGTGTGTGACCGACCTCAAGCAGTTGTCCCATGGGCACTGGGTCAATAAGACCACCTCTAATCCAATTTCCTTTTCAGGTACCTCCAGAACAACCCTTCCACGGTGTGGGCAACCGGGAAGTGATAACCGCCCTCATACCTCTAACAGCACTCAAACTGACATACGCCATTTGTTTCCTTAGGATCCTGGGACCCATGTTCATCATTGGTTTGGAATCAGGGTTTTCCAATTCCCCGAAGTGAATCCTCCGTATCCATCAACTTGGTTAAAGCGTTAGACATTCGCTTTTCGCCCTCTCAATTTTGTAAACAACAGCAGTACAGAGAGAAGGCAGTGAGAAGGACTTCCCTGACAGTAGTCGTATGCACGTGGCCATGTGCGAGTATTTAGAGAGGAGGAACTGATTTTCCTAACTCTCGGACATACCACGGCATTCTGGGGCTATATAAATTTTCCAGATGTTTTTAATAGGAAGGTGACCTCAGCTTGATATATTTCAATGTTAGTATTAGAAACGTACAAATGACCTTTGATGACTCTGAAACAACATTGACGAAGTAAGATCCGCCCACAGCCAACCAAGATGCAGTTGATACGAATGTAGATAGTTTTCTGATTTTAAATATAAAGAACCTTTAAGTCATCCATTAAAATTTATTATTGTTGATCCCTTTTGTATTAAATTGATTGGTCCGTCAGTATAGCATACATGTACCACTGAAGATTTATTCAAAAAATTACTTGTCATAATTACTACTGACTCCGATAAACAACTTCTTAATTTCAAATTCCATCCAGCAAATATTGATGAGTTTAAATGCAAAGTCATATTGTTTCAGCTGGCAAGAGCATACTATAACTAATTAACTCCAAGGCTATTACTGGTCTTTGCTGAGTTAACATGTTAAAATGCAAATTTTACAGTTTGATAACTGGAATAAATAATTTCATTCATATGAATGATATCAGGCATAAAAGATTAATTGTCCAATTTATCAGTAAAAGAATGCATACACTACAGTAAAATAGAAAAACACGTTTTAACGAGATCTGATGACGTAGAGATCGAAGCAAGATTGAGATCTTAAGATGTTTAGTTCAAAATACGATACAGTAGGGAATCACCACTTAGTGGCCACCTGGACTGAACCATGCTCATGCTATTTTCTACGTTAGTAATGACTGACAATAACTTGGATAAAACAAGTGATAGACTTAAGTGCAACTGACAAAGACGTTTATTTACTTACGCCTGTTACACCTCGTGGAGGAGCATAGGCCACCCACCAGCACTCTCCATTCAACCCTGTTCTGGGCAACCTTTTCCAGTTGCTATTCATCCTTTTCATTTCTGCTCTCACAGACTTATTTCTAAACAAGTTGACAATTAGTTAACTCCTTAAATATTCCATCTCAAGACTGGCATCTAAACCTCGGGCACCCGAGCAGTATCATAGCCCCCACGCACACGAATCAATGATTACTACTGGCCTCATTGTTATTGTGTGGCGCATATGTATCTGGTGCCCCTTGGACCAATGTCTGTGATCAAATAAATAACATCTAAACATGTATTAAAGATTGTTTAATTGAAACATACCCACATTACACTATCAGTCAAATAACAAGAAATAATGTATCACTAGACTGATTGGTCCAAACAGATAATGGCTAGATCTAAACAAGAAGACTTATTTAGGAAGGTAAATTATTATTAACCTGAGGTTTTAAATCTTAAGCAATGAGAATGCTCAAATCTAAACTTTGAACAGTAATAATCAACACGACTCAGTATTGAAGATGTTGACTTAACACTTTTATCAATAATACAATGTAACTCATCTATCAAGTGCAAAATTATCTGATTTTGATGCATATTGCGGCGAGAATATAACTTATGGACGACCTTTGAACTAGTCTTAAGTGCCCTTGAGAAATTTCAGCCAATCAGAAAAGTATAGAGTAATATATTATACAAAACCAAAAAATTAGAGGACAAACTTCTTTAACATGGTCTAGGAACTTGTCAAGGTTAGAAAAAGGCTCTGCAGTTCTGAAATCGTAATGCATACGGTAGAGGAATTCATCCATGTAACTCCATAGTAGTCGGTCTCTGGAGCCATGATAAGGTCGCAAAAATTCTTTTAGCGTCGGCCATATTGCTCCCATATTATTGGTGTACTACCGTGGTGGAGTCTACAAAATCTTGCTTGTTAACGATGACAAGATGCACGTAACCAAGTCTAGATAGGCATCGATGTGCTCTCTAGTCATCCATGTATATTATGGTACCCGGGTGCACACACTCTGCTATAATTAGTATTATCGTTGTAGCCTGTTGGTTTCTTACGTGCTGGAAGTGTCTTTCTTGAGATGATCTATCAAATGTACCAAATACCTGCTAAGTATACTTAAGGAAGTGCTACTTACCCAGTCTTTATTAACACTTCTTGCTCTATTGAATTTGCGTTTTCTAACAACTGTTCTATCAATTTCTACGATTCGCCCGATTCCTACAAACGACTGATTCAAGCTTTCCATCTTTATTGCGCATATATCTCGACAGTACTTTTAGTGGCCCTGGAATATCTGATTCCAGTTAGATCACATGAATGTTTGCTATCGAAATGTACATATCGTCAATCCCCATGTATAATCATCGACTAAAATCGTGTCAGTGAATAACGGAATTAAATAAGTCAAATACGAGAACAAAGTTTTAAATACGTTTATTTCGTACAATCCTTGATCTGCACAGACAATCGGGGAGACGGAGCGAAACGGAATGACAAGAAGTGGAGAAGGCATATGAGCCAACTCGATTTAATCAGACGTTAATCGATATTTATAGTCAGATAAAAATAGGTTACAGACATATAGTGAGTAAGATATGAAATGCACACACATACACTCACATAAAAACAGTCAAGGTTGACAGGAGAATAATTAACGAGGTGAAAGTGGGACTCAAGATGAATGAATAGAGTGGCCTGTCTGGAAGCTAGAATAAGCTATGTGGGCTTAACATAACAACTGACACTACATACTCATACCATTGAACTCCCGAAGCTTCAGTAACATCTACAAAGGTTCAAGCCACTGTTACTGATGCTTTTCTTGTCCAGCTTACGACAATTGTCTTAATCTGTCTTGGTGTCAATCGGGATCAAGCGAAAAATGTCCCCATTCTAGCAGACGTTTTCCTCTAACATATATTACATCGAAATACAACATCGTCACGATAGTCTGCACAATGTCCAACAGTCATTTGAACACTGCAATCACAAATACAGAAACTTCT